TTAAAATTATAACTTATACCTTATTATTATTAAAATTACTTTAATTAAGTTTTATTAAAAATTATTAAATAAAATTTATAACTTTTAATTTAATTATCTTAAGATTACTTTATTATTTATTATAAAAAAAAGCTTTAATATTTTATTAAAATGCTTTAAATTTATTTTTAAATTTAATTAAGTTAAGCTTTAATTTTATAAACTTTTTAATAAATTTATTTATATTTTATAAATTTTAATTATATTTTTTAATAATATTAATATAATTAAATTTAAATAAAGGCTATTAAGCTTATAAGTTTTTATTTTAAAAATAATTTAAAAAATTAAAATTATTTTAACTTTTTTAAAGAAAATTTAACCTTTTTATATTAAGTAAATTTTAATTAAAATTATTTTATATAAATAAGTAATTATTTTACTTAAAATATTTAAGCTTTTAATTAATAATTTTTAATAAAGCATACTTAAAGTTTAGCTAAAGAATATTCCTTATTAACTTATAAGTAATTCCTTTCTTTATTAGCTATTTTTTTAAATATAATAAAAGCATTTTATAAAAAAGTTAAGTTATAAAGAGAGAAATATTATTTATATTATTAAGTTTTTAATTATATTTTATAATTTTCTTTTTTTATACTTTTAAGTTATTATAAAAGTTATTATAAATAATATCTTTAATAATTGCTATTAAATTTATATAATAAGTTTAATTATTTAATTTATAAAAAGTAAAAAGCTCTTTCTTTTAATCTTTTTAAATATATTATTTAATAATAATGCTTTTAATTATTTTAATTAAGTTTAAAATAATGTAATATTATTTAAATAATTTTAAGATTTAATTATTTAAATAAGAAAATTAATAAATAATAATTTTAAGGCTATTTAAAACCTTAATAATATTAATTTTATTAAACTTTAAGGTATTTAAATTATAAATTATAAATAAAGCTATTTATAGCAAAATTATTATATTAATAAAAAGTAAAACTTTTAAAATATTAATTTAAATCCTTAACTTATTATTAATAATAAATTATAGGGTTTAATTAAAGCAAGGTTAATACTTTAGTTAATAATAAATAAAATTAAATTTCCTTTTTTTTTTAATAAGTTTCTTAAGATTTTTTTCTTAGCTTTAAGTAAAAAAAAATAAATAATTTTTAAAGTTTAAAAGTACTTTTAAAATAAAAATAAGTTTAAAAAGATTTTAAGTTAAAAAATATAATATATATATTATAATAATTTTTATTAAAATAATAATAAAATAAAGAAACTTAAAAGTAATAATATCTTTAATTAAAGTAGTTATTCTTAAAAAATTTATTTTTAATATTATTATAAAATATTTAAATTAAAGCTTAAAAAATAAAAATATTAATAAATATAATAAATAAAATAAACTTAATAAAAGAATATTTTATTAAAAAATAAATATTATAAAATTATAATAAAGAAAGCCTTTTAAATTTATATTTAATATTTTATTTATTAATATTATATTAAATCCTTAATAATTTAAATTTAAGTTTAATTAAAGCTTAAGTAAGGTTATATTTTAAGTTTAAGCCTTTTATATAATTTAATTAATATAAAATATATAATATAATGCTATTTATTAAACTTATAAATAAGTAAAATAAGCGCCTTAATTTTATATTATGGCTTTCTTTACTTTAAACTTAAAGTTATAATAATAATAATAAATATTAATTAAGAGTTTAAAAGTATTTTTAATTAATATTAAGTAATATTTATAAATTTAAATTTATTATTTTAAGTTTTATATTTATATTATTATTATATTTAAATATAATTTTTAATAAGAAACTTAAAATAAATTTAAAGCTTAATAATATATAAATATAAAATTAAGGTAATATTTTATTTAAATATTAAAAGTATAAGAAATATTTTAAGATTAAAAAATAATTTTAAAATATTTATAATATTATTATAAGTTTAATTATATTTAATTTTTTTTTATAATAAGTTAAAGATAAATATAGGCTTTAATTAAAGCTTTAAGTTAAAATATAAAATAATTTAGTAATATTTAATATAAAAATAAAAAAAGAAATAGAATTAAAAGATAATTAGTTTATAGCTAACTTTTTATTTTTCTTATTATTAATTAAAAATATATAAAATTAAAATTATACTTAAGTTAAATTATTAATAAAAATAAGCTACTTAAATAAATAAGGAATAAGTTTTGCTAAACCCTTTTAAAGGTAACTTAAAGAAAAGCTTTAATGCAATAAAAAGAAAAGATAGGAATAAAAGGGAGTTAAAAAAGAGAAAAGGTAAGTATTTTAAAAATTCTTAAAAATAAGAAAAGCTTAATTAAAGCATTAAATATATAAGAAAAGAGAAGAGTTGATTTCTTTAAAAGAGTGTTTAAAAGAGCGAAAGAGCTAGCTTTTTTTATAGCCAGCCGGAATTTAACGCAATATCATTTTTCCCTGCATTTCCCTGCACCCGCTAATAATATATAAAAAAAAAGAAAAGTTAATTTCTTTAAAAATATTTAAAATAAGTATAAAAGCTAGCTTTTTATAACTAGCCGGAATTTAGCGTAATACCATTTCTTACGTATTTCCTTACCCCCGCTAATAATATATATAAACTTAATTAAATTAAAGAATAAATGCTTATTTAATATATTATTAATTAAGATATTTAAGGATTTCCCTTATAATTTTTTAATATAAAGGATATAGCTAACTTTTTATTAATATTGCGAAATATTAAACTTATTAATAAGCATTAAGTTTAACGCTTTATAAATTAATAACTTAGCTTTAAAATTAAGTTTAATTATCCTTATAATTATTAAAGAGCTTTTTATAAAGATTTAAAGATTATTAAAAATTAATTTAAATTATTTTATAATATAATAATTAAGTATTAAATTATTAATAATAATCTTTATAATTTTAATAAAATTAACTTTATAATAAGTATAATTACTATATTAATAATTATTATATATATTAATAAATATAAAAAGATTAAATTAATTTAGCTGCATAATTAAAAATAAGTAATTATTATTAAATATATTAATATAAATAAATTATAAATTTCTTTATTTATAATTATTTAAGGTATTTATTATTTTATAAATTAAATAATTAAGTTATTAAGCTTATTTTTAATAAATAAATAAATAATAAGATTAATTTAAAATAAATTTAACATTTTAATAAGCATATTAAGTTAAAGAAAAATATTAATTATTAAATATTAATTATAAATAATTATAAAAGCTATATATTAGCTAAGTTTAATTAATATTATAAGAATAATAAGATTATTATTATTAATATATTATTATATTTATCTTATTTACTTTAGCTATTAAATATTGCATTATATTTACTTTTAAAATATATATATAATAATAAAATTAACCTTTTTATTTAAGCTTTAATTAACTATATTATTAAGTTTAAATTCTTTTTTACATTTAAGGCAGCTTATAATAAAACTTTTATAATAAAAAATATTAAATTTATATTTAAAAAAGCTAAAATTTCTTTTTAAAACTTTAATTTTATAATTTTTAAGCTTAATATTTACTTATAAACTTTAATATAATCCCTTCTTATTTCTTTTTAAAAATAAAAGTTTTAAATATTATTAAATACTTAATAAATTATTTAATAATTAAGTTTTATTAAGAGCAAGATTTCCACCTATTAAGGGAGCTTCCTTATATTAATTATAAAGGCTATTAATTAATTAGCAAAAGATGCATAAATAATAATATACTTACTTATTATAATAAGCAAGCAAATTTATATGCTTTAAGATATTAATATAATATTTATTAAATATTAAAGGGTTAAAAGAATTTAAGTATAGCTTAAAAAAGCACTTATAATTAAGGAATCTTAAGCTTTTATTTAAGAGAAATAAAAAGCAAAGTAATTAATTAATAAAATAAATAATAAAATAAAAGAGTTAATTTATAATAAATTAATTAAAAGATAATATAGTAATTATAATAAGATTAAGTATAATATAAAAATTTATAAAAAAGATAAAAAAAAGTTTAATTAATTAAATTTTAATTATATTATAATAAATTTAACTTAATTAGCATTAATTAATATAAATATAGCTATTTTATTAATTTATAATAAATTATATTTTTAATAATATAATTGGCATTAATTAATATTAAATATATATTTTTTATTAAAAGTTAATTAATTTAAATTAATATTATAATTATATTAATATCTTTAAATTAATAAAATTAATAAAAAATAAAAATTTAATTATAATTAATATTAATTAATATTAAATTTAATTAAATTATTTATATTAAGTAAGTATTAAGGTTAATTAAAGTTAGCGAAAGTTGCAAAAGTACGCTACTTATTAATATGCATTACTTATTAATAAATTATATTAATACTTTTTATAAATAAATAAATAATTTATTAACTTTAATTATAAATAATAATTATATATTTCTTAAGAATACTTTTAAATATTTATTTAGCTTTTAATTAAATATTTATTTAACTTTAAATTAAATATTAAATATCTTTTCTTAGGAATTTATTTATATAATATAAAAAGAAAGCTTTTTATAAGGCTTTATTTTTTTATTTTCTTTCTTATTTATTTTTAAGAAATAAAAAATTTAAAGTATTTTAATCTTTAATTAAAAACTAAACTTTATAGCTCTTAGGGTTAGGGTAGCCAGAGGTGCGTGCTAAAGCATATATTTAGCTCTTAGCTATTTACACGTGTGTTTACCGATATATCCACAACCGGTGCGGGGGTGTGATATCCTCTACATATAGTACAGCCGAGGAGCGGCTGCTCATCAACGCGTGAGAACACTTTCAGCCGCACATCGATGATATTTTCTCCAAGAAATAGCAACACCTTTGTCAATATTATATCATTACGAATAGTAAACCATGCACGGACCTCGCTAATAGTATGAGCCATTCGTGAAATAGAAGACAATTTCATCAATAGCCAAATGAGACCAACGTCGTTGAGTCAGGCCTAAGATTCACGCCTAATTGGCACAGGACATGGATCAGGCGTTCTTGCGCATCTTGCTCTTCAGAGCCGGGTAATGCATCCATCCACTGTTTGACAAGTGCATCGACGCTTGTGCGGTCCGCCCAGTCTATTTCATCCCCTCCCAGCCTGCCGACCGTCAGACCCCACCAGCCTGTATTCCCTCTGAAATCTCTGTCCGGTTTCTTCTCAAACCTTGCACAACGTGCGAATGCCGTGTAGGGGCCGACCCTAATTCCTGCGTCCACGTCACGTACATGGTGCAAGGGGTTTTGAATGCCGCGGCTCTGTGCTTGAGCGGGCGCAAATCTCTCCACGTAGTGGCAGAAGTTGAAGTAGCCTGTGGTGCCCATGTACGAAGTATAATCTTCCTGGAGGTTTATCTCCAACCAGAAACTATTCTCCGCGTAGTAGATGGAGAGTGACTCCGCCCGAAGCTGCTTGTTGACTCGTGTTATGGCGGGCTGGGCCCTTTGAAGGGGGACACTGATGATCTCGTCGTGCTTGAATTTCGGTCCCAGGAGATCTCGATAAACCATATTTCGTATCTCCCCTGGGAGCAAGAGAAACGAGAAGGTCTGGCAGAACATAAATAAGTACAACGATCCTACTAAGGAGTGCGGTTCCTGACATACCTGGTTGTTTTCTTCTGATGCGGCATGTGATAGTCCAAAGTGCTTTGTCTTCTTTCCCATCAATCTCGTCATTGACCTTGTGGTCGGCCTTGGCATGATTGCGATTATAATTTTGCAGGTATGCAGATATTTATGCTGAAGAGCAGATGGTATATTTGTGCCAAATGAATGTTAGTTCTTGGGAAATAAAATGATCAAGTCAGAGCGAAGCTCCTTGTTTCAGTGTGGCCGCACACAAGTTTATACGAAGACCAAGCTCGGAGCTGAAAGAAGGCTGGCAAGGGGTCGAACTGGCCGTGGGCCTTGGCTTCGCTTTAATTAGAACAAAGAAATACAGGCGAGTATGACGTGGCTATCTGTCAGCTACGAAAGCCTACGACGTCGACAGCTACTTTTGCCGGTAATTAACTACTGCAGACTGGGATAACGGCGGGTTTGTGGCCTTTCAACAATAGAGCTCAACTTGCCGCCCCAAGCCTGTCATACCATCTAGGTCTTTGCAAGCGCACGGTTGTGTTGTATAACGTTGTCAGCATCAGGGCTAACCTGGACAATTGGTGTTCCGGTGAATACGTAAGTCAGCCAGTGCAAGGGTTCCCGAATGTTTCCAGACGTAGAATGGCAGTAGATACAAAGTGCACACATCTTTGCAATGGAAAACGCGTACGTTGAGGGCAGGCCGTTTTGTTTCCGACTATAAACACACCTACTCAGTTCGGGCTGAAGAGCTATGTACCTTTCTTGGGGACGGAGATACGAAGTAGTCATCCCAAATGATACCTGACGCTGCAAGAGCCCAGGGAGCCTTGGGTTGACCAGTGAGGAGAAGAGAAAAATGTGAGCAACGTCCACTATCATGGACTACCCGAGCGTTCCGAATTCCGCTGGTGTAGTCCAAGGGGTTTATTAAGTTATGCAAGCCGCGAGACACTCCAAGACTCTCAAATTATAACAAGTTAACAATTTGATGGCAATTACAATGCGTCTCAGCATAAGCTGCTCAAAATCCTCATGCCGTACAACTACAGCTTTTCCATGAACTGTCCGTCCAGTTCTGATTATGTCGGGGGGCTTGAGTCACCGACAGCTGTTTGACGCAGGTACCTAAGGCAGCGGGTAGCCGATGCCTTCCACCCTGGTAAGCTCGAGTTGTGTTCATGTGCACTTGCGGGTTCCCTTGCCGAAGGCGTCACCAATCTATGAATTTGTTACTACAATTGATTTGACTTAAGTTCCACAAAAAACATCGCGTCACCTCAGAGTTCTTCAAACCAATTCCACGCCTAAGGCCGCACCATTTTAGTGCTTATTTCCGTTGGTGCCATTGGTGCCGTCAGTGCCAACCATTCTGTTTAGAGACGGCGTCCCAAACTCTTTTCTCATCTCGTTTGTAACACCGGTCATGTCACATAGGTCCTTATCCGTCGCCAGTTCGTCAGCCATCACCCAGGTCCCGTGAATGCCCGATCGGAGTCGGAAAGGTAGCTCAATGATGGCAACCGGCCCCTTGGCTATGTTGGCCTGTCCACAACGACGACCTGGGAAAGCATCGTCCCTCCTATTAACCACCGACAGAGCGTATCCATCACCCTCGGGGGCTGGGATTAATATCCACGTCAGCTTTCATACCAAATTCAAGACACGGGTCACTCTGCGCCTTGAAAAGCAATGCCAGGACAGTTAGACTTACCATCCTTAGATCTCGCCACGAATGCGACCTCCCCGAGTGCCACGTCCTTCCCGGCGGACCAGTACTCGTACGTGCCGTCCTCGACATTGGCCTTGGAAAGGGAGTTGAAGGCTCCCCCGACGGGTGCGTCGTCTGTCGCCGGGTCGTGCATGGCGATGAAGACGTACTTGTACGGCTTAGTCTCGTACCGGGAGTCGATTCGGGGCAACTCGCCGTCGACGTCCACGAGCACACTCGGCCTCAGTGTCTTCTCGGTCGAATTCGGGTCCAGTTTGAATCGCATCAAGTGGCTTGAAGCACCATCTTTGGGCGGCTTGGAAGACGGAGCGGAGGCCATATCCTGGCCAACAGGCGGGAAGAACCAGAACTGTCGTAGGAAAAGCATTAGTTTCGCGGTAACTATCAACCTAGCCAAGGAAGAAGATGCCACCTATGGTGCCAGACTCAAAGCTTCATAAGGAAAACGCTTGGAAGGTCCAAACGTACCAGATTGTAGTTGGTCACGGGCGCGTCAAAATAGACACACCCGTCCTCGCCATCAAAGGCATTGCTAGTATGCCCCACAAAGGCATTCTTGTACTCGAACCACTTCACCATCTCAGGCTTGGGGTTACGTCGCGGTAAGATTCCCAAGCATAGAGACTTGGTCTCGTCCCAACCCTATACCTTGTGGCCTGCCTTCAGCAAGTCTTCCGGCACGTTAGCTAGCGGATTCAGGGTGAAGATAATCCACTTGTCGGTCGCGGCGATGTCGTGCATGACTCCCACGAATGGGGCCTGGAACCAGTACTCTTCAAGCTTTTTGCCATGCTTGTCGAACAAGTAGTAGGCGACGTCGGGAGAGCCTTCGCCCCTGGCTGCGTAGCCCATCGTAATCAACTCTCCTGTGGAGGGGTCGATCTTGGGATGGGCTGTATGCGTAGGACATTTGTATTGACCGTTGAAATCATAGGAGCCTGCACACACGATAATGAGATTACGTTACCCGAATTTTGTCCCCGCTGCATTCACGGGTTCGTGTGTCTTCTCTCACCCTAAGTCTCCAGCGTGTCTGGGTCCATTGCATAGGGAAGGCCGTCCTCTTCCATCGCCGACAGCTGTTTGTCGTAGAGGACGACGTGCGTGTTCCCCGTAGCGTGGTCAATGTGTCTGACCCTTGGGTCATCAGTCCAAATATTCCGCCACTGGCCAAACAAAGCTTTTCTAGCCGCCCTCTCAACCAAGAACTTCTGCGATCGCACGTATCTCTGCTTGAAGTCTGCATGACCATCCCTGATACGCACAGCGTCGATGGCTCCATCACCGTTGATGAAGATGTCGTCTTCACAGCGTGGAGCCCAGACGGTGTCGGGCATGACTCGATAGAACGTCCCGTCGATCTGTGGGGGGATGGTTCCTCTGATCATGCAATTGTATACTACAGCTTCGAATCTATTTCCTGGTGTCAGCGATTGGTAAAATGTGTTGTTTGCACGTAGTCCAGTGTGTGTCTAAGACCTACCTGCTTGGGGCCCCCAGGCCCTTGCAGAACGAATTCTGAGGATATTGATCCTCGGAATTGTTATACTCCAGCTTGTCGAAGGCTTCCTTGATACCGGTCTTGGACTTGGCCATCTTGACTTTATGGATGATTTTCGAGTGCAGAAAACGACGGCGGGATTTTGTTCTGGCGGCATACAACTGCACTATCTGGGCAATGGAGATTTGTTGCTGAGGACAATATCAAAATGTCGAAATGTAGTCAATGAATAACGAGGCTCGGAGCTCGGAACCCAGCGGCCCCGGTGCGCCGGAGAGGAGGTCGGAAAAGGTGTGTGACACCAATTGCGGGAGACCCGGAAGCCCGGCCGCGACGACATGGTTTACTATAATTGAACTTTAACTCTTCCAATCAAAACTTTGGAGATGGTGATTACAAGGCGAGACTTGAATAAAATGTTAATTAATGACATTCTGGTCTTGAAACATGCCGATCTGTGTGGATGCGCCGCGAATTAATGCAAGGATCGACTTGTCACCCGAGAGTCGTGGTGTTTTGGCATCTTAGCCCGTTATGCGCAGATGGACAATTCGGGTTTCTACAACTTGCGAACACCGCACAGTAGGTTATGCAGAGACGGGCGATTCGGGCTTCGACAACTTGCGAGCACCGGACATTCGGCCGCGTCACCTGCGAAGAGAAAGTGATTGAAACTTTTGCTTCTTGCTGATCCACATCTACGCCGTTTCTGTTGCATGATGGCACTGGCAGCGGAGGATGAAAGTCGTCTCGTTGTGGAATAAGGTATATAGTGTAGGAGTGATTTTATCCATAGAAAAGGGGCAACAAGTGATACAGACGGAAAATCTGCAGCAAATTGAGCAGCGATAGCTTTCATAAGAAGATTACTCCCAGCCTTGTTGGACTGCACATTTGGCCGTAGCGAATGAGCGGTGTTAACAATCAGCTATACACCCTTCCTCTGTCTGGCCTCTGCGTAGAGATTCGTTTCTCGGATTGAAAAAGCAAAACGAAGAAGAGAATTTTTACAATTCCATGAATAGAATTATTATTTTTGGGTCCAGCCAAGGCTACCATCCTTCCCTTTCATGATGACTGCCACCACTGCATCTAAAGGCGCGATTCGGAAAATGGTGTGGAGCAGCGGGCCGGGCCGCGGCTGTCCTGGCTTGTTTTTAGAGCGGTGAACATGGGGTCGGATGTGACTAAGAAACGCGTCCCCACGTTCAAAAACTCATGTCAATCAAAAGCTTTCTGTACTTCTCTGCAGGTTTTTTCAAGAGCCATCGAGGAACCAGAGTAAAAACATCAAGATGCCTATCCCCGAAGATCTCTCGCATCCTTCTGCCTCCCAGGTCATGGAGTTCGCAGCCGCCTACGCGGAGCTTCTGAGATCCCTGTTCAACCATCCGCAGTTCAGGTACCTCGAGCCACCGACCGCTGCCATGTGCAAAATGGATGCCAAATCCACCCCAGCACAACTTATCTACGCGTCAGACTTCGTCCAGAAAACGTACGTCGAGTACGTGATCCCCTGGCTCCCCGCCGGCGCCACGCGGAAGTGCAAGATCCTCGGCAACCCCTGGGCCTTTGCCGACCCCGACTACCGCTGGGAGTGGGAGTGGGACGCCACCGCTGGGTCCATGAAGACCGCGGACGGCGCGGCTGTGGAGTTCCCGCGCTTCTCTGACGCCAAGGCGAAGGAGATGATCGGAGATTTGTTCTTCAGGGGCTTCATGGCCAAGAAGGCCATCCTGGAGAACGGGACGGATCGGAAGGCGGCGCTCATGATGGGAGGAGCGTACGACTTTGGGCAGGAGGTGCGACAGGCTTGTGAGAAGCTGGACTGATGGACGGGCTGCGCTATGGACTTCCTGTGACTTTGGACCGGAACAAGAAGCTTCTGATTCGGGCTTAATGAGATCTCTGGCACCATGGTGAGGTTACGTGCCGTGGACCAATTGCATGCATTGTGATGTATCTGTCTGACCATACTACTTAAGAATGAGTGTGTACACAAGCGAATTCCATATCCCTGGGTGACGTTGAGAGTCACCAGCCCGGTCCCAATGCTCCATACTTCAAGGCATCCTCAATAAAACTTCGCTTCCACAAGCGATGACCACCCTTTGCTGATAGGTTGCACATCTTGGGTTGCTTCGTCGACGCCGCCTATCGCGAAAGAATTGTCAGAACAACACAGAATTTGTGCCGCGTTCGAGCCCCTACTACTCACCTGGTCTAATTATCATTCTTGCGTATTCGTCGCCACAGAAGAAGTATGTGTTGCCACCGAGTGGGCTTTGCAATATCGCATCGACAGTTCTGAATCCAGCTTGGTCCAGTACGGCCCAATTGTCTCTGATGTCTAGGGGGCCACTTCCCACCACCTTGTCGTTGTTGGTGCCGGGCTGAACGTCGACACGTACGTATTGGTCACCACGGAAAAAGTATGCAGTCCCATCATATAGCAGCACGGCCGCGTCGACTGTGGGAAAACCAACTTGCTTCAGCGAGGGCCAATTGTCAACGATGCTGATGGCGTTGAACACCTTCTTCCTTGTGGAGATGGTGACTAGAATGTACTTTTCCCGGTAGAAGAAGTAGGCCTCATCCTTGTTGGCTGGATTTGGCAGCACGGCGTCGACCGACAAGAATTGGGCCTCGTGTAGTGCTGGCCAGGATGTGGCGATACTTTGAACTCCACCCGATGCTATGGTATCGGCCAAGTTGTTCTTGCGGTCAAGCTTCAAGGTCACGAAGCGAGTGTCGGCAAAGAAGATGGCTTCCTCTCCGCCTGGTAGAAGCATGCATGCTCGCCGTACACGAGATGGCGGCAAGAACTTGGATGCTGCTGGGTCTGGCACTTTTAGATAACCTTCTAGGTTACCGTTGTTTTCATCCACATCGTGATTTTTTTTTGCCTCAAGACGATGACTGAGCTCGTCTTTGGGCGGGTGACCCTGCGCATCGTGGTCGGCAGGATCCGAGAATCGGATTCTATATGAGCCCTCAGGGATCTCTGGGAGCTCATTGGCTCGAGGGGCGTGATCTCCGTTCAACAGAGGGTCGAAGTGCACGTTGTGCCAGATAGCTACAACGCGGCCTGCCGTGTCATATTCGGTGGCTGTGCGGATCAGCCCGGGCCTGATTCCTCCGACAAACGTGATCTCCTGCTGCTCGGCGTACATAACTTCTATCTGGCGTTCGAAGGTGGCAAGGATATCAACACCGCCGTAAGCGAATACTTCATAGCGATAGCGTCCGTTGATGTTGGGCGGGCGCCAGATCTCTACCTGCCTGTTAGTGCCGTCGCTCATGACCGGCCTAGTCGTAGAGACAAAGACAGACCGCACATGATCGTTGATGAATCTGTGCAGGTTGAGACTAATGCGGTCCGTTTGTTCAGGGTCCCGAAAGCCTTGCATGCTCACTGGCACAACACGGGGTCGGAATCCCTCGCGGAAAATGACCCCCGGTGGACGATAGTCCCAGCGAGAGAGGGGCTCCGCAGCTGCTGAGACAGGCATCCCATCAGCGTTGTTGACGACTCGAGGACGCATCGTAAGCGTCCTGTTGCCTGTACTGGTGGTGATCAATCGATCCAGCGTGTCGAAAACCTCACGGGCTTCCACTTCGTTGACGTTCCTGAGCCATGGCAGAGCTGCCCCAATAAACAGAGACGAGTCACTCATACTTTGGATTCCTCAGGTCTTTCGGATGCCTGAATGTTGCCGCAAATTTTCAATGAGACTCAAGATTACAAATATTTGGGAAGGTAAATCAGGCCGAGGGCTTAGGAAGAAACATAGATAGATGAAAAGCTGCTTGGTTCCCCGGAACATTCTCATCGGCATTCTCAGGCAGATATACAACACTCTCTTCTCCGTTTCAAGCATATGATTCGTCATATCATTGGCTTCGCGTTATGTTTCCCACGGAAAGTTTGTCCGGTGTTTAAGTGACGTAAAACGACCAACTTGCATCGGGTTTTGCTTCACAATTGGTCATGTGCTAGCGTGAGGATGCTTTTTACCCGGAATAGATGGACCAAACGATTCTCACCGAGTTCAGTCCTTGCGGCAAATTTAATTGATTTGTTCGATCATCATTGGCATGATCCAGTAACATAGGACGCTCGCAAGAACGTAGAGCCCGAGGTAGCGGGCAAACACACAGTGAGCAGTATCACTTTCGGGTGGCTGACACAATGTCTTGGAGTTTCCAGGAAAGTTGCGGCGGTCTTTTTCCAGCCGCATCCTGCTGCCGGGATGTTGCAGCAATGTGTTACATGAAGTACATCCTAGTGTCCCGATTAGTTTCAGCAAAAGGAGCTTGTGCCGGATGTGTGGTCCAAAATATTCATAATGAAGCACAACAGCACATGAATAGTGGAGGTGGCGCAAGATTCTGGGCCTGAATTCACGGTGCACTAAGTTGCCGGCATAGCGATGTGACGCAATTTGCGGTGCAGTGAAGTACCATGACAACACAAGGACGATCTACAACCGCACGCAGTTTTCGTTGTTTAATGTGTCGTACTTTTGATTTCATTGCAAGTAGTTGAGTCATTCCCTCCAAATTCCGCCGGTCGTGTTTGCTTTTCTGCTCACCGCAATTTCCTTGGAAATGTCGGTGCATTCCACACGAGTTCGATTCTAGTTACCCCTATGCCGACGAGGTGCGGCAGGCGATGAACATGTGGGAGAGCGCGTGTGGCGTAATCTTTGTCTGCCGTCGCATCGAGAAGTATTAGCTGCCTATCAGCAATCCACGAGACGGCCCCAGCAGGAGTGCCATTGGGGTGAAGGGCGGTGCGCCGAATATCCTCATTGATATCGGATACAAGTTACTGCATGAACTGGGCCATGCGCTGAGCCTGGTCCATAAGCATTGCCGCACTGTCCAAGATGTGCATTTGGAAGCTCAATGACAGAATTCCCAGAGCTGGAGGCGTAATTCGGAGTTCAAGATTGGTCCCTGCAGCAAAGAATCTGACCGCCTACGATGCAGCTTCCGTCATGCATTATCCTGCGCCTGCTAAAGGGTGGCAGGGCGATCCACCCAACCAAGAGACCTGGATGATGCGCTTGAAAGCCCATCATCTCGGCCTCAACAGCTAGTCTGAGCTTTCGGAACTCGATAAGGCCGCACGGAGTGCGCGCCAAATGACAGACCGTGCTGGTGCCCATGGGCATGGAAACAGCACAAGACGCCTGGAACAGCTTTTACACGGTACCATTTCCCTTGACGATTGGAAAACGCGTCTTTTTCTCCGGTCAAGATCTGGGAAGCAAAAAGTGGTTCATTCAAGAGCTTCTCCTGAACAAAGAAAATGGATCTGTTCAGGACATCCTCACCGGCGGCAAGATGGGTCAACAAACTGATCACGGTAGCTGGGATAATCCGCACAGGGTACGATTTCTCTAATCCATCGCAGGAAATACGTATTCCTATGGTCATGACAGCAGCGCACGTTATTGGTTCACCCAGATGCTTCGGCAAGACGGCACGACAGGTGGCTCTGGTATCCGCCTTTAACCGCAAACCGGGCCAGCTCGCCTGCATCTGTTCCATCTTGTCCTAATATCTCTCTGGAGGCTCCTGGGTTTCCTTTTGATACCGACCAGCTGAAATCCTCATGGCGTACGCAACACTTCTCACCAAGGCATAGAAAATGTCATCATGAATTGTGATCCACGCATTGGGCGGTATTAATATTCAATTCTATGAGGTGCTTTTGGTTTCTAGGCCTCCGCACACGCCTTGCTCGTCATCTTGACAACGAATGAGCCTCGCTCAATGGTATTGATATAAATGAACCCAGACTTGAAGTACGCGTACGAGGACCAGGTGCCAGTGAAGGCGACGATTCCGCCTCCCTCAGCCCCATCGTCCTCGGGGTGGATGTCAAAGAATCCAGCCTCGCATACCCCAGCGCCGGTCGGGTCGGATGGGATCGAGCTGATGTCGAGCACGCGGAGCCCTGCGCCGTAGTTGGCTGGGGATGAATGTTCAGTATTCGTGTGGATCAGTTCTGCAATGCACCGGTGGCTTGGACTTACACTGGTAGTTATATCCATCGACGATGTACTGGTTGTGATCAATGGAACGGGTCTTGCCTTCGTAGTACCCCGTCAACTTGGGTGACTCGAGATCCCGGATGTCAAAGATGTAGGTGATGGGAAGCTTGCTGCTTGCTGGGCCCTCCGTTCCGTCACGCTCGTCCAGCTCGTCGTCAAGCGCAAGGAATTCCTGGTTTGATATATCGAGAACGGCGCCTTGGTGGATATACTTCGCACCGGTGTAAGAGGTGCGAGAGATCAGCTTGGTGGTATTGCCAATCTTATTCGTGACATCGTATATGGTGATAGTGTCTGAAAAAGTCCAGTTTTATGTCAATAGATGGATCCAGTGTGTGCAGGGTTTCAGAGTAAAATGTAAGATGTCCTACCTTCGTTGTAGCCGTAGCAGATATCACGACCCTGGTAACGTGTGTCCGGTCCACGGTAGACAAGGCATTGCGCATCATGCACATAACCATCTCCAGCAGCACACCCGGGAGTGGTGGGATTAGTGGGATCAGTCATATTGATGAAGATCAGCCCTCCCCGGCAAGGCAGGTTGTCCCGGTTGCGCACGGTCTCGTTGCCACCAACAGACCCAGCAGCGATGGCATAGCCGAGCTCCTCGTTCACTACGATGTTGTGCGTCCTACCGACAGGCAGCTTGTTGAAATGGCCAGTGAGGTCATCTTGGGTGAAGACGGTTGGGCTGTCTGGGTCCAGGTCGAGTAGCTTCTTCATGTCGAAGATCTGCACGCCGTGCTTGATAGCCTCGGAGCCAATGATGATCAGGTCGCCAAGGGTCCTGATCTCTCGCCACCTCGAGCCGATGGAGTCGTATTGGGGGAGCCTGCCGAGGTAGACCAACTTGCCCTCGGAGGTGATCTCCGCGAAGGCTGTCCCGTCGTACTGACCGATGGCGACGAACTCGCGCCCGTCCTCGGATGTCCATCCCCACGAGGAGGACCCAAACCCCTGAGTGCTTCCGAGGTCTGCATGGGAAAGGAAATGGTACAGGTCGATCTGAGATTTGTCAGGGGATCTCCAGTCACGTAAAGGCTTCTCGCCAGGCTCATGACTATCCTCACATTGTTGCACTGAAAGGTGTTGTTCGCATCTCCCGGGATGGCCGTGGCAAGACCATCGACGCAAGGCGTATAACTCAGCTCAGGGTACTGAGCACTGTCCAACAGGCCTGCAGCGAGCTCAGAGTTCCATTGTGCCTACCGCATGTCAGATGTGCCTGCAGCGGAACAAGCTCGCAGGACAAACTCACGGTTTTGGCTGCCATGCTCTGGGCGTGAACCTTGCCCGACAGGTACTCCTCGGACGACGCGACATGGGTCATGTCGATTTCTGCGCCAGCTGCCGCGCGCAAGGATGCGGCCGCGACAAAAGCCGCTGCGTATGACGGTGTCCGAACCATTGTCACGACAAAAATGGACTCGCTGCTGTCTTGGAGCAACAAGCTGGAAGACTACTTACCCAGCGGACGAGGAGCTCTCCCCCATTTTATAGGGAACCCGAGATCGCCTCACCCAGGCATCCCCTCATCGACGATGTCACCGTCAATATGAGCACCCGAACCGACCTGCCGGACAGTCTATCTCTGGGCATCTGCAGTGGAACCAGTCAATGCATATCGGCCAGCAAACTCTTCCGTTATGCCTAGCAATCTGGCAGCGCCCAGCTATCGGTGCACCGACCGTTATCTTGGACAGGGCTCAATGAGGAAGGAAACAAGAGGCTTAGCGTAACCTTGCGATTGGCAGTCAAGGTATTGGCGACTTGGCGATATTGGAGCTCGTCCCGACTATAGGCTAGAACGTCGTGATCACAACACTAGGCCAGCATCGCGTCATCGCCGGCATGGCATCTCGCACTGCAGAATTAGCTTTCGTTAATAGTATAGCCGTCTCGGCATCCCGAGCAGACGGGATTGGATGACTCGCGGCGGTTCTTGTCGGCCATTCCAGACTTGAGTATTCAATCAGGTACACGTACAGAATTGCGCACCGTCATTCTGCCGGCAACTAGATGGATCAAAGCTTCTGGCGGAAAGCCATGGAGCCATGAGCTTCTGGGCGGTGGTAAAACGTCTCAGGGGTCCTTACGCCTACGTCTTTCTCTACGCTACATTTCGTAGGTGTGAATCCTCGCGCTGGTGTTGGGGTCTTCCCTCACAGGCTTATGAAACCCTACTTGAAGGACAGTGCAAAATGGTGTTTGGCATACATGTACAAAATTTCCAGCAGCTCTTTCATTGCCAGTGTATACCAGTCAAGGGGCAACCAAAAACGTACCGGTAACATTTCCGAGCTGTGATGAGTACACGCAAAATTTGACACACAACGTGACTCCGACTATAATCTCTTTTCCAGACTGCATTTCATCAAGATAACGGATATTTACACCCGCAGAAATGGCGGGTATACCCGTACATCACTAGCACTAAACCAACACCCACGCCCAATTCACACACCTAATTCGCACACTCAATTCATACACCTAACTCCTATATACCTCCTTTATATAGATATTAGGTGTATGGGTGTATGGGTGTTAGGTATGTGGGTGTGTAGGTGTTGGGTGTGTGGGTGTTGGGTGTGTACTGTGTGTGGCTGTGCAAATAGGCCTGGGTGTTATATTGCAGCTGGGGCGCGAGTGATGTACGGGTGTACCCTCCGGTTTTATGGGTGCGAATATCCGTTCTATTCATTAATCGACAGCGGAATGTGTCAAAAGCACCTTTTCCTGCGATCCTGCTGGATTTGCGTACGGCAAACTCGACACTCTTGTGTCTGCCGACAGTCTGCCACGCACGTCTCACTTCCCCCAAGTTGTTCATTTTCTGCGACCCAAACAGTCTGTCTGCCTCCCCCAATGCCATCCCTTACCTCATGATCGCCGCCGGACCAGGAGACTATCCACTTGTCGGAGGACCCTGGCAGATCTCTTGGAACGCCGGTGAGGCCTCTTTGGACGGCCAGTCGCTGATGTCCCTGAGTCTATTGAGGAAGAATAATTCCCCGCTCGGTGTAGGTGGACCGACTGCGTACTTGGCTGACAGTTCCCCTTGGAGGTCTTCCTTCGTGACATACATGCTCTGCTCGGGGCACTTTTCATCCTCCTCAAAACCCTTCGGCAGGCTTCGGAAGCTCAAGCACCGCACGTAGTCCTCGATGCCATCCGAGTCGGCTGCATCCATGCCCGATTCAGACCAGCCCAAATACTTCAATCTCTCACGGTCCTCCCAAAATGCCCATCCAACCTCTTTGAGCCCTGCTTCTACAGCGTCGAGACTGCGCCGGGGGAAGCGGTTGTCAGGTATGGGCCAGCTCGCCAATTCCATGACAGCAGGTGTGTAAATGAGACTTGCGCCCCTAGTCAAACGACGGTTGCAGAAAGGGTTGGTGTTCGGGTCCTGGTCATCGCACCATTGCTTTCCCAGGTAATTCTCGTGGTACAGAAGCAAGGTTTCCTCTAAACATGGCATTAGGTCAAACGTGGTATTCTTGAGAAAGAGCCGCTGGTCGTTGAAGCTAGACCGTAGGAGTTGCTGAAGAATGGGAAGACCGAGACATGACATATTGTATGTCCAACGCTCGAAGAAGTCACAGTGGTCCTTGTTAGAGATGTCTGGCGCAAGGATGACTTCGCTGTCCAGCGCATGTCGAGCCCTCCTGCTGAGTCGCCGTACATCACAACGAAAGTCGGCCACAAGCTCTCGAACGAGTAACCGGTACTGTCGGTGAACGTAGGCCCACACACACCTTATTTCTTCCTCTTCCCAACGCTGAAGGAATTGGGAAATAGGACGAAAATATCCCTCAATGTGAAGTTCATCCCATTGCGTTATGTGCGTGTTCCACATTGTAATCGCGCTGGAGCGAGAGCAGAATTCATAGCGACGAAATCCTCGCTGCAAGCGTATTGCCTCATCCTCAGTGAGGGCCGGCCAATCATGCCGCAGGTTGGCTTCCTGTCGTCGAAAGGAATGGTCGAGTTCGGAAAGAGGGGGAGGTTCTCCGATTAGAAAGCTTCGTGCGAAAGTCTGGTAATCTCGGATGAATCGTTTCAGTGTGCCATACAATGACATAATGTAGTTGATTTGGTACTTGTCAGCTGGTTGCGGTACACCGTATCTCTGTACCTCCCTGAACTTAGCTGCTCTGACGTTTCTGAAATGAGTTTTGAAGAAATCGTCAAGGACGGTGAACAACCAGGTTTCATATCTGCAGCGTTCCCAAGCAGACGCTCCGTTTCTGCACACCACCCCCGAGTCATTTCGATGAAAAGTGTCGAACGGACTAGATGCGTGTCAAGAATACTTAGTAATAAGTTCTAGGATTGACTTCAATGTTCCATCGTACGTGGATCTCAAAAAACGTACTCTTTCTCGGGGACATGATTGAAGTCCTCATATTTGGGGATGTGCAGCAGGCCCAGATACTCTGCAAAAATCTCCGCTGGCAGGTGCGCCTGAAGCACCTCAATGAGTATGGCTTCTCTAAAGCAGCCAAAACTGCCAAGTGCTCTCGGGCTGGCTCGGATCGTGGAGTAAACGTCTTCAGGTGAAGCCATGTGCCGCAGGATGTTGGCCAAAACCTCCGCAGGTAAGGCCTCGAAGACCGGTGAGGTATTTGGCGACATGGCGTGTCTGGCGATGGACAGTCCGATAGTGGTGAAGTATTTTGATTCCAGACTGGGGAACGATCGTGGACCGACTTGAAATTCAACGGGTTCTTTTGCAGGTGCTTTTTGTGCAGCAGACGCTTGAGCGTTGATGGTAGGGGTTGACTGCTGAGTAAGGTCGACTTTTTCGTAGTCAGGTGCGATATGCTGAAATCCGAGACTTTGGGCTTTTAATGCGCGCTGTGGATGGAGCATTGGTGAAGGTAGCTGGGAGTTAATCCACAGGGAATGAGAGTCCCATTGATAGGTTTGTGTGTTGTCGAAGCTGGGAAGAAGGGTGGGTGACTGCAAGGGACAGAAGCTTGCACGTAACAATCGAATCAAAAAGTCGTGACTTCCATTGTTTGGCCTAATTAGCTTGTTGGCAGAACTACTCGCAAGCCAATAAAAGCAAACGGAGGTGCCTTGTGGGAGACTTTCATCTGAGGAACCTTTCAGCGCCCCACTTTCTGACATCTGTGATAGCAAACGGCGCGAGTCACTTCTAGAGCCAGACAGTTGGACCCTAAACCTTGTGATCCAAGGAGACGAAATAGCGGAATCCGAGCTGTCCATTTCCGCGCCGGGTTCTCGGCGAGCAGATACTACAGGATCAGATCTGCATGAAACAGCGGCCGAACTCGACGACAACCCCACAAACGATCTTCAAATCGAGGGATCTCCCTTTTCCATGGAACATGTCTCTGACTACGAGCCTAGAAGTCACCACCCCGTATAGCTAGGCGATTTCCTCGGCAATGGGCGTTATCGTGTGTTTCATGAGTTGGGGATGGGCGGATACGCCAAGGTCTGGCTGTGCCGTGACCTTGCCGCCCCGACGCCGAAATATGTTGCATTGAAGATTCTTATGGCCGAGGCTTCTACGGAAGACTGTCGTGAGCTCATGTGCGCAGAACAGCTCAAGAGTACTATGGTTGCCGAAGAGACACGACCCATTTGTGCACCTCTGCGGCAATTTGGAACGGATAGGCCGAACGGTTCACACTTATGTTTTGTGTACCCTGTCTTGGGACCTAAGGTGTTCTCTGGCTTGTTGGGCTTCTCCAAGGATCTCGACACAGCCTTGAGGGGAGTTTGCCACGAAATTGCAAAGGCTATGGCGTTGTTACACGCGCTGGGCATATGCCATGGAGGTCAGTCATCCCTAAAATGTTCTGTTATACGTGGAGGACCTGCGGCGTATTAATTACTCCGAGCAGACTTTACACCAACCAATATCCTATAACATCTTTCAGGTCTGGAAGACTTGCCCGAGGAGAAGGTACTCGAAGTTCTTGGGAAACCGCAAACCACCGCCGCAGTGGAAAACACTCGTCAACCGCACCAACTTTCGACGGCACCTCCGTATCTCGTCTATCCCGTTTCATGGCGCTCAGTCGACAAGCACTATTTCAGCAACACACCCTGTGTCACGGATTTCGGCGAGGCCTTCAAATGCACCGACCGCTGGGCGCTGGGCTGCACGCTATTTGAAATCCGAGCTTTCTCCCCATTCGATGACGATGATGACTCATACCTTGACGCGATGGTTGAGACTTTAGGCATCATGCCGGAGCCGTGGTGGTCGACCATATGGGAGGGCCGGGCGCAGGTGTACGTGGACGAGCCGGATGAGCTGGGGCGTGCGGTGCTTGTGCGAGAAGAGGAGCAGCGTGGTAAGGGGGCAAACGCAACCTATCATCCGTCTGCGGCTCAAGGTGCGCATTCACTCCAGGAGAAGCTGACGGCTGGCGTGTGGTATATGTCTGATGATGCGCCCGAGGCTGCGCACAGAGACATTCCGCCGGTCGAGGCGAAGCTCTTCGCGGATCTACTGGGTCAGCTACTGAGATGGAAGGCTGAGGAGCGAGTGAGTGCTGAAAAGCCACTGAGCCATAAATGGTTTCAATTGTAGAGCGTACCTAGCTACATGAGGCTCCTTCCAGCATGGCTGGTCAGATTACGGTCTCAACCCTTCCAAAGAATCATGGGCCAATAATACTATCATTGGCTGGTGTGACTGGCTCAGAGTCGGCTAAGATATTCCAGGCCTCCAAAAATCCAGCGATCCTCCTCAACCGAACCTGGACATCGTGTCCCTGTCTACCTGCCTGTTGCGATTACACACGCCACTATCTGCTTCCGACGGTGTGCTAGCTACATTTTCCTCCGGTGACTCTTCCCAATTTCATACCTCATGTCTGAGGATGCACACTTTTTGGGCCCCAACCCCAGCTTTCGTGTCAGCCTCAGGAGGTGCGAACAGAAATCCGCTGTGTGTCTTGTATGCAGATCCAGGGTTGAGATTGTTTCAAAGCCCTCATCTTCTTGCTCAGCCGCGCTCTAGTCAATTAGTGGGAGCTGGGTTGAAGTAAAGTCCACCACGGCTCTGGCACCTGCGACAAACTGCGACATTGCTTGATAATCGCCGCGGCGATCCTTGGGCGAATACTTGTCCATGACCAGCTCTTTCAACTCCTGCTCTGTGAAGCGTGCCGCCAGTACTGAGTCGGGTATCTTTGGCTTGAGCCGGGATGGGCTGAGGCCTCTGTTCTCTGCTTTGTTGAGCCACATAGCTTTGTTGAGCCATATACGCATGGTCAAGGATCCGTCGTGATGCGGAAGGCCCAAAGAATGGAGCTTGGGCCTGTCGTCAAAAAAGACCCAGCCCAGACGGCGAACACGATGATCTTGCCGGTATCCGCTGATGCTTTCGACAATTGCGCAACTGCTGCTCGAAACTTGCATCATAGAGTTGCAATGCGGGCCAACTCCGAGGGAAAGTCCCGCGGCCGTACCTCGCTTGTACGCGATGTCACCCCAGTTTAGCGACAGTAAACTGGAATTACCTGGCCTCAGGAGCTTGTTGAACGCAGTTCGCATGAGTTCCCTGCGTTCTGCGAGGCCGGATCTGGTCAGTCTGTCAAGAAAGACCAAGCCCAGTCGAATCATGCTTTCTCTCCAATCGAAAATCCGGCCCGGATCCAAGGAGCCGAAGCCAAGTATTTTACTCCCCTTCCGTGATAGCCAATATTCAGCGGTCATTCTCGCATCACTGCCGTTCTGCTCACGCACGCCGTCGCCACGGCCCTGGTTCACGCCCAGGACATGATTGTGAAATTCCTCAAATGAGTTCCAGCGAAGACTGTCATAGAGGTCCCTGACATAGATAGAGGCGCAAACTATCTCCTCGACCTCGTCCATGGGCAGTATTTCGGAAAATGGATTCAGCACCCAAATTTTGGAAATGGCTGAGCCGGATGGATTGGTGATTGCCGCGTCACAGACATCAGGGTTGCAACTGGCAGCAACTGAAGGCAGTCCAATCAGACGACAGAACATCTCGTAGCGCAGGAGCCCTCGCTGAAGACGTAGCCGCTCTGTGAAGGTAAGCGGTGGCCATTCTCGACCTTCCTGGACCAGCTGGCCCGTTCCGTTTGTGGGTGGGAAAACGAGCCGGGTGCCTGCGGCGTTGCTTCGGGCGAAGGTCGGGTAGAAATTGACGAATTTGGAGACACAGAAGTAAAGTTGGACCATGAACCTGATCAGGCCGTTGAACTTCGTGACGTTCATGGTGGGGTCTGGAATCGGGTAGACGGCGCCGCGGGCGTGGCTCTTTAGGAAGTCATATGCATTCTGCGCCCAGGCATTCCACTCGTCCACGACTGAATCGCGAGCTTCCTCCCATTCATCGGCTGGCTGAGGAGCTGCTACATTTGGGCTAGTTTGACAAATTAGTGTTGTGTCCGAAATGACACATTTGCGATGCAGACGGAGGAGTCGTGACTAACCAGTTGTTGTGATCTGGCGCATTCACAATCGCAAGTAGCTCGCGAAAGATTTCAGGAGCAAGGCAGGCCTCAAGTGCGGCCGCGTAGATTCGCTCTGGTCCAGTCATGAATGCTCTCAAAGCGGCTGGACTGGCTTTGATGGTTGCCAGAACATCTTCTGGCGTAGACATGTTGCTGAGGACGTTGACAAGGAGCTCAAGAGGCATGGCCTCGAAAGGGCTGGTCTTGTGCGCCATGGTCGCTGGGGCCGGCCAACGGGCGTTGATACGAGGAGGGGGTGACGGTCGGGGGTGAGGTCTGTCGAAGTGGTGGCAGTGAGAAGGGTGGAAAACCTTTAGTGGGCCAACACTTGTGCGTTGATTTTGAGGTGGGAACGGATGGTTCGTGGGTGTGAGGAACAGACCCGGTTCGTAAATGACGAACAAACACAGACAAACGGAGCTTGTAGCTGTCTCTTCGTCGATTAGGCAGATACCTGGTAAGTACGAGCATAGCAGGCACTCATAAGGAGAGTCAAACGGCCAGGAGAGAACCAGCGGGTGGGTGGCAGCAAGTCTCTCTTGCCTGCAAAACCCAGTACCGTCGAAAACGTAGATGCTGCTTGTGCGATGCCCACTATGAGCTTCAGTCAGAGAGATACCGGTGGTCAAAGCTGCCCCAGGACCCACATGTAGAAAGAAAGTGTGGTGCAGCCAGTTGAATTCTCAAATTGGGTGACAGGCGGCCTGTAAGTAACAGAGAGCACAAGGTTAAGAGAGGCGTTCGAATTTTGACAGCAGGCCGCGTCCGGGTAAAACACACCAGAAAGTGAAGCAGAACGCACCAGCTCCCACATTTCCCATTTCACTGGTACGCCTACTTAAACTTTCCACACTGGAATCGGTGCAAAAGCGTCCCTCGCACATCGTCAGCAACCGCGCCTCCCCTTTTCCCTCCCGAGCTAGGGATTTACACCAGCAAAGACCCTCAACCGCACCGTCACCACTTCTACGATTCCCCCGACAGCATCTACAGTCAGACTGCCCGTTTACAGGTCCTGTATCTGCCCGCCAAAATGTCTCAATTCATGAGCTTTGACGGCTTGCCGCTGATTGTCCACGATCGCATCCTCCGCTCCCTGCCATCCCCGCAAGATGTCGCCAACACCATCCGCGCCAGCCCAGGTTCCCTTCATGCGTTCGTGACTGGGAGTCGCAGCATCCTTCTGTCTGCACTGAAGAACTTCCTATCGCCGGAGAACCAGCATCTGATGAATCTGGTCATGGCAGCTCGCCACATCTGCCATCATGGGTAAGTAGCATCAGTAATGCCCGTATCCTTCGAACCGCCACCACAGCCGCCCTCACCTTACTGACCTCGTGGACAAGAAACTAAACTTTTTCACACAGACGGCCTGACGGCTTCAAAGCTCTTGACTTCAATCAAGCAGTCAACGCCTACATTCAAAACAGCGACCTGCGCCCTCTGACCCTAGACACCGTCCATCGTTCCATCAGGCTCTACGAAGTGGTGGGAAAGGCTATCACAGCCTACAACCTATTCACACTCGCAAGGTCACAGCATCGAGTGCCGAAGCTATCTACCCCTGAGGCATCCAGGTGGCGCTACCAGTTTACCGGGTGTGGCTTACGGACTCCAGACGAGGAAGAGACTTCCAGAATTTGGAGGGGTTTCCTGTTGTATGAGTTAGTTTGCATCATACACGGTGTGCCCCAGATCACGGATGCCGCTTCGAGCCGGCGCCACTATGCCTCGGACGTGGCGCTGGAGATGAGCAAATCCTTCCGAGAGACCCCGACATACATGCGCGAGGAGATCATGTGCATTCAACAATACGTTCAAGAACAATACGACTTGGCATTCAATGCGCTCGTTGAGAGTTTTGAGCTCGCTGTCGGTGAAATTGGCCGACAAGCTCTAGACACTTCAACGCCTCCCGCGGAGAGCACCGTGCCAATCGTGGACCTGGATTGGGAAACCTTGGGAGTCCCAGTACAACACCTCATCGAGCCACCTTGTAACAAGTCCAACATGTGGTCAATCAACATGGCGGTGCTCGGCGTTAGTTTCTTGCAGAGATTCCTTTCTTGGGACGAATCCACCCGGCTTGAATTCATCCGCTTCACCTATCCCTTCTTGAGCAACTGGGAGGAATGCCCCATTGAGGCCTTCCTGAGTTCCGACATTAATGTGGATGATTTAACGGCCAAAGAATTCGGATGGGCATCAAATGACATTGATTACTCTTTTTATGTGTCTCGAAACGTCGATGTCAACATCCAGCTCCGATTGAGAGCCGTGGGCTGGATCTTCTGGGAGAACCCGGACCGACTTTGGCTCATGAGTTTGGCTGAGGGCCTTGTGGACGAGGCTTACGCGTCTTCATATGCACTCCGCCCCCACCTGAGGCTCCAAGGCCGACCCCATTTGCTGGAAAAGTCTGTCGAACCGGAGGAATGGGAACGCGTCGTCCGCTTATTTGGTCCTTCTTTATCCGAAAGCCAGCTCAAGGACATCAAGGGTCTGTTCAAGTCAATAGCAAACCTGAAATCCGGTAGCTTTTCCGACGTTGTCTCCACCTTGCGTTGCCACCATGAGGGAGATGCTTCAATTGAAGCCCAGGAGAATGATGGCTGAGTAGGACGGTGGAAGGAGAGCTTCAGACGGTTGCAAACATGGAAATGATTGAAAGTGGAGTGACAAAACCTGAGCGCATGGCAGTTTCCCCAATCTGGAAGCGGACCATCGGTATTGCAGCAAGGTTCCGAAGCGCAACTCTGGTGCCATCACCATATTACTTGAAGAGACTCAACCGCTGTCACACGGACCCAATTGAGACAGCAGGCAGGAAGGATGAAAGCGTACACCGTCTTCCGACAGTTCTAGGCAGGGAAAATCGGCTTCATTGGGGCTCATACAAAAAATCGAAGTCGTCTGGCCGGAATGACGGCTCTATGTGGAGGAGTCGCACAGTTGCTTCTTGTTCAAGGACGGTACTGATAAGTATCAAGTGAAGGGCCGGTTGGACAATGTCAATATTGTAATGTCAGGAGGGAATCGGCTACCTAGGTAGCTGAACTCTTGAAAATCCAAGATAGCTTGATAAGTTCTGCTACCCCAAACTTTCGCGAGAGCAATCCACAAGGGCGCGGCGACTGTGGTGGATGGCCACTTTTTGAAAATATCCCAATTTGGTTTAGACGACTGAAAATTGTACCCCCCAATGCCTTGGCCTTGTTTGACTGGGCTTTCAAGCACGAAATGAGAACAAATCCAGGATAATGATATATTTGCTGATCGTCCGATCCATTCTTGGCCGCTGTGGGTACCAAAATCTGTGCCTTACTTCCCCCGCCCTCTTCAGATACGCTCCTTGTCCCTCCGATATCAGAACCTGTCCTTGTCATCCTGGAAGCCCATCATGCCATACATCTTTTGACGAGCTTCCCGCGTTCCAGGCCACCCTCCGTGAAACAACTCCCAATACTTCCTAATCCCATCACCACCAGAGTCATCATCCTCGACATCCGCGATCGCCTCCCCCTCGGGCTGCAACAAAGCCACAGCCCGACCCACGATACCATCGTCCGCCAGCAAGCGCATGACCATCCGCGCGTGGGCCTCGACCGAGACGAACTGCACCCCGAGGCCCGTCAGCACCTCCGAGACCCCGTCGGGCCCTTCGTTCATACCCGTCTCCATCAGCCACGGCACAAGCGCGTTGACGCGCACGCTCTTGCTGGCAAAGGGCACCCGCGAGGCCCGGAACAGCCCCCGGGCACCGAACTTGGACCCGCCGTAGATGACGCTCCCCGGCAGCGTGACGTAGGACTGCGGGCTGAGGATGAACACGACGCTGCTCGGGGAGGCCTTTGGCGCGGAGGGGGAGCTCATGTACAGCTGGGCCAGCTTCAGGCTGAACATGGCGCCCTTGGTGTTGACGTCGATGGGCCTGGTGTCCGGCTCGGGCGGGTCCTCGTCCAGGTTCGTCATTCCGGGGTCGTTGCCGATGAAGAAGGGCTTGTCCATGATGCCGGCGTTGATGACGACGTGGTCGAGGGTGGTGGGCGGGGTCTCGCTGCTTGGCGCGAAGCGGATGGCGGCCTTGAAGGCGCTGACCTGGTCGGACCACTGCCTCACGTCGCAGTGGATGAATTGAACATTTTCGCCGAGAGTGGATGCCAGATCCTTGCCTTTGGTGACGTCGATGTCTGCGATGGTGACGCGCGCACCGGCTGCGGCGCACTTTATGGCGATCTCTTTGCCGAGTCCTTGGGCCCCGCCGGTCACCAGAATAGTGTTGTCTTTCAGAGATGTGGTGTCCGGCTGGGCAGTGAGGGTGGCAGAAGGGACGGGACCGGAGAGGTGGATCGCCATTGTGATATCAACGTAGATCTCATTCCAAGCTCTAGAGTGAGTTCAGAAAGGACAGTGAAAGTTTAGCAGGAAAAGAAAATGAGCTGATGTCAGGTCTGGGCATTGTATCCAGTCCCGTCAGCACCAACTCGCCCTAGACTGTGACTGTTGGGTGATGCGGAGCCGGTTGGTCTGACACCGAGGCTCCGCCCTCGGCTTCAGCTCGCCAATATAACAAGAGTGAAATATCTTGTTGGTCTCGAATTGATCAACCTCCAATAGCTACAAGTAGCGCACGCCCGCGGCACAGCCAACCCGGGTTGGTGGACCCATGGAGGGGTGGAGTGGGAATGATCAGACGTCAGTCATTTCAAACCTCATTACTGGATATGTATGAATACATTGGGAGAACTTCTCCTTCCTCCTAGAGCCACGTTTCCATTAACCACCTTCCAAAATCACAATTCACCCTGCACTACGATCCCACGTAGCCTGTCATCCACCATCTCAGAACCAACGCCGAAACCAAAAGAAAATGCGAAATCAATAATGGAAAGCAAAGCTTGGAGAGCTTGGTTATTGCTCCCCATCCTCAACTTGAAGTGCAGAGGCCAGTTCTTGCTCAAGTCTCTCGCTGTTAGCAATCGGCCCTCCTCCCCTCATCCCACCCATCGACAATCTCGATTGTAATGGGAACCACCGGTGCATCTCCAGCGTGAATGTCGGACTCGTAAGCAGCAACTTGAGAGAGGCATCCGTTTCTCTTTGACGCGAAAGCTGCAGGATTGGCTCTAACACACGCGTCAGGTCCTCCAGAAATCCGTCCCCCTCAAAGAACGCCACGCCATCCACCAGACAATACAAGGCAACGCCACTGGGCAAGAAGCGCACGAGGGACTCGAATAGCACACATAGAGCGCTCAGGTCGCCGGCCCGGATGCTGGGAATCGCCCAAGAGGGCAAGGGAATTCCGCCGCCGTTGAAGGAGCTCAGCTGATAGCGTTTGATGTAGTCCAGCAGCTGGCGGATGAAGCTTTGGACCAGTGCGCGGCCGCCAGTGTGGGCGTCGCCCAACAGCTCGGTGTGCAGCCCGCAGAAAAAGACCAGCGGGATGGAACGAGGTGCGCGCCGCGCGAGCACGCGCTCGAGGGACACACAGAAGTGCGACAGGCCGGACATGTAAGCCAACGGGCTATAATCACCCTCGATGAGGAGCTGCGACGATCGAGGGCTCGTCAGCCAGTCGACGAACTCTCTGATTATGGCGAACTCTTCGATACGCGCCCGGTCCCGCATCGACACCGCGTACATGCCCCTGTGGGAGAGGGTTTGCAAGTCTTGGGAGAGGATGTCAGGGATGTCGACCCAGCTGACAAGGTCATCGGTGCTCACGCAGCACATGAATTTTCCTGCATCTGGGGCTGTTGAGGTCGGTGCGAGGAAACCGGGCGTGGACGGGGGCGGCGCTGCGCCTGCGGCGACGGAGGGAACATTAGCGTTGTCAGCTACGACTTCTTCCTCGTAATAATCGTAGAGAGGGATATTTCGACGCTGGTTCTCGTCTAAGAATTCGCGAGACATGTTGGATAAGTCGTGATGACGGATTCTTCGCTCTTGATGCTTTGGATTTCTTGATGGTTGAGACTCCTATAGCAGGTTATTCTGCGTTGTAGGAAAGGCTCGTTGCAGGAAGTATTCCTGTCTGTCCCAAGGTCGCTGGTGGAGAGGCCAGGCGCGGGTTTTTATACGAGCTGGGTGGGGGTAAGATCAAAAATGGTGATCTTGACAGAGCGTTCAGTGTGAGTGCGGACAATTGGTGACAGACGGTCGTTACTGAAAAGGTCTACAGTTCAGTTGGGCTGCAGCTTGGAAAATCTTCCCAATTCAGCGAGGTGCCAGGAAAGAGAGAGTTGGTCACCCTCGTAAATCGTGACTGGCATAGCAGGGCCGAGCGACGCCCCGATTTCATTTGGTGAGTCGTGAATAACCAAGGTAACGAGTCACGGATAACATCGAGATAGTCACGCTGGGAATGCTGAGTGGAATTCGTGCAGGCAATTTTGGACGAGGTCGACCGCTGCTGATTGCATGTGCAACTTTCGTATTTGTCCATGAGACGGTGCCATTCGGGGACGAATTTGAGCTGACTGGGTACTTTCGTACACTCATATCACGGAATTCTTGAGTAGTGGCTCAATTACGGGAGCGTCGTTGGACGATGATTCTTTCCTGGGTTGCGTTCTTCATATGCGATGCTCCACGAGTTGAGTCTAGTGGAGAGGGGTGCTGAAAGATTGTGAGGCACCAAAAATTATCTCTTGTTAGCTACCGTGAAGTGCCAGATCATGGAATTCAAAACGCAACAACTCTCGTCGAATCGAATTGCCAGCAACGCCCAGGAAGACAAGTAGGAGAGAGAGGATGTATTTGAGGTATGCAACAGCATACCGCGTACACAGAAGAACTGGGTCTAGATGCGGAGGCAATTGGCTGTTGAATGCGTCGGGATGGCCCGCCTTCATAATCAGGCGAGTGCTGCCATGGTAATACTGCTGTGGAATCGAAAAGCCAAAGCTATCCTTCGACCAGGAAGGATTGCAGCGAGTCAAGTCGAAGGAAGACAGGAACATCCGTCAGACAGATACCAACATGAGACACCCCATAACAGAGTACATGTTCAGCAAGGAATACAAATCGCAGTATACCGTGCGATCTACCCCTTGAAATGTGCAAGGACACAACAATATGCGAACTGGATTACTTGAAAGGAAATACAAGGAACCCTCCTCAGCATACATACTTCTCCATCCTGTCTGGAAGCATATGAGTCCTCCTCGGGTGTGCTTCTTCGACCGTACAGGGTTTTTATGATTACGACGAGGAAATCCGGGAGATGTGTTTAGGAATCTAGCACCGTCTGACATAGATACAAGAGTCACCAAACGTATCCTCGCTGAGTTTCTGTATCTCAACGTACTCATTCCCCACCATTTCTCGCACGCGAGACGACTCTGGATCACATCTGCCCAAATTCAAGTTGTTAACAAAGACTCACCAGAGGACAACTCAATAAGAATACCACTTACATGTTTCCTTCAAGCTCTTCAATACTCTTGAATCTCTGCTCTTGCCACCATTTCGACCAAGCGCTGGCCATCTCCCCCTCAGACTTCACCCTATTCCATAGCATGATAGCAGGCCGGGCAACATCTGCCACAATCTGCCTGACCGGGACATTAGATGAGAAGGAGATGACGACGCTCGAGTCGTCGATCTCCAAGAAACCGTGCGGGTCCTCGAGGACGTGAATTCCTTCGCCCTCTAGGACAGCTCGATCCGCATCCGTGCAGACGGGGTCCTGGGCGTAGCACTTGATATCCCCATCCACAGTGAGACTCTGCAGGACATTCTTGATTGTAAGTATCAAGGCATGTTGTTTGATGCTGCGTGCCTGAACAGCTTCGCAACCTGACAAGGTGCAGCAGGCAAATGCAATGACCTTGGTGATCTTGCCGGGAATCGTGCTGGCCATCAAAGCAGCAGTAATCCTTTTGCACTCCTCGCTGTTTATCCAGGCCTTGACACCAGCATCCAAGGCTTCTCTGGTAGCCTTCATAGTCTGGCCTCTATTCTGAGACAGGAATTGTTTTGTAGTTTTGTCGCGTTCGCGTTCATGATAGTTTATTCGCAATGGGCAATAAGCTAGCCTTAAGGGACAGTATTGACCAGGATCCGTTTTGGCGGCGATCAAGTCCTGATATGTTACGTAGTCGATCGTGGGACCAGCCCTGTCCAGACGATTGTGGTGAGCAAGCTTCTGTCTCAAGGGTTTTCTCATACTCACACAACGTGTTCTGTTGTGCCGGCCGTTGGCCAGACGGTGCCCGTCTCATTCTCAATCTCCATCGTCTTGCCCTCTAGTCCTTGCAGAAAGAACATCTGTCCGCGGCTCTGACCCTCGTCGTTGCACTCGGACGTACCTACATGTTGAAAATGCTTCCTCGCGCGGTCTAATTGGTCCTCCAGGTCAGCAATAGCACGTTTCGTGAAGAAAGGGATGCCGCTTGCATAGAGTTCCCGGACTCGATCAGCGGCCTGGGTCCTTTCCGGCCTCGTTTCCTCGAGCTCCGCATCTGTCAGTCCGGCGTGAGGAATGATGGCCATGGGGTTTATTGTAGGCTGATTATAATGTGGTGTCAAGTCCTACTCTGAGTTTAAATCCGTGAGATAGTTTGTTTAGCAGGCGTTATGACACTGTAGGTCCACTCAGAGATGAGGAGGCATTACAAGAGTCTGTGTTGTTCTGGCTTCCGACGGTACCCATCCCATGTCTGGGTTTTATGCAGCACTCACGTGCTTATGCATGACTACCTTCCTTCGGTATACAGCAGAGTCTCTTGGCTGCACCCAGAATACCTAGAAGAAAGCAGGGTAAACGGTATCAATACTCAGAGTCCACAACCACAGTAGAAGAATGTAGCTCTTTCCGACCAAATGACCGTCATCAAGAAATTTAAATAGTGGAGAAATATGAAGTGCAACGGAATGTGAACGATGACAATGGGACTGGCCATTTTTCTGCATCACAGCAAGCATCAAATATAGCATCACGTCTCAGCGCATCCTGAAGGGAACTATGCTTCTCTTTAACTAATTGTCAAGCATCCACCGTCGCGGGTCATATCAATGAACACCGCCCAGTATAATGCGTCATGCCGGTACAAACAATCTTGGTTCGTAGCCTCAACCAGAAAGTGAACAATTCAGAACTAACGAAGATGAAACGATACAGACAGCACAATAACTGAAGTGGTGACTCATGAAGCTTAATACTAAGGTCAAGCCGACGATGGCCCAACGCCTCACCTTGACGAAGACGATGTAGCGAAAAGCCAGAACAATATCCCCCACACTGGCTTATGACTTCCAGATCTGTGCTTTTTAAGCACCTGCGAGTCCCAATTCCCTAATAAAGATGTCCGCAGCCTTCTCGCCAATAACCATGGCCGTGTTCGCCGTATTGGCGCCGACGTTCTTGGGGACGATGCTCCTACAAAACACAGAATTGTTAACAATCATTGAAGAAGTGTCCAAGTCGACCCCTGAAACGAAATATCCGGGATACAGTGGCAGGGGCAAAGCCAATAATGGATACCTACAAATCAGCCAGCTTCAGGCCTCGCAGACCATGCACACCAAGAGCCCCATCAACGACGCCGAGGCGCCCGGCCGGCGCCATCTTGGCAGTCCCCAGCGAGTGCCACGTGGTCGCCACATTCCCGCGCAGGAAGTCCTGGATCGCGGCGTCGTCCTCGGCGGAGTATCTGATATCGTCTTCCACATCGTGGGCCCCAGCGCCATCACCACCGACTTCTTCGGCACACGCGGCCCCCGAGTCCGGGGCGAACCGCGGGTGGCCGGACGCGATCTCGCCGCGGTACATCTTCGTGCGGCGCACGATCTCGCGCTGCTTCTTGTACGCCCACACGTGCTTCTTCAGGTCGATGTCGCCCTTGTCTGAGAAGATGCCGACGTCAAAATCGATTGGGTCGGTGATGCTTGGTCCGGTGATGTGGACATGGCCACGCGAGTATGGGTATCTGTGAGATGGGGGCATGTCAGTCAGCCACCTCCTGGAGTAGTCTCTAAATCCTGATATTCCCTGTGGTCTGGCCACTATTCACAACGGAGATAGCTAACTTACGCCGTATAATTCAGTATGGACATATACTGCCCCGGGGGCACAGCAGACGGGTCCCCAAAATAGTAAGAAAAGGCAGCAGTGAGCATCAGCGGCTTGCTCGGAACGTCCTTGAAGTCTCGCTCCCAAGCCTCGCCGAAGGCGGGCCCCATGGCGGTAACATCAGCCACCGTAGGGCGCAGCTTCGAGCCGATGTCCGTGCCGTTCCAGCCCATCATCCTCGAGTTGCTATCGATCAGCGCCTGCCGGTCCTCGCGCCCCGCAAGGATCCCATGGAGTGTCTCGTCAGGCTCCAGGTCGGTCTTGTACGGGTAGTACACCAGCTGATGGTCCTGATAGTCGTGCCCAACACCAGGGAGGTCTGCTACCACCGACACGCCGGCCCGTTCCAGGATGCGCGCATCGCCCACTCCGGACCGCTCGAGGAGCAGCGGCGTCGCGAGGGCGCCGCAGGACAGGATGACCATCCGCCGTGCCCTGGCCGTCCTCACAGGCGTCATCGTTAGGGGCATCAGGGCTTGAAAGTCGGGGTTAGGCCGGTACTCGATGCCGACGGCTGTCGTCCCCTCGAAGAGGACGCGTAGGACCTGCGACTCGACGAGCACGTGCAGGTTCGGGTGCTTCCCCCCTTCAAGTTTCGGGTGCAGGTATGTGTGAGCGGTATCCTGTCGCCTGCCGTCTGGACTTACGTAGCGCAGCCAGCGACTGAATCCGTTATTGGTGTCCAGGTCCTGGAGATCTGTCAACTCGGGGTAGCCGACCTTCTCGGCCGCGGAAAGAATGTCGTCTTCGAATCTCTTGCAGCGGTAGGTGCCATCAGACACGTCCATAGGCCCGTCGCATCCGTGGTGTTGCCTGGCTCCGGGGCCGTGGTATGTTTCGAGCTATGTTCGCCATCAGTACTTATTCTTCAGAGCACTGGGAGTGTTCGTATATTGGTAGATGGGAAACATGACATCACCTCACTTTCTTTAGAAACGGCCACATATCGTCAGCAAACCACCCGGGCGTGTCCCAGGAATCGAAGTCGCAGCCTTGGGCACGGGTATACATCATAGCGTTGACCGAGGAGCCGCCGCCTAGCAGGCCGCCGGTGGACACGATGGGCTCCCTACCCGCCATCTGGGGTGACATTCTCCCCTTGTAGTACAGAAGCTTGTGCTTGCATGGTTTGAGATTTGTGTGGAAAAATGGCGGGTGCACAATATCCGGGTCATTGCGGTTGTTTGGCCCGGACTCGACCACGAGAATTGAGAGCTCCGGGCTGGCGTCAGCCAGCCGTGAGGCTACGATGCAGCCCGCCGTACCGCCTGGAGAGTTCAACACGGTGGTCAGCATTGATAGAATGGAAGTGTTATCCTTGAATGTGTCTCTTGATAGGTCTTACCTCCGGCGATAATCACATCAAACCCGCGGGCGTTGTCGAGCAGCTTTGAGGACAAAGGCATGTTATTTAACGCTGGGCCTTTCTACTGTGTGAAGGGACACCCTATCGCTCTTTAAGAGGACGTCAACGAATTGAGAACGAAACCACCGGGACCAGTATCGTTGGAAGACTATCCGGTTGACCAAGCTGCCAGCTTTGTTTAGAGGCAAAAGTCGAGAAATGAAGACCGTCTGTCACAGTGCTGGGAGATAGTTCATGGTCAGGAACTTGTTGGTGCGCAAAGGGAGGAAGACTAGAATTTACAAGCCGTACGCGAAGCCAAGGCGTTTATATAGTGGACCCCTGTAGTCAATAGGTACCGCGACACCGTCGACGAGGACTATTCTCCGCAATGGCTCCCCCTCACTGCTCATATCTGCCTTCCTATTTCACTCGATCACATATGTTACACGACAGTAAAAAGAGGCGTATGGGGAAGTCCGTCCTTGCGTAATCCTGCTTGCCCGTGCTATCTTTTCCTTGGCAGCGCATTCCGATATGCAAGTTCACCTCCGTCCATCCGTTGCCGTAGTTAGTTGAATGAAGATCTCTGAGGCCAGCTGATTCCCCATGCTTGCTGCTTACTTCGTCTCTCCCTTGTTCTTAATCTATCTATAACACGCAACACAGCGACTCAGATACAATGCAGATGCCCTGGATGTTACCGTGTACACGCCACGCTACCAGCAATCCCATCTGCCTTCACACTATTCCGCCTACAAATTATGTTTAGCCATTGTCCACCAAGACTCAGCCGTTTCTCATTGAGGGCTGATAATTCATGTCCTCTTCATAGTCGACTCCGTAATCAAGATTCCTTTTTCTTCCTCTGGTATTCCTGCCATAAATAATCCCAATGTAATGGTGTATCCATTGCGCGTTGCTATAGTAAAATGCACCTAGGCAAAAACTCTCACAACTCTTAGTACTGTATTTTCCTGTATTTGCACTTAATGCAGTACGTCAAAGAGAGAATAGTAACTGAGTTAGTGAAAATATATAAAAACTCAAACTTAGAAAGGTCACAATTCACGAGAGACTCAACAGATACACTTGCTTTATGAGGTTGTATACCAGCTCGCAGCTTAAAGTTCAGTCGAATGCTGTTTGCGCCGTCTAAGTGACGGGGACAAGGGATCGGGAAAATTCGCACAGACTTACGATCTACTGTTGAGGCACCCGCAGGTTGTATGGATTCAATTCGCAGCCTCTGATGACAGTGCATTTTGTGTTCGTCACTTGTGTTCCCAACGCCTCCTCTTCAGCTCCTTGAAGTCCACGGACCCCTCACCCCCTCGGAATAGGTGCTTTTCGTTCCCCGCACGCCTTTTCGACTAGAGGTGTTTCTGTGTCACTAATCCTACCGTAGACCATGAAAGAGAAGCAGAGCTGAGATATACAACCTGCTGCACAGTGACTTTGCAGATCATTGGTCGGCTGCATCGCCTAATTGCTCACGTAAGATTGAAGCCTACGATAATGATACGTCCTCCCTATTCTTTCTACCTGGGATGAACCCACTCCCTTCACGAGTCCTCTTCCACTTCCCCAGTTCCATCGCACCACTTTAGAGTAAAAACCACTGTCAACATGCAGATTTTTTCCTTTCTGTCCTTCGCAATAGCCGGTGCTAGAGCAGTGCAAGCACTGAGCCTGAACATCAGTGTCACTGCAGCGGCAAACAATGCATCAACCATAGAGTGCTGGCAGATGGACACCCCGTTCGCATCTTCAGCAACACCGGGTATCAAAGGCAGTGCAGCAGCGCTGATAGGAAACGCGGCCAATATCACGTTCACCGTGGTACCCGCTGGGTTCGACGGCGGTTTGCACAGGGCGCCCTTTAATCAGTAAGAAGACCACGTCGGCTCGAGAGTCTCATTGTTCGTCCCAGAAAGGAGTGTGCACTGGCTGACGCGCAAATAGATGGGTAGTGTTTCTCTCAGGACTGGCCTATGTCACATTACCGACAGACAATACCGCTGGTGTATATATCACCGGCGGGGAGTTTGGGCTGGTATTTGCCGCCGATACCGCGGCCGTGAGCGCCGAGGGCCATCGCACGCAGTACCCTGGTAACACGGAGACGGTAATTCTTCAGATTCCGACGAGCGACGGCTTGGTTCCAGGGCACATAGTATTGCATGGCGGTGCATGTACTGCGGACGATGTCCAAGGGCTTCGTGGGCTGGCGTTCGGCTTGTCTTAGGAATTCATGAAGTCCCTCGACAGATTCAGCTTTCTCCGTACTGCGTTCCATTTCATTAGCGAGACTCGCGATATCGTGTGCATTCCCGTGGGCGCACTGACCTCCTTGCATGCCCTCGTGAATGGGTTCTGTATTATCTGCCGAGTACTGCCACATGCGACAGCACCACAGGGCCACCAGCGCGTCCAGGGTCTTCCGGGGTAGCGATGCCGTGACGATCAACCGGTGGGTGTCTTCTCCCTCGTCCTCAACGGCAACAGCCTTGCCCTCACCGTCCGTCCACTCGTAGCCGACCGCCTTGTGGTTGATCTCAAACACCGGCTTTGCATCCTTGACGAAAGTCGGAAGGCCGAACCCTTTCTTGCTGTTCTTCCCCGACCTGTCGACGGGCAGGACCCTCCACTGTTTACGGCCGGGAAAGCGCGACTTCTTCAGGCCTAGTGTGCCTGCCTCCTTGGTAGTGCTGGAAACCGACTCGATGTGGTAGTTTGGGGATTCTGAGGGCCAAGAGTCATAGCCGCCCGGGACCTTGTGGTTGTGCTTGAGGTTGTAGACGTGCCGCTCGCGGTGCTTGACGGCGGGCTCTCCATCTGACGTCGTCTTGACGCTGTACTGGACCCGCTGGAACTCTACGCTCTGGGTTGCGTGCGTCAGGGATGCGATGCCCCGGTTGAGTTGGTAGAGCGGTGCAGAGTCTGCGGATTCCGCATGGATGGACTGTCCGGCCAGGATGAGAATCGTAGGCTGGCAGACGTCGATGACTTCGTCATATGAAGGTGGCGTGTCAAAGCTGGGGGCTGCAGTGGCTGGAGCGGCCATTTCGAGGATTTGATATGCAGCAAGCAGGTGGCTCGATGCAGTTCTGTGCCTTGAAATAGCAAGGACTGTGGGCCGGGAGCAGAAAAGAGGCGAGGGTGATGGATTTAACCCAGAGTCTTATGCATGTCATGCGGTATTAAGAATGGAACCTGGGGATGAGTCGCAGGTCTGATGGAGAGAGCTAAATGCAGGTGATCAGCGACAGGCTTGGCACTATACTGCATTCGGATGGTGCTGGTTGGTGGGCACGAGTAGTCTACCAGCTCTCTCGTGAACATTGAAGCTATGTTGGGGCGTATGCTGACACGCTTATACGAAGGCATATATCCCGCACATGTGGCTGCCTAGAACTGTGAGGGAGTGCAACGATGCCTACGACACTGTACGCGCTGCCGCTTTCGTGATCTGCCACGCCCGCCGCCGTCCAGCTGTCTCGCCAGGGAGCACTCAAGGTGGCTAGTCAGTTCATACTGCGTAAATTAATTTTGTGATGGTGCTAAAGGTATGAAATCTTCATACTAAGATGGAAATAAGCTATCATAAGTTGTTATACCAGACCATGGATATATAGATTATCTATCGTAAAGTTGCACGGCTAGCTTGCCGACTGGCTTGCCGACTGAATCACTATGTAGTTGCTGTGGTACTAGCAGTTGTCATTGTGCTATTGTTTGCCGTTGGGTGATCTTCCAACCCAAGACATCCACAGATTCGGTTGTCAGGGTCCCATTTGCGTTTAATCTCCATCAGTTTCTGATATTCCTCGGTTCCCCAGCACTTGGAGGGACGAGCCTGAAAATCATACTCACCCAAGTAGGAGCCGACTGACTGTGGCCCCAGTTGCTCCATAACACTGGAGAGCCATGACCCGCACTGAGAGTCGTCGGCCTCGTTCTCCCAAATAGCGTAGACGGCAAGGTAGTGATCCGACTGCACGCTGAGGGCCATGCCGGTCAACGGTCGACTGCTACGTGGTCTCATGGATGACCAGAGTGACAAAGATTGCCTCGTTGGAAGTGTGGTGAAAGCCGGCTCCATAAGAGAGACGATATCCACATCGTTGCGAAGGAAGACGTTGTCTACTTTGTACCGCTTGCCAATGGGATACGCCTTGGCCTTGTTGTCATACTCACGCTGTATGCTGGTTTCTTGGCAGACGGATGCAGACAAGGCTCCATTGGGGCGCGACTCTTCTGCGTATCGTAGCAGCTTCTCGACAAGATTTTCGTCGTCGCTCAAAGCCTGCAGAACTATCGTGGTACAAGGGTCTGGAATGCCCTCACGGTAACTCCCAACAGCAGTGAGCTCAATGGTGTTTTCGAGTGTGGAGGCGATCTGGGCAGGTCAGCAAAGCCTAAGTCATGATAGCTTCCAAAAAATACCTCAAGGGCCCAGTTCATCGCCGTCTTGTAATGTTCAAGCGGATAGACGTATGCGGATGAGCGTATCACTTCGGGCGCTGGCTGAGTTTGAAGATAGAATCTCGTCACGACGCCAGGGAACGCCGGACCACCACCCCTGGCTGCCCAGAAAAGGTCTTCATTAGTGTTTGCGTCCGCTCGAACAAGCTCGCCGTTTGCCGTCGCCACGTCAATGGCGACCACGCTCTCACACGCCCAACCCCAATTCTGCACCTTGGTCAGTTCACACTCTTCGTCACTGAACACGAGAAAGGCACTCACATTCGTGTTCCAACCCATGCCTCCTCCAAGAAGATACCCTCCCACGGCCACATCAGGGCAATGTCCACCAGGAAATGCTCGGCCGCTTGCTATCAAGTACTTGTCAAGCTCTATTCCCGTGGAACTTGGTGATAGTCGTACGACATGCGTCTTCTGATCAAGGACCAGCTCAGAGTACTGGCCCAGATCCACAAGCAGAGCGTTATCCCGAAGACTCCATGCCGGATAACTCTGGCCCCCTGCACGGATTGAGACGCGCAGTTTTCTCTCGAGAGCTACTTTCACCGCGTACACGATATCATGCTCTGCCTTGGCAAAGATTATACCGGTGGGATATCTATTGGGGACGATTCCATTGAATAGTCTACTGGTGCGAGCCTTGTTGTAGTCCTCGGACCTGGCGGTGTCCCGCCAGACCCCGGATGGTGTCTGCGTGCCAGCTGATATGCGGAAAGAGTTCAAAAGGGAGGAAGACATCGTATAGTTTTGCATATCAAATCAGTTGCACCTAGCGATATAGGTTGATCAACGCAACGCGGTAATTGGGTGACAAGGAGGAGAAGGCAAAGTCAGTCTTCTATTGTAATCACACGTTGGGGTGCGGTAATAATGTGAGTTCATAGTGACGTGGCTCAATGCGCTGATCTTATCCATTCTAAAACCTGTGTAACAGCCTTATGTACTTGTCGATACGAAACAAGATACTGTATTTGATATAAACATTCCAACAATTCAAATCTTTTCATATCAACCTCATTTCTAATTAGAATTTTCTATCTCAAGGAAGTTTACTTGATATTCTTCGTTTTGTTGTTCGTCAGTTGCAATGTCAAAGAGGGTATCAGAATATTGCCTCTAGCTCTAAGACAACCATCTCCAAGAACGACTGCCGAAAAGATTTGCGCAGCGGATGAAGAGGACCCTCCACTTCCATCCGAGTTTCCCACGCGCCGAAAGCCAGACTACGACATCCCTCAATACGGGAAGAAGGTATTTTGGTATAGCTTCGTCAATATCCATCAACAGTCGAGATCTTCAGAGCGCGAGCGAATGAAAGGATGGCATTGCCTCAAGTGGTGAGTTTTCCACAGTCTCACTAAATAAATCGGCTATTGTGTCCCTGAGAATTACATTTTATTCGTTCTACTATTATTCTAGATCACGAAGGACAGTCCTTAGCTATTGTCTGCTTCACTTGACCAGCCCACCAATGGACAAAAGCCTTGTTATTACGACGTCTCTGACCGTGACCAGTCCGCATGGGAACTCAGATAAGAACGCCAGACGTAACTCAATCTACAAGTCGGGAGAATTATTTGTGGAGTTGAAATGGCTTATGCCTGTCTCATACCCGCCAGGAGTGGCCCCTCCTCCACAAGAATGGCACGGCCCCCACCCAGACCGTACCGTCCGTCCGCGTCGCCTCTGCCGGCGTGCCCAGCATGGCCAATAGCTTATACGACGGCGCCCTGAAGACCACCATCACCCGTTTCCTCGAGACCTTCGCCGTCCGTATTGACGAGGACAACTTTGGCTACAACGCCGCAGATGTTTTGGGTGTCGAGTGGGCGCCGTCGCAGACCGCCCCTGTCGGTAGCGTACCCGGCATTAAGGTGCCACTCCTGGCGATGGGGAACACCGGGCACTACGAGTATCTCAACGCCGAGAAAATCTACCTGGCCGCCACTACCAGCGACAAGAGCATCGCTTTCGTCGAGGGGGACCCAGCACACCATCGATACGTGCACTGAGTGCGAGAGCTACCCTGGCGAGTATGGGAACACCGTCAAAACTGCTTTCGACTACATGGACACCTGGTTGAGTGAGTCTGGTCGTTTCATCGATGCTTGATAAGCAGCACACTCTACCTCTCAAGTCAGACTGAGTAGTAGGCGGAACTTACATTCAAGTACGGGGCCGTTTCAAATAGTTTACGAAGGCAAAAGAAACTTCTGATGTATATATCTTGGATTATGGAAATCAAGCACAATGTACACATGAGTACGAAGCTCTGTCACCGAGCTATGTCAATTTTAGAAGCCTGTGCACCAAGTTCAGGATCAGTGATGAAGTACCAGCGGCTGTGTAACATCATTCCAACAGTACCGAATTATCCCCTGTACTATGAGTCTCCGATGCTTTTTCATTCATGTATACGTGAGGACTTGAATACACCTTGACCATATGTATGCAGCAAGGTCACTCCGTGATGCCCCCCCTCCCCCTTCAGCAACCATCATCATGACCTGGGCATCATTCCCCGTGGCATCCAGCTAGACATCGGCTGGTCCTGTTTGAGGCTGTACCAGTGTTGCTCGACCTCATCTAGTTTGATGCCGTGACGCTTCGCGTACTGAGCAATTCTATCGGACATATCAAGGCTGATGTCGTGGAAGCTGATAAACAGGGGCTCGGCCGTTTCGTGCTGTTTAGAAGCACTCTGCTCACTTTCATGCGCTTTGTCGTAGTATGGCTCTGAGGTAGGGCAGACAAGTGTGAGATTGACCGGCCCAGGCCGTTTGGATGAAGGCTCGTAATTGGAGACGAGAAAGGTGGCCGGGGTGGACTCAGCCGTCAAGAACAGAACAGTTGTCTCGGACTGGAACAGGATGCCCGTCTCTAGGAAGAAAAGCTTTCCTGCAAGAGCAAGCCAAGTCAGAAACGTGGCGGTGAACGAGTTTACCACAAGACCGGCGCACTTTCCACAACATGGGAGATACAAGAAAAAGAATGGTTTCACCTTTGATGGGCTTCTCGGGCGGGTTGCTCTCGTGCTTCAAAACCGCATCACACATCAATCTGGCACCTGCTTCCTTGGTGGCAGCAGCAGAGCTAATATCAATAACCGACTTTTCGAGGGGCTCAAGCTGCTCATTGAAGACTCGCGTGACTAAAGCACGATAAGTCTCACCCGGGTCATCAGCAGCTTCCCCAAATTTTCCTTTGAAGTCAGTGCCTGCCTTTTGGGCAGGCAGCGTGAAGGATATGACCTTGGGATACGGCTTTCGCAGAGCCGATGCACCAACAGCGGCGGTTGGGATAATGATTCCTCGGATGGCCTGCTTGGTAGATGGCGTAGACCTCTTGGGGCTCGGTTCGTCGATCATGATGAATTGCTCTGTGGATGGTCGTTCAGCGAAATGCCCGAGGCGGTGCTGGTCAAGACTGCGTTGGTATTTACGTAACAGGTGCAGTTAGAGACAATGATACTGACCAACATGCTGAAAAGGTACGAAAAAGGTTGGCGAATTGACAATATCCTTCGTATCTTCGCAAGGCACACAGAGGCGAAACCCTCCGGTGCCTGGCCCTTCCATACCGGAGTCGACCTCGAAGAACATGGGCCAGTCCACTGGCGACTGGAAAGTGAAGTTAGGAGTTCCGAGGAGGTAGCTCCCACACCCAAAACTAGATGCGGTGCCCGAATGGCTAACGCCCTGGTAGTACTGGCTCTCATTCAGGTCCACTCTCGCCTTCTTGGAAGTCGAACCGCCTTTTTTCGTTCCTTTTTGCAGCTGCTGGCATGGTTGGATGTGTCCCTTGGGGTGTCGGTGATGAATACAAGGCAATTGTACGGGGAGGAAAGAGATTTATCAATTTAAAATATATGATTGAATGGAAAATTGATGCCGAGATCTGTTGACCCTGAGCAAGGAGGCTTTGCAGTGCGAACAACCCTTCTCCACCCCTGAACATGACATCAGACCGCACGTTCCACCCACCGCGTCACCCTGCAAAGAAAGGCGCGTTTCTCCGACGCGTCTTGCAAAGTAAACAAATCCAAGCAACACACTTTTACTACTTTTACTACAAACGGAATCGTTGACGGCTGTGAGACGAGCCCTGTGATCGGGTTCAATTGCTGGCAACGTTTCAGGTGTAGGCACGACCCATTTGCATGCGTTCAAGACCAAAATCGCGATGTGCCCAGGCAACCTTGATCACAAGCCATCGGTTTATGAGTTTAGAAGGCTGACCTTTGCAGCATCACAAACGATTCTCAGGTCATTTAATTGTTTTAAAAATCTCAGTCGAGGATATCTCGTATCATCACATGCACCGTCAGCTTTTCCTTCATGCGTTGATACCTTCTCCCCGCTCGATAGCTTCCTGAGTCGGGCACCACTTGTCCTGTAGGGCCTTGTCAAGTGATTTCTCGTAGACATCCTTGCCCCACCACTCGCCCCAGCTGGTGAGGAAGATCTGCTCCGGATCAGCCGGGAAGTCGTCCCGCGTGAACGCCCGCAGAATGCTTTGAGCGCCTGAATGTTGACTTCGTTAGCCATTTTGACAACAAAAAAAGACCTACACGCATATTCCGCTAATGAAACTTACCTTCTGGCACGGTCTTCGCATCAGGCATGTCCATGGTCAGCTTCAAGGTTCCGTGGCGGGCGATGCCGGTCTGGGGGATGAGGCCGGGAGAGACAGCGACGACGCGGCACTCCGGTAGCTGGCGGCGCCACCAATGAGCTCCCAGAAGCTGCACAAACTTGCTCTCGGGGTAGGTGACCTGGTCTTCTGTCCCAGAGTCGGCCAGGAGGCTCTTGTCGAGTACAGCTAGCAATGAGATTAGCTCCAGACTTCAGAAACGCACGAAGATGGTTGTGAGACATCGTACAAGGGTCGGAGACGCGCCGGATTGCACCCGAAGAGACCACTACTACGCGGGACTTGGACTCTACCAGCTTTTCGCGGAAAAGATGCGTCAAGTAATGTTGAGCTTCAACCACCGTCAGTAAATAATCTCTGATCCAAAACGGGCCACATCCCCGTCCAGCTGGGGAACTCACAGAGATGATTGACAACATATGCCTCGCACCACTTGGAACCATGCGGGCCAGGACCATTGGCACCCTTGGCCATGCCGGCATTGAGCAGAAAGCAGTCCAGCCTGTCCCGCCCGAGCTTCTCCAGGGTCTGCTGCGCAAAGTGCTTGACTGTGTTGAGGTTGGAGAGCTCCAGTGGAAGCACCGTGAGGCTATGGGTAGTGCTGTCGAACTTGAGGTCATCGTAGGCCTTTTTCGTCCTCTCCGTGTCTCGCGCGCCGAGGATGAACCTGTACGGCTCAGGCTTGGCCAACAGCTGTTTTACAAGCTCGAATCCCTGTATGAAAAGTCAATGAATGATCCTGTAGGCGAGTCTTGAGCCATTAAAGTGCTGCACTTGTGCAGGCCAAACAGGATAAACGCACCAGACCGGAAGAGGCGCCTGTAGCCACGACAGTCTTTGCTGCGAGTGTCACCATTTTCCAGGTTCTCAATGCTGATGTTAATTCCGATTCAATGAATTGCGCGATTGTCAGTGTTCTACAAAGTTACCTGCAGTCAGTCTTTTAAGACCCGTGGAAGTCAAAAGGGAGCCTGAAGTCGCGTAGTCGGACCTATCGGACGTTGGAATAACGTTAGGTCCGTAGCGAGCCGCAGCTGACAAATGACGTATTGGATTCGACGTTCCTCCGCGATAAAGAGATCGTGAGAATAACTGTCGAATTCACCCTAGGAATTTTAAAATCTGATAAATCTCTTCACTGCTTATCAAGTCACCCTTTTGCAGTAGGCCTGAGCATCGCAAATCAATGGTCTGACCTGCCCCGGAGGTACCCGGTGTTTAATGGCACCCCATGCGCAATACAGCTCAAAACCTAAATCCCCACAACGGAAGCAGCCTTGCCCCAGCATTGGTGTTAGCAAGACCAGAACTGGCCGGAGGGATCATCGTCACTCCAGATGAGACTCCGGATGAGTTTCCTCCAGTCGAGCTATTTCCGAAAGAAGTTTTCCCATGCATAGAGCTTCCTCCATCACCATCCCCATGACTCTCTACCTCCCTCTGTGCAAACCGCATCTCCGACGCGCCAATGTCGAAGACGGCAACCACACTGCTCAGAAACGTGACACCCAGCGCCCCAGCCTCCTCGATGCCCGGCTGAGATCCCAGGGCACAGAAGGAAGTGCCATTCACCGTAACATTCGCGTTGGGAATCAACACCTCCTGGGCGGACTGCTCAAAGACGTGGCCACCGATCTGGATGCCGAACGAGGGCACCTCGGCGTCGCACGGGGCGGCAAACAAGGCGGCGCCCTGGATGTCGATCAGCTCGGGCGGGGCCTTAAAGGATTCATAGAGCACCTTGATCAGCGACGGGGGCAGGATGTTGGTCGCATAGCCGCTATCCACGATGACGGGGAAGCCCTTTCCTTGACCCGAAGTGTCGTTTGACGGGCCCGCTGCGGTGGTTTCATTTGCGTAGCTTTGCCCGGCGATGAGGTAGTCCTCCGCGATGATGGTGTAGTACGTGAACTCCTCGTCTGCACGCTCCTCCTGGTTCAGATTGAGCTGCTGAGTTTCAGTAATCATGCCCGGCTTTTTAGGAGAGAGTTGTTCCAGTACTCACCATCAGAATTGGAGTAGGGGCGTATTCTCCCTTGATAGGCACGTCGGCAGCACCTCCAAGGGCCAAGATCCCGCCACCGTGGATATCCAGTGCCAAGCTGAAAACTGGCTGCGTCAGGTTCTGCTTGACAGCGCTTGTGAACCAGGGGTCATATGTTGTGAGATCGTCATCATTGTTGGCAGTCTCTTGAGGCTTTCCGCCGCTTCTCGCCGCAGTCATGCCCGGGAAGCCTAGGCCCATGATGCCCGAGAAGTCTCCCGAGGTGGCGTGCAAGTATCCGGTAGACGGCAATGCAATCTGTTGGTCGGCCACCGTGATCCCTCCCAACGTAACAGACTCATACCCGTATTCGCCATACATGTACTGTCCACCCGCGTCTGCTAGTTATCAGCTACATATTCTGACACGGGTTGTTTCAAGATGGCAAGGGTGAACAGTAGAAAGGCGCGAGCCTATACGCACAACTGATCGAGAAATATTCGTCGTCCACCGCACCACCGCTGAATGTTCCCTCGAAATAGACGGGAATGTTGCAATTTTCACGCGGCACCTCATTGTGGTTCTCGTCGAGACAGACAAAGCTGTCTGGAGCCACCCAGAGATCGGCCGAGCCAGTATCAATTAGCACAGGGATCTCCTGCTCGCCAATGGTCACATTGGTTATATAGGAGTGCCCAGTCAGTTGGACCGATGCCGCCGATTCCCCATCTTCGCGTCTTCTGATGTGATCCTGACTGAGTCCCAGTACGCTCCGCAGCGCGTGGTGCTTCGGCAGGGCGTCGGCGCTTCTCTGTATGGGGACATGGTAGACTTTGTCGCCGTGTCCTTTGGTGGGTCTAAGGTAACGCGGGGACCGCAGTTGGAGGGGAGGAAGGGGATGGTCGCTCGACGATGTAATGGTAGCAGAGACACTGCTTAATAACGTAGAAACGATCAAAAGCGCAAACCTCATCTTGTTGAGTGGAGTTTACTGTTGAGGAAAATAGCCTCTCAGAGCAAAGGCCATTCTTAAGTCATTATCTAGACCTCGGGAGTTGCTTAAAAGTCAAAATACGAATGCTCGGCTCAGGTGCGGGACTGAAGGCAACTCGCGGGCGTCTCAAAGGGCTCGCCAACAAACAAAGCGGAAATACTTGCGGAGTCCAAGCCAGTTCTCTCATGAGGGCGGCCAGTAAAGCTTCCAGGGCAGCCCTGTCATATCGAATAACCTGCCTCAGTGGTTGGAACTTTTGTGACGCTGCCATGCAACCCGTGACGCTACGTATTGTGACTTCATATTATTCATAATTCTGCCCGAAGTGTGGTCTCGTTGATTCTCGGGAAATGGCGGTGGGACTTTCAAGGTGAATTAACTTTTCGCTTCTCGACTGAGCCCAAGAGCATGTAGCTATGTCCATCTATGACACCCGCTGTCTGCTCAACCAAGTTTCCACTGGAAGTGATTCAATGTTCGTAGGATGAGAGGACCGCACCAAAAGGTGCTGCCACAAATGTTGGGTTGTCACCCGAAGCACAAGGGCTTCCGTCAGAAAGGGGCGGCCATGACAGTGCCAAGAGTGCGCTCTGCCGTAGGAACATTTCCGGCGATGTCAGTCGCTTGGCACCCAGGCTCGAGGAGGAGGGATCCTTTGTCCGTCCTGAACCCACCGCACCTGCTGGCAATCCGGGTCTATGCTTTTTTCTTTTCTTTTTTTTTAAAAAAAAAAAGGAAGACAAAAAGTGACGGGCAAATTTGAGCAGAGCAGTGAGCAAAACAAGACAGGAATGGCCTAGATCTATGGAGTTGTCAAACTTGCGCTGTAGATATTGGAGAGTGAGCCGTCAGCATGGTCGCGCCCACTTATTAGACTTGTATTTGCATCAACAGGTCACTGCACATTTTGGGAGAAAATCACAGTTACATTCCTCGGACTGTTGTGGTGACTCCGAGGGGCGGATACATCTTAATAAAGTTTGACGTCGAACGCACGTGCCACCGCGGTCCCTCCCAATGACGACATAATTCTTGACGCGTCTCGTGCAAAGTAAACAAACTCCACCAAAGTCATCACAGCTTGGACCACGAGTCAATCAAGATCCGTCGCAAGTGTGGAATCAAGGGTCTCATCATCGAGATACGTGCTCGCTAGATTGATCACCAGGAGCCAGGCTCAAGTTCCACAGCGGCAGATAGCTGCGCCACAGTGTTGAGCAACGCGTCTTCGGGTGCTGCATCAAGCGTGCAGCCTTCATCATCCGCGTGGACATTATCATCTACCCGTACTTGAACGCATCGGGCAATATGCAGAGCCACACTCCAATTCCTCCACCTCGATTGGTAGGCATGACTCTTCCTCTCCCACCCAGGCCACCTGCTGACCCGCTCCCTAGCCACCACCGCGTCCAGCTCTTCAGGATGTCACTGCTAGAGCCAATCAGTCCCCAGTGACGCTTCCCCCTCTCACCAAAAATGCGTCTTGGGGGAAACCACCCATGGGAAATGATTACTGGGAGAGACAGCAGGGCAGAGCGAGGGACGAAGCCGAGTCTCTCCGCCATGCGTACCAGCAGTCCGCCGTCAACGTAGGGAGACGTGCGCCGGCCCCAGTGGCCAGCCGGAACCCTTTCTCCCAACCTGTGCCTCCCGCTCGTGGAAACTTGTCGAGTGACGGTTCCCTCGCGAGGATCCAGCAAGCTCTAGCCGCCGAGCAAACTGCTGCAGCCGCACCGCGTGCTTCTGCCGGCAGGAAGCGCAAGTCTGAGGTCTCGTCGGATGAGGCCATCGCTGCCTACAAGCAGAACCTTGATCATATCAACGTCGATAACATGGGGCTTGACCTCAACTGCAATGCTGTCAGGTCCCTCATTCAAAAGGTCATCGAAAGGGGCATTTTCAAGAAGGGCGAATTCTGCAATACCATCCGTTGCAGCCCCACTGCTGTCAACAGATTCCTGGAGAAGACAGGCTCGACTGGAGGAATCGACAGCGACGTGTACGACGCCGCTTGGGCTTGGTTCAAGAAACGAGAGCTCGCCGGTCTGGCCATGCCTGCTGCCACCGCCACTGCCTCGCAGAAGAAGGCAAAGATCACGGCGACGCGCCCCTCGACTGCAGACCTCAACAGCATCCATCTCGATGGGGAAGAGACCGACTCCGTCCCCGTGTTTGAAACCTGCGACGTGATCCGGAGGAAGATCACAGCGCACCTCAAGACCCCGGGCATGACCCAGGCTCAGCTCTGCCGCGACCTCCACGCGCAGCTCAAGATGCCGGGCTGCAAGTCCATCCAGTCCAAGATGCTCAGCGACTTCAGGGGCAAGAAGGGCCCGGTCGCGGGCTGCACCAGCTCTGTCTACTACGCGGCCTACGTCTACTTTGAGAAGCTGAGGATCACCGAGGGCAAGCCGAAGAGCAAGCATAGGCTCGAGATGGAGAAGATCTACCCGCGAGGTGCTGAACGTGAGAGGGATGGCCGTCATGGGTAAGTTGTGCGTGAGGTCTTTTGGTGAAGGCAACTTGCTAATCCTGGACAGATACTGGGCCCGTGCTGACGAGACCATTGTTCAGGACGAGTATGGACGTGTGTCCGTGCGGAGGTACTGATGATGTGTGTAGTAAAGGCTGCCGGTGAGCGAGATTGTGATGATTGCCGAACCTGAGCTGTTCTTGCCAAATAATTGTATTTCCCTGGTCACGTTGCACCGTAAACTTTACCTCTTATTCCAAGGTTCGCTCTTTTGACGCGCATAGGTTACATGGACGTGGAATGCCATCACTCTTCAGCGTCCTGTCGAAGGCTTCTGCTAATTTTCTTCTTCGCCTTGTTGATGCAGGGCAAAGAATTCTTGCTTTAGGAGAGGATGTTTTCTCGTCAGTCAAGTTTTGTTCGAGTCAATCCTACTTTTGTCTCATTAAGGTGGCGTGTACATGCTGTATCGGCAGGCCCCGTTTGAGAAAGCCGGACCCACACCGAACTCTCGATCATTGCCTGAGATGGTCATTGCTTCTAACCCCTAGTCGACATTCTGTCAAGACCCTAGTCAATCCTCTACTCGCCCCTGTTCAACTCGAATTGCGGTCAACAATCGTCGCCAAGCCGGAAAAACTACGGGGCCTCATGTCGGATAGGCCATGAGGATCCACCGACCCTGGCAAGACAACGACATCTCGTTTCGTAGGGATCTCCTAGAACCTCATTTTAAGCTTAACCAAGACAGCCATTACATATCCCCCCGTGTGCCCCCGTCGACCCTGCCACTACCTGATCTATCGATACTCTAGCACGCGGCGCATATACCCACACGTACACTGCTGGCCATCGCCGGCAGCTCAGAGCACCGCCACGATGTGGGACATCGTTGCTGGGTCTGAGGGAAATATCACGAGCGGATTCACCTGGGAGCCCCAGCCGGAGCGCAGGGGCACCTTCGGCATCATCTCATCATGCTTCGTGACGCTTGCCCTGTGTACATGGAAGATTGTGCACCTTAACCTGCCTGGTATGTGCCCGGATGAGGGCCTGCCATGGTCCGCATGGTTCAAAAAGGGGACGACCCACAGCATGAGGCACCGTCTCGTACACATCTTTGGCGGCCACCAGATCAGTAGACAGATCGGATGGCTGCTCATCGGACTGTTCGCCCCAGAGTTGGTAGGTCATCACCGGAGGCGCAATCACATCCTGTCAGCAGCGAACTGACCACCATATCTGCGTAGATTGCGTACGCTGCCTTTAGACAGTACTGGGATGTCAAGTCTCTGCAAGCTTTCATGGAACGCGTCTTCTTGCAACCAGTCCAGCCGCGAAGATGGTGGCCGGCACTGCTGAACAACCACCGGGTAAGCGCCTGTATAATGCCAGCCTCAGTCATGCCGCTCAACTGACACTTTGCGAGCAGGTCCCCCGTCAAGACGCCGAGGACAGTAGTACCAAAGCCGTGTGGACGATGACACACAGTTGGTACGCAGTTATGGGAGGCTACAGTTACAAGCTGCGTGAAGGGCCCAAAGTGTTCCTCCCCGATGACCACAACCGGGATCAGCTTATCTTGCGAGACGAAGCTCTGCGCTTCGTGGCGGAGCATGAGCCGTCTGTGATACCAAACCTGTCCGTTCTTGATATCTTGGACAAAAGCAGCTCGAGCACCTTCGTCAAGATCATCACCCTGTTCCAGGCCTTGTGGTTCAGCCTCCAGTGCGTTGTTCGCATGGCTCAGGGCCTGTCCATCTCTCTTCTGGAGCTGACAACCTTTGCACACTGTATTGTGGCCCTCATCATTGGCTGGCTCTGGCTACGGAAACCTGTGGATATCTCGAAACCAGACCCTCTTGATATGCCCGACACGGTCAGCCAGCCCCACTGGCTCATGGCGGTTCTGTACTCACTGACTAGCTTCGACCACAACGAGTCTGATGAGGAGAGGTACACGAAGCTGGGACAAGCCGAGCAGGATGCTGTTCAGGATGCTGTTCAGGATGCTGTTCAGGATGCTGGAGAGGGCCCACGGATGTCCACTTACTTGGACGCAACTATCAACCAGGATCCAATCACCTTCAGCGACTTGAACCTGCACGGAGGCCGTCCACAATCATCAGCTGTCAGCATGGGCCGTCCGGTGACAGCCGTTCCCAGCCGACCAACTACGTCGCGCCCAACACCAGCAAGCCCACAGACACACCTATCCCCGCCGAGCCAGGACCAGGACCAGTCGACCACAGCCGGCGCGCAAAGCCTAAGCGAGCTCGTCCAAGCAGCCGCAGACCAGGAGCGCCGCTTCCGGATCCGCATGCAGCTCGCCCAGAAGGGGTGGGACCACTACATCCTCGACCGGCACCCGCACGAGGAGCCCGCCAACGACGCATCGACGACCAGCGGCGCCGCGCCGCCCTCGGTGGCAGCAGCGCAGCCCCTGAGCGGGGAGAACAGGCAGCGGCTGCAGCGCCGGCTGAAGCGAACCATGCGCAACACCCTCGTGGACCGCGTGACCAACTTCCCGCGGCGGCGGCACGACAGCACCCCGCAGGAGCAGCACGCCTTCAAGACGCACCTGGGGATCAGCCTGACGGGGTTCATGTACGGGGGGCTGCACATGCTCGCGTGGGACGCCTCGTTCACGAGCGGCGCCGAGGCGGCGATCTGGAAGCTTGCGTCCATCAGCCTTGCGTGCAGCGGCCTGCTCGTCCCTGTCGCGCACGCCGAGGGCGTCATCCTGAATGCTGTGAAGCCGTGGCTCATGATGGACGAGGAGGACCGGGACGCCGAGGAGGCGGAGCACCTTGCTGAGAAGGCGGCCAAGATGGGGAGGTGGAAGCACGGGTGGAGGCGGTACTGGTGGAAGATTTATAAGTGGTGTTTCCTCTGGATGATCGAGGTCATCCGCGTCATCAAGGTCGTGGGGATTGTTGTGGTTGGTTGCATTTACCTTGGGCTGAGGTTTTTCATCTTTGTTGAGTGCCTCGCGAATCTGTCGCATCTGCCGCCTTCTGCGTATGACGTTGTGCGGTGGTCGCAATATGTGCCTCACATCAGCTAAGCATCATTTGGATACACTATAATTGCTCATCAGACATCAGTGAGACTCCAGCAGACACTCTCAACCCAATGGTTGAGATCTTGCTTGATAGGCCCACCATCTTTTATCTACATGAGTTGTACGCCGCCGCCCTCCCCCCCCCCCCTTCCCCCCATTGAAACTGTAGAAATATCAAGCCCGAGTGATCACACAGGCCCTGATATTTTCAAAGAGGCATTCATGATCCGTGATGTCAAAGCCTGATTAGATTACGAGAGCAGAGAGAGGCCGCACCACAGCTTCGTAAAACCTCACCTGAAGGTGCTCTGCGCCGACCGTGTCATCACCGTCCTTGTGTCGCTGCCCAGATGTGTTCAAGCCTTCCAGGCATGCCCGAGAGGCCCGGGCTATGGCATCTCCGACCCTGCTCTGCAAGCTCTCCGTGTGGCTCTGACTTGAGAGCACCTCTCGTGCTTTCAGGACGTCCTTGGCCTTCAGGTCCTGGAGGCTACCGAAACCAAGTATGGACTCCAAAGGCTTCCAGTACGCTACCTCTGTCAATACCAGACCGAGGCTATAGACGTCATGACGCTTCCGAAAGCCCCGGCCAGCAGCTCCCTCGGCATTGAAGCCCTGCACGTTGGGGTGGCGGTACAGATCGTCGGCGAGTGAGATCCCAGGACCTTCTGACATGGAAGATGATCCGGCTGGCCTCGAGTAGTCGAAGCCGGTGAGGTATGGCTCACTGAGGTCCACGCCTTTGTTGCTGTCGCCACCGGCGAGTCCGCCATGGAAGAAAATGATGTTGTCGCTCCGCAGCCCCTTGTGCAGCCAGTCGACGGCGTGGAGCTTCTCGACACACTCCACCAACGTCCGCATGAGGCGCACTCGTGATGTCAGACTGGGCGTGGGACGGTCCTTGTCGGCAATGAGGTCGCGTAGGGACACTGGACTTGAGTCGGAGTGCACATTGGATGGGATCTCGAAAACGAGGCCGTAACGTATTTTCGATACGGTCGCGCGCTGTTGGTAGTAGCCGAGGCATTTGGGGGCTCGGAACTGGGCTGTGACTTCGTTCTCGCGGAGGAGCGAGACGAGGGCTTCAAAGCGCCTGAGCATACGCGGCTCAGGCCCGTTGGCAGAAGTCCGTGGATCTCGCGATGCCACAATCCACTCGACCCAGATCCTGCGTCGCGCTTGGTTGGAGATCAGTGGGTTGTACCATCCGGTAACACGTCTTGCGACTGTTTCTTGGGCTGATAGCATGGTCTCTGGCACATCGAGGTCAAGAGCGCCGGTCTCAACCGTGATCTTGTTTTGGGAGGCAGCTGTCAAGCCTGCAATTCCGATCTTGCTTCTCACGGAGCCGTCGAGATTGTGTCCCTGAACCGCGCATGCGACGGCCTTGAACTGGGCCAGCTTAACAAGGTGGTGCATGGAGTCGCTATTTGGGCTTGGTTCAAGCCTCTTGACCTCGTTCTCGGCAACCGAAACGCCGAGACCTAGAGAGGCCCTTGGGCTTAGAGTGGTATTAACGGCAGGGCTCGAGCCAGCTTTAATGATTTCGATGAGCTGGTCCATCTTGGTGTTTAACTGGATGATGTCGTAATTTGTCCGTATTTGCTGGGTCCGCAACATTTCTCCCCTGTAACTGTCAAGCATGTCCCGAAGAAAGTCATTCATTCCAGCGAGACGTGAAAGGAGGTTCTCCATTTTTGCGCGGTCCGAGACGACCCAGCGAAGTCGTTTGGGGAATTTTCTGGTCTTTTCCGTGAAGTCTAATGCCATTCTGAGCAGATCGCTGCTTTCCGGAAACCTAGCCACCGCGCTATCCGAGCTGGTTGCAGTATTCCTCTGCGATTCGTCGTCGAGGGTTTCAATGGTCTTCTCCTGGAACAGAGCCTCTCTCGCAAACGGCTGAAAGCGGTCATCCAGGCCCTTGAAATGCATGATCATCTGGTACTGCTGATCGAGCACGTCCATAGCGAGTGTGCGGTTGGGCCTGTTCGTCAGGAAAATGCCATCACTCTCTGCTATCCCTGCAACACGGGCCCAATCCAGCAAGCGGTGCTGTTCCGTCTTGAACCTGACCCGGATAAAGCCATGGTCCTTTTCTAATCCTCTTGCTTCAGAGGCTAAGTGATAGGCTACGGGTTTTGTTTCAGTCGACCACTGAGGTAATTCCTTTGTGGAGACTTGCAAAGATTGACTTAACGTACCTGCGACGCAGCCGGAAAATACCTGGAAGAGGAGAGACACTGCTCCAAGTGCAGTTCCAGGGTCCATAGTATCTTCTGTTCAGGTCTGGGCGAGGGTTTCAAAGAGTGGTGTATGGTTTTCTATTACGGGGTACTGCAGCTTCAAATGTGAACAGCTGCGCTTTTCATCTTATAAGAGTAATGAACGCCGTCTAAATTTGGCAGCAAGCATTGTAGTTGCAATCGTCTTTGATTACTAGTACTACTGAGGAAGGTAGCTTGGCAGCTCACCGCTTGAGATGCCTGATCTTACTGATCATCGCTTGGCTTGTAGTAATGTAAGGCGAACTAGACCGCTGCGCCCGTGGCTTATTCGGTCCTGCTGCAGCCACAACTGCTACATCCGCCCGAGCTCAGTACATTGCTCCCGCACTGCCATCAGCTTCAGACAAGGCCTCCAATCACCTGTGGGTGGCTATGCGCAAAGCAAGATCTGCAGACAAGATGGCGGAGGCTGATAGACACGGTCATGTGTTGCCACTGCTGTCTTGGCCAGCATCAAGTTTCTCCGGTCGGCGCCGCAAATTTATACCGCCTATGCTGCTCCCAAAATCAACCAGAGACGTTTTGGGCCTGTTCACCCATTCTAATATTCCTGTACAAAGGCGACAGCAACATGCATTCAAATTACAAATCCCCATATTTGGAGACATCTTTTAATGACTCGGATGAGGAGCCTGAATATGTCTCTGAACTCACAGCCAAAGACTACGCCCAAGGCGTGAAGCAGATCCCAGATGTCAAAATCTCGAAATTCATCTCGGAAGCCGAATTGAACCAAGGCCTGAACAAATGGCTTCCGAGGCCTAATCATCCCTGCGCTGCGAGAACAGTGCTGAGAGATTCCGTCTTCCAGCCCATCAGCGAGCTGCTCGTGATGTACGGCAAAGGAGAATGGAGCTTGAGACCTCGAATCTTTTCCGTTCTCAGGATTCTTGGCTGTGCAAACCTGCTCGACTGCTTTGCTCGGGAGGGTCTAATGGACTCAGCGCTGCCCTTTACTGATAGCACATTGCCGGCGTTCATCAACGGATTTGAGATTCGCAAAAAGTTTCTAAAGCTACAGCACGCGGTTCTATACAAAGAAAAGGGCCTAGAGGCACTGGAAGATGGCGGTACACACTTGCATCTTGCGGGCAGTGGAGACGACTACTTCCGGTCCATCAAACCGTTGGGGATGGGTCGCTATGGTACTGTTGACCAGGTCTTCAGCGCAAATACTGGACGGGTCTATGCTCGGAAGAGAATTGTCAGGGGACACTCTCCTTTGGTCGATGAACGTCTCTTGAAGCAATTCGAAAGCGAAATCCAGGCGCTAAAGCGATTGTGGCACCCTCATATCGTCAAACTCAAAGGGTCTTACACGGATCAGAGGTTCCTTGGAATCATCATGATACCAGTCGCGGAGTTGAATCTCGATGAGTATTTGAAGGAAGCAAGCATAGATGAGAATCTGCGGAGACGACGCTTGAGGTCATTCTCCGGCTGCCTTGCAACAGCTCTAGCATACCTGCATCAGCGGAATATCCGCCACAACGATATCAAACCGCAGAACATCCTGGTCGCAAACTCGAACATCTACCTTTCCGACTTTGGCACTTCCAGGGCGTGGGGCACCGAGGGCCGGAGCACGACACAAGGAAAGCATGAAGGCTACACCCCACGCTATTCTGCACCGGAGACACATGAAACAGGCGTAAGTCATCATCTCGATGAAACGTGTCTTTCCTGATTGTTCGGCTCTAACCCAAAAGCACAGGCTCGCAACAGCGCTGCTGATGTTTGGTCGCTTGGCTGTGTCTTCCTGGAAATGGCCACTGTTCTGCAAAGACATTCCACTTCAGACATGTGGGCATTCTTTGAGGATAACGGTACCATGAGGACCGATGCTATCTGGGCGAACCAAGCCGCAGCTAGACTCTGGATATCCCAGCTGGCCGAGGACCGGGTGGACGCTGATCCTAGCTTTTTGAAGCTGATTTTATACATGCTGCAGCCTGAACCGGGAGAGCGACCTACGGCTGCTCAAGTCAGGGGCCGGCTGATTGATGAATGCAACTCAAACGGCTACATCTGCCCTTACTGCGCGTCTCCGGATGGCCTGTCTCCGACTCAGAGTCCACTGACCCTCGAGGAAGCGAGAAAGAAGAGTCTTCACAAGGACCAGGACCTCAAGTTACCTGATGTGGAGAACACAGACTCTGTTTCCGCATCGACGTTGAACCTACCAGAACGTGAGGAAAAAGCCAAGCCAGTGGCCATTGAGGACACGCCCGACACTGAGAATCCCTCTGCAACTGGAATCACCGCCCAAAATACCATCGTCCTGCCGGTGGCTACTAAATCACTCGGACGCAAAGTGCGGTTTGCTGGTCTGCCTGAGGAGCTGCGGCCCATGCCAACTGACCCAACACAACCAAGCCCAGATGAATCCGCCACTTTTGTCTGTCCGGGGCCTGTCGTTCCGCCTCCATTCAGACAACAGGACAGTCTCCCTCTCCCAGGGGCCACTCTTGTGCCTTCCTACATTCTCGCTGGAACAAACCACTTCACCAAGACGGAGCTGTCGGTGGCCAACCGGGCTCGCAGTGTCGAATCAAATCTCTTTGTATATGGCCGGCTCATGTTCCCTAGCATCCTTAATGCCATAGCCATCGCATCCACCAAGGGTGTCTACTCCCCCGAGCTGAGGCGGCGACTGCATCCCACCACGGCTGACTGGGCGAAAGCCGACCTGTCCATCAAGCACGCAAGCGAAGCGATGACACCAGCTGTTCTTCGAGGGTACGACCGCTGGCGGCCTCGAGGACTCAACTGCGCCGTCATACAGGATGGCCGGCTGACAAGGAAGATCCTCAGGCGTCGGGAGGACCGAGGGTATAAGGACCTTCCTAGTGTACCTGCCGGGGAAGTTGTTGGCTTCTTGATCCTGGGGGTCAGGTCCGAGGCCTTGCGCTTTTGCGACGCCATCTTCGGCGGGGACAAACAGTCCCTGAGAAGCATGAAGCCACGGGATCAGGACTCACACTCGGACTCAGACTTTTCTGACGATGATGCTCTCCACCCTCATGGTCGGGCTGGTAACAGTCGCCATGGGAGTCGACGTCGGGAGCTGTTACAAAGACAAACAGTCGAAGTGGAAGTGGAGGCTCACGGTGGCAGCATCGAGAAAGTCCAAGCACAAACTTACGTGTGGAGCCATGGGGTCCACGGTCTCCACAACGTCTGGGAAGAGGAGCGGTTCCTCCGTAGCAAACACATGCAGACGACGCTGGGACAGGCCTCGACAACCTCTCTGACATCGTGGATCGCTCAGGAGCAGACACTGGCGTCGATCATGAACATCTCCTTCGCCCGTGTGGGGGACTACCTATGTGGCCCGATCCTCGCCGGCAACATCCAAGAACTCGCGATTCTTCTCCGGAATGGCTTCGACGCCAACGCCAGCTGCCGTATCTACGGACAACCTCTCAATGCCGCAATCGTAAAAGGCCGAGAAGATATGGTTCGCCTTCTGTTGGACAACGGAGCACAAGTGACCGGGGTCTCGGATGGCGGACAGTACGGATCGCCGCTGATCGCCGCGGCGTACAGCGGCAGGAAGAGCATCTCCAAGCTGCTCATCCAGTGCGGCGCCGACATGTACGAAGGCGACGGGGTGCACGTCAACGCGCTGTACCAGGCGGTCGCGCACGGGGACTACGCCCTGGCGGAGATGTTCCTCGACCACGGCGCCTGGCTGTGCAGGGAGTGGCGCGAGATCCGGGACCTGGCCGAGGAGCTGGGGGACGACGACATGCAGTCGCTGCTCGAGGGGTACGACGTCAGGAAGATGCACATGAGGTACCTGCGGGAGCGGGAGCACCTGGAGGAGAACCGCGTCAGCAGGGACGAGGTCTACGACGACAGCGTCAACGTCAGGCTCCTTCCGGGGCAGCTGCGGCACAGGGCCATCAACTGGGACGACGTCAACCTTTCCAAGGTCGGAGTCGCGGTCGTTCGGAGGATCGCGACGGCTTCGCGCATGTCGGGGAGCTGGAAGGGGAGGCGGGGCGTGGCGGTTGTGCTGGCCGCGTTGAATGCTGGCGCCCCGAAAGAGATCCTCAAGCTGCTGCGCGACGTTGTGAATCCGCTGCGACGACTCGTGCAGATATTACGAGAGGCCGAGGAGAACAACGAGGATGGTAGCGTTGGGAAGACATCCGATCCTTTGTCTCGTGGCGTTCAGGAGATCAGCGCATAAAGTTGCAGATAACTGGTTGCACTTGGGAAGTCGTTCGCTCGTGGGACGTTGGGGTTATCATTGATGTGCATGTTCTATACCCAATCCAAGACTATTTCTTCTAGTCATTTAATCGATGTTGAGCAGTCATTGTGGCAACTAGCACGACTGAGTGCCTCGGAGTCTTGGGTGTTCGCCGCAACCCGGCATTGCGTTAGACCGGGTGATGGAAGCTTATAACCAGCTTGGTACCTAGGTAGGAATGCGATATCACACTGGATATGAACAAGTGCCAGCCCACGAGTCGGACCACCAAGACCCCGTCCCTAAGAGGAAGGGGAAAGATGTCTGCCAAGATAAAAACCACGCCATCTCCGCGCACCCCCCCCCCCAGACAGCAAACTAGGACCGGCATTGTCTTTGTCCGCCTTCACCACCGTTTGAGCTGTTTTCCCGAGGCTAGGTCACCCGGCCCAAGGAAATGTTCCAAATATGGGGACTTGAGAGCAAACTGCAGAACCGAGTCCGGGGAACTGGGTCCGGGGTAATCAGGTGATGCCCAGATGAAAAGGGCAGTTATGGTGTCCGGCCTGAGCCAGGCTGCAATTACTCGAAAGAAGATGGATAGCCACGTAGTAATTGAACAGCAAAAACTACCATTGATAAGATTGATCCCAGGGTGTATTGGACTTTTTGTGGACAATAAATACGTTATGGTGAAGAGTAGGTTTAGCAAGGGCTGAAGGTGCTGATATGACGATAGATCCGAGGTTATGGGTTGGCAACTTGGCATGGTGGGATCAGGGGAGGGAAACATGGGGTAGTACAACCCCGTGGGCTTACCCCGGACTGTGAGAAACTGATTTTCTGGGGCAAGACAGGCTGGTCCTGGTCGGATGGTTCAAGACCGGACGAGAAGCCAACCACCCCCGTGGGAGGAGTAACACCAGGCTGAGCTGAAGACATTGGTACAAGTTCTTTCAGTCTTATCTTGTTCTCATCTTCCAGATCACTACATTCCCTTTCCTCCTTGAACCCATTTCTTCTCGTCCTTCATACCTCTCTCCATGGCTTCTACGAAGCAGCCGCAACATGACCTCGAGTCAAAGCCTGCTGAGAACTTCATCGAGGTGTTAGGTGACGATGAAAAGGGTGGCGGCCCACAGCCAGGAGCTGATTTCTCTGGTGTCGTCAAGAAGACGTCAGCTGAGGTGATTGCCCTCGTCCGCAAGCTCGACATGAGGATCATGCCCAAGCTCTGGTGAGTCTCTGCGGCGTGCTGTTTGAAGGTTGACAGAGCTAAACCGCACACTAGGTGCGTGTACTTTCTGAATTATGTGCGTGATGTGCAACCCTAACTCCGACTTACACAGTGTTGCAGTGATAAGGCTGACCTTGAATCTAGCTCGACCGAAATGCAATTGCCCAGGCTCGTCTCGACGGTCTCGAAGATGATCTCAAGCTCGAAGGATCCCAGTACAATACTTGCATCTCGATTCTATTCGTGGGGTATGTGTGCCGCAGTCAACAATCCGTGACCAAAAGTCTTTCCAAATTCCAGCTGACACTCTTCCGTTCCAGCTACCTCCTTATGCAGATCCCATCCAACATGCTTATGTCCTCGAAACATGTCCGACCTTCTCTCTATATGGCTGTGTGCATGATGGCCTGGGCCGGCGTGTCCGCCTGCGCCGCCTTGGATAGAAACTACACCGACCTCGTCGTCGTGCGCTTCTTCCTCGGCGTGACTGAAGCACCATTCTACCCCGGCGCCATCTACATGTTGTCCATCTTCTACACCCGCAAGGAGATCGCCATGTCCTTCTCAGGCCTCATTGCGGCTGCCGTATTCAACACAATCGACGGCAACCAAGTCCTAAATGGCTGGCAATGGTTATTCATCATCGAGGGCTGCCTCACGTTTGGTATCGCGATCATCGGCATATTCACGCTGGCCGAAAACCCGCTGACGACTCGCTATATCGCCTGCTTCTTGTTCGCAAGTGGCGCTAATGCAGTGAACTCGATGGTAGGCGATCCCGATAAATCAACCGCTTAATAAGACCGAGTTCTAACAAGTACAAACTAGATATTGGGCTGGGTCTCAGCTACCCTTGGCTCCACGCCGAAGAAGAAGGCGGTCAGCCTTTCTATCGTTAATGTTGTAGCGAATGCTTCATACATCTACACGGCCTATCGTAAGTAGATACCCGCTCGAATCTTCACAGCAAAATACTGACAAGTCCTCAAGTCTATCCAAATAGTGACGGACCACGTCATGGCAAGCAACGCCGCGTTTGCTTTCGCTTCCATTGCTGGCACTTGGGCCGTTACGCGTGTGGTTGATCCAGATCAATAAGAAGATGGGTTCCGGTGGGACCAAGTATGCTTACTGATGTGAAACAAATGCCGCCATGGAATTTGAAGGTGGATCTTGGTATATGTCTCTCAAACCAGCCTGAACAAATGAAATTGATCCTCGAGCAGCGTGGCTTTCCGAATTCAAATCCGCTGCGACAATGCTATTCTGCTACTTTCTATGTTGATGCTGCGGACTTTCTCGAAAAGACGCGTTCTTCTCAGTGGTGTCCGTTACAAACCAACGAAGGCCGCGGGGCATCCATCGTGGAGCAATCCTTTTGCCCTTTCTCGTTCGAAGCTGTGAACCCCTGTAATGAAATGCCAGCTAGGACATGTAGGCAATAAGATAGTATAGGAGGCACGAGCCAAGTTGCAATGTGATCATATTCTCTTTCTTTATTTACGCAGTATCTTCCAGAGCTGACAGGGCGCAAAAAGGTCTTGCACTACTATGCAGGCTCTCCTGAAGGCCCGACAAGCTGAGTTCCTAATGTCTCCGCCTGGCCAAAAATGGGTTGACCATCAGCATCCCACGCGACGGGACGAGCCATCGTGTACCTCTCCCGACCGCAGTGCCCGGAGCTAATGCTTGTAGCATGGTAGACGTTCCAAATCTCTGTGCCGTCAGGGCTGTTGAAGAAACTGCAAGAAAGTATTAGCACAAAGTGTCTTGAAGGTTGAAGAGACATAACCCACCCGTTGTGTGCAGTGCCGTAGTTCCCATTCGCAGAGCTGAACAGAGGGCCCGTCTTGGTCCAGGACGACTTCTCGAGGGGATCACCGCCCTCGTACGTGAGAAGACCGAGCTGGTAGCTAGCCGTGCCGCAGTAGCTGGCCGAGAAGGCAAGGAACGTCTTGCCATCGTGGTACAGGGGTGCTGGGCCCTCGTTCACGCCGAACCCGTCGACCTCCCAGGACTCCAACGGGATGGAAAGTTCATGCCGAGGGCCTATGCTGCCGGGGGTGTCGAGCGTGGCGATGCAGAGACCTTGCAGGTCGCTGGTGATGCATGACCAGACAAAGTAGTTCTGGTTGTTCAGGGTGAGAACCGTGCCGTCTATGCCGAATTCGTTTGGCGTGAGGGTTGCGAGGAATTGGTAGTCATCCCATGGTGACGCGCCGCCTGTGACAGTGTCAGTTATATTGGGGTGTAAGTATTTTGATAGTTGAGCCTACCCTCGAGGACTTGGGCCTTCTGGTTGTCGCAACAATTACCACATGTCCCGGCTGTGAAGTAGAGATGCCACCTGCACGTCTGTCAGCAAGGTGTTCGCATACGACTAGGCCACACATGAACTTACACTCCGTCCACCTGGTGCATTTCCGGAGCCCACAAGTCACAGCTTCGCGATGGATCGTCCGGGGTCCAGATAACCTTGTTCTCGCCCGTCTTGAGGCCCTCGAGGGTGGTGGCCCTGGTGATCTGGATATTCTCATATGTCGTGGTGGTCAAGTAGTAGAAGCCATCTACATAGACGATGTGTGGGTCACTGCCCAGAGGCCTCTTCAGAGGATTTGTGAAATTGGCTGCTTGGAGTCCGGTGGCCAGGCACGAGGCCGTCAGGAAAGCACTCCAGGTCTTCATTTTAACAACTTTTAGATGATGCGTTGTCGGGCAAATGCCACGTCCTCGAAATTGGGATCACGGCCTGGTGACACATTTTATATGAATCTTTGGAAACACGAATCCCTCATGCTACCGTGGGTCTTCACGAGGTCAAGAATCCAACGTAGTCCCATTGTTAGCCTCATCGAATATCCGACATGGTGAGCTTGGCACCTGAGTTCCAAGAGATTTTCGTCGGACGATCTCCCGAAAACCACAGGAAGCCGCCGCACGGTTCTTCGTATATGGATACCGTTTGTTTTCTTGTGAGCGTGTCTAGAGTCAAGTCCTTTATGCGGACCAGTAGCAGGCGACCTTGGCGTCCCCGCGCTCGGGGTGTTCCCAGGGCGGTCAGCGATCACGCGGATGCTTAACCCTGGGAATGTGGACCCTCGGTCCGGCGCGTATGCAGCACCTCGTACAAGAAATGTGACGTCGACAATGTTCGTGCTGTGGGCTTGAACACAAGCTGCAATCCATGTTAACTCCACTGGCTCCCCTCAGAGGCGCACTATGCGTGCCAACTCACACCAGTCAGTCGGCGGGTTCGAGGTCTCGAATGTTGGCCCAATGTTGCCCTTACAGGTACCCACTCGTATAGATGTGCTGCGTCATGCCGAGGCTCATTCGAAATGTGCCACAAGCACGACCATAGACTGGACAACAGTGAACGAGGTCAGTGAAGAGGTCACCTAGAAGCCGATAAAAGCAAGAGATTATTTCCTCACAAGGGTCCCAAGTGTCTCATGTGCCTCTCTGTACCTAGGTAACCAACCTATTTGTGTGGAAATGGATGGAGAGAACCACATACAAACGCCGTGATTACTGGACTGTCTCGTATAACAATGGTGTAGTATTCCATGCTAACGAGCATCCTCCTACTGCAGGTCCAATTATACTCAGGCTTTTTACATACCTGCGAGGTGCGTCTATGGGCTACTAGTTAGTGACTATCTACTAGACAGTAAAGGTCCGGAAATCTCCATCACGGCTTATCCCCGGACGGAGCTCCAAATCTGCCTAAGCCTCTTCAACACCACATTATACACATAATCGCAACCTGCACGACTCGACAAGATCATGGCATCTGGAAAAATTCTCACATCAAGCTCTCACGCACTTTCTCTCTCTCTTGCGTGGCTGCCTGAAGCCTGGGCGCTCTGTTGAAATTGGTCAACGGTCAAACAGCAAGTAACACCTAGACTATTTTCACTGTTTGGTCAAAGACGAATTAATTATGTCCCCTAAATTGAATGAGCATCAGTCTCAATAACACGACTCACAGAAATTCCAATGATCGTTAGCCCACCACTGTGCAGGAAAAGCTTCGCACCAGTATTACCGCTGAATCAGGACCACCGCCACTTTCGCTGGAGCCTCAAGCAAGCTGACCCTTCTTGTACGGGAATTGCTGCTTGAACGCCTCGGCAATTTCGCTCCTCGTCGCTACCCACACGCCCTCTTTCTTGCTAATGTAGTCCACAAAGTCCTGCAGGGCCTTGAAGCGACCAGGCCTCCCAATGATACGGCAGTGCAGACCAACAGTCATCATCTTGGGCTTGCCCTCTTCCCCTTCCGCATACAGAATATCGAAAGCGTTCTTGATGTGGTCATAGAACCCTTGGGGGTCACGGAACCCCGACCCAACGACATGGAACTTGAAGTCGTTGCAGTCGTAGGAGTACGGCACCATGAGGCAGCCCTTGGGGTCCGGCGAGTCTTGCTCCGCCGGGAGGTCGATCCAGTACGGCACGTCGTCGGCGTACGTGTCCGAGGCCCACAAGAGCTCCTCGCCCAGCTCTTCGTAGACTTGGGGGACGAGGGCCCTGGAGCGTGGGCTTGGACGCCCGTAGTACCACCCTCGCGGTGCGTAGCCGGACAAGGACTTAAGAGACGCGATGCCCTTGCGGATGTAGTCCTTTTCCTGTTCGGCAGTGAGACCGTGATAGTCGATCCATCGATAGGCGCTGGATATGCGACATCAGAACCAGGACACTAGGTATCTTATCTCTGTTGGCGGGCAACCTACTGTGACGCGATGTCGTGTCCCTCCTCCACACATCTCTGGACGACCTCGGGCTGCTTCTCCACGGCTTGGGCAACTGCGTACAGGGTGAACTTCATCTTGTACTTGATGAACAGCCGGAACAGACGCCACCAGCCTGAGCGGCTGCCGTACTCGTATTCCGACTCGGCGCTGTAGTCGCGCTCGTTGACTTTGGCAGCCCCAAGGGGGTTCTCTCTCAAGTTGGTCTCTGCCTGGCCGTCTCCGGCGAGGACGCTGCGCTCGCCGCCCTCTTCGTAGTTGATGACGAACGAGACGGCGATCTTGGCGTCGTTTGGCCACTTGACGTTCAGACCAGCCTCACCGTAACCCTTGAAGTTACGGGTGAATTCATACTGCGGGTCGGGGTTGTATGCTTCAGCCATTGTTCATCACCAGAAGTTGGACAAGACTAGATGATGGGAGTTTGGAAGAAAATCTGATTGTGAACGTTCGATCAAGGTTCAAAACAGAAGGGCCCACAGGGACAATGACGATCCCAAGTGCTGGCCACTGCAGTATATAATTGCCGAGGGCCACTTGTCTTCGCCGACCTGAGATCGCCGGATAACACCAAATCGTAGCCCAATGGCTCCCATTGCCTGCCAGGCCACATGCAAATCACAGCCGGCCGAAGACAATCTCTGTCGACGTCGGGCACGGGTGCACGAATATCCCGGAGTGCAGGTTCCGTCTTATCAACGGAGCGGGGACCCGCATCGGGGGCCAATGGTGAGGACGATAACCATTTACCGGTACGCACGAATAATGCTCGTCGAGGCTTGAGTCCGAGCCATGTGCTTACATGACCGCAGGATACGACGTCGCCCCGTGCATTCTCCTGCAGGCAGGTCAAGCGAGGACCCACACGAGGCGAGAACTGTCAGCATTGTACTCAAGAGTAGTTTGGGCTGCTGATATGGAGTGTGATAAGTCAGATAATATTGCTTTTCGAGAGGAAGCAGTGGTCCAGAGTCCAGACAGCGTCACCTTCCGAGGACCTTGGACCTCCCGAGGCTTATCTGCGGCCCGCCGGCGCCGTTGGAGTGGAGCCACCGACACCGAGACCGGCAACCCCTCCCACGCGTGCGCGCCGTGCATGGTGCAGATGAGGACAGGCCCTCGCTCAACCACTGTACGGGTCAGATCGAGACCTCGCCAAGAAGACGGCTGTGCTATGGTCCACGGCAGTCTCACTTCCAGGTGACCTGGCAGCTCATCAGGGCCCTTGAAGCCCACAGAACATCTTATGCCCAGAAGACTACGTCGTCTGCCAGATTCTTCAAAGACAATACCGCAGACTTCGACCTATCAGATCAGAACGCTCTTGATACTGCAAAACTAGAAAATGGCCAGCACCGAGTTATACCGGCTAACAGCTTCCCAAGCCGCCGCAGGCATACGCTCCGGCTCATTCACAGTCGAGCAATATGCACAGTCCCTGCTCTCGCGGATCAAGGAGAGAGACGACACGGTGAAAGCATGGGCATACCTGCACCCAGAACAGGTCCTCGACCAAGCAAGACAGCTGGACCACATCCCGCCCGAGAAGCGCGGCCCCCTGCACGGCGTGTCCGTCGCAGTCAAGGACGTCATCTACACAAAGGACATGCCGACGCAGCACAACTCCCCGATCTACAAGGACAGCACCGCCGGCGTGGACGCGGGCTCCGTCATGATCCTGCGCAACGCCGGCGCGCTCATCCTGGGGAGACGGCCACGACCGAGTTCGCCGCCACCACAGAGGGGCCCGCGACATGCAACCCGCACGACACGGGACGCACGCCCGGCGGGTCGAGCTCCGGGTCCGGCGCCGCCGTGGCGGACTTCCAGGCCGCGGTGGCGCTGGGCACGCAGACTGGGGGGAGCACCATCCGGCCGGGGTCGTTTAATGGCGTGTATGCGTTCAAGCCGACGTGGAACTCGATCACGCGGGAGGGGCAGAAGGTGTTCTCGCTCATACTTGACACTTTTGGGGTGTATGCTCGCTCCGTGGAGGACTTGGAGTTGCTGGCCGATGTGTTTGAACTGCGGGATGACGTGCCACCGTTCCCAGAATCGGGAGGGCAATTTTCTGTCAAGGGGGCCAGGCTCGCGTTCATAAAGACCGTGGTATGGGACGCTCACGTGGAGCCGGGCACTAAAGCGGCGATGGCCAAGGCCGTTCAACTCCTGAAGGACCATGGCGCTGAGGTGGATGAGATCGAGTTTCCGGACGACTTGAAGGAGTTGCCCAAGTGGCACACGGTTGTTTTCAAGACTGATGGTCGGACTGCTTTCCTTCCGGATTACCTTGTGGCAAAGGACCAGCTCCACGAACAGCTGCATGAGCATGTCGAGAACAGACACACGCACGCCGAGCAGCTGGAAGCATTCGACCGCATAGCCGCCGCCAGGCCAAAAGCGGATGCCCTGCTGTCCAAGTATGACGCAGTCTTGGCTCCATCTGTCCCTGGCGAAGCACCCGTGGGCCTTAAGAGCACCGGGTCCGCGATCTTCCAGTTGATTTGGACTGTAAGTCTACAATGCTGTCCTTTCTAGTACAGAAGCTGACACCTCAACAGGCCCTCCACGTTCCAATCATCAACCTCCCTGGATTCCAAGGAGAAAACGGTTTACCCGTCGGAATCTCGCTTGTGGCACCAAGATACCACGACCGGAAGCTGCTGGCAGCCAGCAGATCGATCGGGAAGATCTTCGAGGAAGAAGGTGGCTGGAAGTCGGGACTGTAGCAGGTAGATACCATCCCTCTTGATTTTTAAGACAAATAAATCGACATCCTTGGCCACTTCTATTCATATGGGGTTATGGTACAGGCACTATATTGTAGAGATTATCGCCTTGGGCCCTGACAACGAATAAGACAGGTACTAACTACAAAACCAACAGTTTGGGACGGCAGGTTTTATTAAACACCATAGACGAAACTCGGCAACCAGCTCTCACCTACGTAACAATCAAAACGAGCCAGCCTAACCATGGAATCGAAAATATACAGCAATTTTTAACCACAATAGAGCTCTCCAAGTCTTGTTTCAAGCAAGCAATTTCTTCCACATAATGGACGTCATGAGAGTGATTCTCCGTTTAGCCGCTCTTAAAGGCGTCGTTCGTCTAAATTCCAGCGACAGCAGCAGTAATGAACAACTTCTCCCGTTTCATAGCCAAGCTCAGCACAGCGACCAGCGCACCCGAGGTCATGACCAGGACGTAGGTCTTGCCAATGGAGGCCACAATAGCATCCACCACCTTTGCCCTCACATCCGAACTAAGATTCCGCGCAAACCCACTGGTCACGCCGCTGATTGCTGCCTGTATACCGGACGCGGAGAGGCCCGGAAGAAGCTGCTGCACCTTGGTCTCGGCCTCGTTCAGGAACACCGCATCCGCGATGGCCAGCGCCGTCGTGTTGCCGAGGAACTGTGCGAGCGTGATGAAGCCTATGGCAGCCGGCACGTCCTCCGGATCCACGATGGCCTGCGCCACGGAGAAGGAGGCCTGGATCCACATCCCCACCCCTACTCCGATGCCTACCGTGCAGCCGTACACGCGGCTTTGGCTGGTGTCCTGGTGGACCGTGTACATCAGGGCGCCACCGGCGACGCACAGGAGGCCACCGAAGAGTTACCACGGCATATAGTAACCGAACTTGGCCATGAGAGCCCCATTGATGGATATGGTGACAACCAAGACGATGATCAGAGGTAGTAGGCGCACTCCTGCGTCTAGCGCCCCGTCTCCGCGGGTGGATTGAAAGAAGAGAGGGACGAAGAATATAGGGACAACACACCGGCGGCAGAAGCACTGGTGCAGATGAATAGAATGATGACAGTATACTTTCGGAAGAATTGGACCGGAATCAGGCGGCGAGGTAAGTCGACAAATAGTGTCCGGCTCTGCTGGACGGCCAACAAGGTGAACAGCACGCCGGCACACACAAAGAGACCAATGATCTGGCCCGAGCTCCAGGCGTAGGTAACCCCACCGAAGTTAATGGCCATGATGAGGCTCACCAGGCAGCCCACGAGCAGGATAATGCCGGCATCGTCTAATTCCCTGACGCGGTTCATGAAGGGGACGCCCAGGCGGGGATCCTTGCTGCGCAGCAGAAACAACCACGCAGGAGCGCATGCGGCTCCGATGAACAGGTTGATATAGAAGGCCCACCTCCACCCAACAGCAGACTGCTCGAGCACGCCCCCGACGACAGGGCCCAGGACCGTCCCCAAGCCCCAGGCGAGCCCCGTGCCCGAGACGTAGAGCGGGCGCTCCGCCATGGTCGTCGTGGCGGCGACGAGGGTGAACACGCCGACGTACAGGCCCGCGCCCCCCACGCCGCAGATGCAGCTGCCCAAGATCAGGGCGTCCATGTTTGGTGCGGCGCCGCAGACGGCGGACCCGGGCTCGAAGACGACGACGTTGAAGAGGTAGACCCACTTGGCGCCGAACTGCGCGTACACCTGTCCCCAGAACATGACGGTCGCCGTCGCGCCCATCAGGAGGCCGACGTTGTTCCAGGACAGGTCGCCCAGGGCGTCGAACTCGTCGACTATGGCGGCCTGGATGACGGCCACGATGCTGCCGTCGAGGGCGTAGAGGAAGATGGGGAAGAGCATGGCGCTGGAGGCTACGGCCCACTTCCATCCTGTGATGTGCCGGGGAGGATCTGCAGCCTTCTTCTGCTCTTGTTTCTTGGTATTTGAGGCCTTGGACTCATTGGGGAGGGGAGAGAGTCGATGATTTGATTGCTGTGCTCTCTGAGGTCTCGTCTTCTATAGTCATGGCGGCTTTTACACGGTCAGCAACTACAAATGCATTGCTGAAATACTCAGGCTACTCTTCAGCGCTGAATAAGCGTGGCATTCCAAAAGGGGAAGCAGAATCCCGGCGCGGCAAAATGATGCCCGCATTAGGCAAGTAGTTTCCCGAGTATGGGGCAAGGCTTTGGGTGATCTGGTTGACCTGCAATACCTGATTCTGTTCATGGACCATACCCATATACGTATGCCCAAAGCCCAGGCTGGCCAGAATAATCCTAAGTCGGTGTAAACGTAGACGCCGAGGCAGATGAATTCAGTAGCACCTCGGACACTGAACCGCCATTTTGCACGGCCTCTTCCATATAGACCGTAACACATCGAAAGATAGTCTTGAAATGGCTGATCATCGCCTCGAGATAGGCAATGTTCGCCGTGGCAAGAGATGATGGCTCGCTCAGTTGGTTGATCATGCCCTGGCCCTTGGAGCTAATCGACGTCAAGAGGGTATTGATTCTCTCGACCAGATCCATGACTGTTACAGCCCTCAAGTTCGCGTCGCTCAATGAGACCTCGTAGCCGCCGAAGCTCACCTTAACAGCGCTGTCTAGGTCGGACTTGGCTATGTAGTCAAAGCAGGGGTGTATCTCCTGCAGGGCTGTCACGACCAGAAGTAAACCGGTGCAACTGCCGTGGCTGGTCTTGCAGCCCATCACGTCCTGGCAGTGCTTGATCAACTCGCCTGTGACTTTGAAGACTTCATCCAGGCGTTCGTCCTGCATTGCGTCTGTGATCTTTGGCAGGCAAAGCATCAGGTTCGGCCGGCACAGACAATTAGACGGCGTGCCTTGATGACTCTGGAAGCCAAATGAGGTGAAAGATTCAGACGCAGCAGAACTCACGCCCTGGGTGTTGTCACAACACAGTGGATTAGAGCTGTTTTCGGGCGAGGTATGGGGTATGGAATCAGCTAGAGGCTGCGGCGTGTCATTGCCCGCTGGGCCGGAGTGAGCCGCAGGCATGAGCGCTGGACCCTGCAGATACAAGAAACAGAATTAGCCAGAGAAGCACGAAAAGGCGAAATGTGAAGAAAACACTTACGTCCAGGGTAACATCTATGGGCCCCCAGTCAGGATGAATGGATTGGTGCTGCAGGCCATTTGACCAACCTGCCGGTGTGATGGACTCCAGGCCAGCGCTTGGCTGATAATCCGTACTACTTGGGGAGTCTCCAGCAGTAGCAGAGACAGCGGGGATGTTCGCGGGCATCGACGGAGTTTGAACAACGTCCCCTCTTGGCGGGCAGCGGTTCGGGGCGACTTGGGAAGTGTACGTGCAAACAAGGATTCGGTGGCATGGCAGCATCGCAAGTCAGGGGCTGTCCGGAGTTGGTAGTGAATGATCACTTGCTTGGCCCGGGAGAGGTCTGACACGTTGCAGCCTGAGAAACGCCCCTGTGGCAGCGGCGAGGACTTGATACCGATTGATGGATGAAATACTAAGATAAAAATAATTCTTCACCAAGCCGATACAAGCCATTATGGGACTACAGCTGGAGTCTCGTTCGTGCGTGTCTTGATGCTGACCTGCACACCATAGCTTCCTTGGTCAATAAAATGACTGCTGGCACCTAAAAAAGAGCCGAGCATCCTGATGCTACTCTGGTTCCGTTGGCCTCATTCCCCTATGCGGAAACTGGATCGACTTAGAAAAGCCCCGGCTGCTGGAAAAGGGCAGAAACATACGAGACCATAATTATTTGTGAAAGAGCCAATCCGTCGTAAATGCTCTTCGTCTCGAAAGGCGTACTCGTCTTCGGTCGAGACTTCCATGATCCCATGGCGGATCAGGGAGCATTGATATCCTCGTCCGGGATGTCGTGGAAATAAATAGTCCTCACCAACAGTGACTTGAAAAGCGCTTGGTGACACAATTGAGGTCGTTTTCGGCACCTTCGTTCCTAATCCATGTTATGACCCGTGGAAGGATCGCGCAAGATGAGAATATGCAGGTGTTGGTGCACACTGCCATGTGGCTCAGACGCAACTGTGCCTGTACTTATTACATTGTGCAAATGTATCTTGATTACGCGTTTCTTAGCCGCTAGAATCACTATCATGTTAGAATTATACCATTTCCCACCGCGTGAGCAACCATCGGACCATTTTTCAACGCCAGTCAGACTTAGAAGGACCCCCCTAACGCTAGAACGCAGACTCGGTAATTTATTTGTGCAAAGTTCCTTTTACTTTCACGACCCGATTAAGAAAAAGAAAATGGGCAAAGGCATGAGGTATTACGACACGGCCGGCTCACTCTTGATGCCTACGCCGTCTCGGCCGCGAGCCCATACCTCGGACTCCTCGTGGAGTTGCGTCGCCGCAAGGTTGTCCAAGTCATCGTCATCGCCGGCGCAAGGGCTCGGCGCTCGGCCGGGGGACTCATCTTTGAAAGGGCCATCATCATCGCCGCCCGAGGTATCGATGAACCACCGCGCTGCGTCACGCAGGATCGGGAGCATCTCGGCCCGGAGGAGGCGCTCGGGGCTGCGCGGGCCGGGCGCCTGGACAGTACTAGACTCGACGCCCACGAGGACGGCCAAGTAGTCGCGGGCGAGCAGGTTGTAGATGTCGAGGACCTGCGCCCTCATTTCCTGCTCGACTCGCTCACAGAGCGCCTGGAGCTCCGTCTTGACGCTCTCGGTGGAGCGTACAAACATCCCGTGGCGTTGAGTCTCAACGTGGTTGATCATATGGGCTTTCATGCGCGCGTAGGAGCCAGGGCCTGTTCAGAAGGTTAGCTCGGGTATGAAAACAAGGGGAAGGAGGATGAGCATGCCTCTCTCTTTGACACACGCGTCATATCCCGGCTCCATGTCCCTTGTGACCACAGGTTGGAACCCTCTGCTGGCCTCCCGCTGCAGATCCTGGATGACGGTGCGGAGCGTGCCCGGGATCTCTTTGAGCCGTGTTACGTGCGTCCGGAGTTGCTGGCTGAGCATGCTAATGCCGGCGTGGTTTGTACCGGTACCACGTTGCTCGAAGTACTCAACAATACGACGGTGGAAGTTCTCCAGCGGCAGCCGGGCGACCACAGCGAAATTCTCGAGCACTTGGGGAAGACGACGGAGAAAGGCCCTCTCCCAACCGTTGGCTAGCTGCTTGCTGATAGGCTCCAACAGCTCGGCATTGAAGTCTCGAGGGCCAGAGGCACCAGAATACACGCCAGAACGACGGCACGTCGCTTTGTAGGTCGCCCAAAGCATGCCGCCTGCACTGCGATGTGCGCCCCACGAACTGGCGGTGGGGACAGCTGCATTGTCGGCAGCGGAAATTGCAGACCAAAAGTGATCGTAGATACACTCGGAAAGGACCGTCTTCATCGAGGCAAGACAGTCGTCAACAGCCTTGGCAAGGGTCTTTCATGGGTCAGCGAACTGGGTTGGGACATGAAGCATGCAGACAACTAAGAGGACGAACATACCCTCTCCAGAATTGACAACTCCCCTTGAAGATGGGTCTCCTCGTTCTTCTTGTCGCTGTGGCTCATATGAGACTGAGGCTCTCCATTAGAAGCCCACATCTTCATGGAGTTGAGAAGTTGGCTGAGGCCATTGAGGAATTGACGGCTGGTGGCGGCACGGCCAGCTTCGGTGAGCTTCTTCGCATGCCGCTGAAGCTGGGGGACTTCAGTCTCGTCGACGTTCCGGAATCCGTCATTGTTGAAGTCGTCCTTTTGCAGCCGCCCTCTCATCTTCTGGTAAGCACGGCTGCTAACACAGAACACGGGCAGGTTGCGTGCGACCTCGTCATAGTCTCTGATCTCCTCTTCAGGATCAAAGGCATCCTCGTCCTCGTCCATCGCAGTCTCCTGGTCCAACCTGTAAGTATGATTAGTAGACAAGCCAAGGTTTACATTCTGTTGTGGGCATCTCACTCCTTGATCCCCATTGCAAAGTCTCGTTGAATGGCGCCCTTCGAGTAGCCATTTCTTCCCTGGATGCAGACGGCCTTGACAGCCCCAAGCAGGCGACCCTCCTCGTGCTGAAGGGGCTTCAAGTCATCTCGGATCCCCGACAGCTTGGCGTCGAGTTCTTTCCTCATCTGCCGAATTTCCTTTCTCTCGGCTTTAAGATCAGCCAGCACTTCCCGGATCTGATCCCCCGACAAAGGCTCTCGGTCCTCATCTTCAGGCTGGTTCTCCTTATCACTAGCGGATTCAAAGGCCGAGTCGGAGTCGCTGTCGTCAAAATCAGACGAAACACGGTTCTTGCGGCTCTTGGCAGAGGTGGCTCCTCTCTTTCGCTTCTTTGCATTCTTTGAAGGAGGGTAGACGGTCTTGCCGTCGGTATGCTTCTGCGAAAGCTCATCCCAGATTTCCCATTTGCCGTCGAGCTGGTCAAGCCGATCGACCAAGTCCGCCTTCTCTTCCCTGCCGCTTGTGAGTTGTCTCTTGAGAGCGCTGATCTGGCGACGTAGATCGTCGATCTTGGCCCAAGACTCGGATACGTCAGACTCCATGTTGAGACTCTCGGCGGCCTCAGTCACCGAGATATCGTCCGTCTTGGAGCAGATAAAGGTCACGGCCGAGTAGATACCATCATACTTGAGCTGACGCTTGAATGAATCTCCAAGAAGGGACTTGGCGGTCTTGTCATCAACTGCACGGTTGATAGGGGCGACAATCCAAAGACCAGTGCATGCCTTCATGTACTGCTGGGCAACAGCTGCTCGAGCAGCGTTGGAATCCTGAACACCGGGCAAGTCGACAATGACAGCGCCAGTGGACAAGGCATCCGCCTTGGTGTAGATACGGACAACCTTGATCAAGGGCCAGTACTCCATGGCGACGTTCTTTTTGAGATGATGGTCCTTCTCCTTGCTGTCGACATAGCGTTGCATGCCGTGGTAAAGCTCCTTGGCTGTGGATGACCTCAGCTTCTTGACACTGCCCAGGACGCCTCTGACGGCGGGCTCGAAGGCGAGTCTCTCGGGGCTGCTCTCAGCGATCATCTGATTCGACTTGGAGGGGTAGACGGACTTAATCTTGGCATAGGCGATGCCCGCCTCTGTGTCAGGGTTATTGCATTCACGAGACACATTGCCATTGTCGTCGAACAAGTCTGTGAAGAGGGTTTTCAGCTCCTTGATCCAGTCCTCGGCGGCGATGAACTCAATGTCGGCTCGGTAGAGCTCGTCCGGGTCGTCACTGCGGTTGTACGAGATCTCGGTCGGAGAAGCAGTGCAAGCTCGGAGACAATTTGTCGGAAGCAGCCTCTCCTCGTCAAGCAGTGCATTGATGACGGAGCTCTTCCCGGCGCCGGTGTTGCCGACGACGCCGACGATAGTTTTGAAAGGCTGAGCACGAGATTCGAGTTGGGTGATGGCATCGAGCCATGTAGAAGCCTGGGTGCCGGGAATGGATGCAGCAGCAGTCAGAGGAAACTTGATGGTCTCGAGGACGTCCATGCCCAGGTGAACTCCATGCTCGAGAATCTTGGGCGACGTCTGCTTGGCCCACTGCTCGAGGGCATCGGGTTGTTGTTGTTGTTGCTGCTGCTGCTGCTGGTCGTGGAGGGGCTGGACCGGGTCGGGGTCGGGGAAAGAAGCAGCATCTTCCAGACTGCCGGCAGACGGCTCTTGCTTGACCTCAGTCTTGGTCCGCTGAGGCGTGCATGTGAGCACTTCGTTGGCATCCGACGGCTCGGACTTGACATGGACGGCGCCCTCCATCTTCCAAGGCTCTTTAGGGGCCAATCTGGATCAGTCTAGAAACAGGTCTTGGGTGGGTCTGACGACAAAAGAGCTGAGCTAACGACGCCGCTGACGTTGGACCCAATGAGAAAGCCGAATGCTGACCAAAGGTGAAGACCAAAAACACAAGCACATGGGGTTGTTGTGGGTTTCGCGTTGGGTCGCGTCTTCCATTGCAGTCACATCGACGCGTGGCTAGGTTTAAGGGTAAGGGTCTGTGGCCCCTCGAACAAAGGGAAAGGGCAACGACGAGCGGAGCTTCCAATCTCTACTACTGTACAACCCGGCAATATGTTGCTCAAATGGGGATGGTTAATCAATGTGCTTTTTCATGTACTCTACGTACCTAGGAAGGAATGTCATCAACATTACGACGATGTGTTTTTATGTTGGTTTTGGTGTTGGTGGTTGAGGAAGGAGCAGCTCGTAGCTCTAGAGAACGCTCTGCCTCGTCGTTAATCCTTCTATTTTGCCACAGCACACCTCCTAGGTACGCTCATTCCTTGAACGTTATATGCTGCCAGTCCCCCGGCGGCTGGCAGTGAATAGACTCGACGAATCGGTTCTGTCCCCAAAGTTTCCACAGGCTGTACGAAAGCCAATTTGAGTGTAATGGTCACTTCTAATTTATCCATTCCGACTACAGACGCAAGGATTGAGGCTTATGTATTGTAAGTCTGCGTGCAATAGAGCAAAAGCTAAAGCGATGTGCGGAAAGATCGGAGCTGTGGAAGATAGCTGATCGGCAATGTTATCTGCTGTGCCTGATTCTAGACCGGCTGTGTGACTACCGATAGTTAAGTCAAGGGCTGCGAGGAGTTGAAGGATGACTTGGTCGGCTTCCGTAGGGTGAGCAGCCATGTTGAGCAAAATATTCCAAGTGAGACAGGGAGTTTTGAAAGGTAGGCATACAGGAACTCGGGCGAGTCACAGGAGAAAAGACTGGTACCGAGTGGAAAGATGAGAAAACACCTCGTGATGCAGTGCTTGGACAGCTTCAATGTTCAGTTGTCCTAATTACGTAGCTAAGTCGTCCTTCATTTAGACGTAAACCAAGAAGCAATCGACCTTTTCTCTTACAAGGACTTGCCACACGCTGGGGTTCGGGGTACGTCAAGCAATACTCCCCATGCCGTCTCCGCAAGCCATGGCTCATCCTTGGTCCGTCCAGATACCAAGCACTAGTAGTTTATAAAAAGCCGGAGTGCAAATGCATAGGGGTCCACTCGTAGTCATCCACGTGCTCGTAGGTGTCCACCTTGACGAAGCCGGACCTGATCCCTCCCCTTATCCTGCCCTTCCGTAATGTAACCTCCCGGGTGTCATTTGGCAGCAACGTGGACCCCGGCTTCACGGCGTAGTCTACGCCCTTTCCTTTGTGCGCGACGAACAGCAACTCCTTCTTCTTGTTCTCCTCTCTTTGCCGAGTCAGAGCGGCGTTCAGTTCAGCACCGCATTCTTCGATAGGCTTGGGGCGGGCCAGAAACGACCTCGCGAGAGGCTTGTTTGGATATCATCAAGCCGTACTCAGCCGCATGGATCGAACGGTAAATGCTGACGGACGCCGTTGGCCCGTCACGGCTTACAAGTGATGAGTTGAAAATTGACGGCCCTCGTGCCCCGTACACGTCGCCTAGCGACCAGAATAGGTCAGTAAATTCGAGGATGGCGGAGCTGTGAAGCAGGTAGTAGAGCTCCTTCCACCCATCGCTGTGCTTAATGAGCTCAGCCACAGTCGGTAGGTCATCTCGAAGACTGCGGTCACCGAGAATTATCAGCCTGTCCAGACACAAGCCGGTCAGCACCTTGAGCATGTTGTCCCATCCACGTTGTGTAGTTCGGTAATCGCCCCCGATCTTGAGCCTGGGCTGTTGCCCCGACATGCGCATAAGGCGCAGCTTCGCCAGTACTGACGGCTCCAGCGCGGTAAGCTTCCGGAATGTTGTCTGTGCACCTTCGAAGCTGAAGAGTACCTGGCCTATCCAGCTGTGGCCGATCTCGCTGTTGACTCGGCGGCAGACGCGGAGTAAGCTGAGGCTGTTCGGCGCTGAACGCAGCTGGACATTTTCGAGGTTCGCAGAATCCGTCAATCGACGGGATAGTGACACGGGGGTAGCGGTTCTCACTCTTCCCCCGAAGGACAGGCGAGTGGAATAGAAGACGCGAGTGTATATCTCCAAGCGGATCTCAGTGGGCAGCTTCAAGAACAGGCTGGAGCCTTGTGGGCTCCGAGGCTGAATGTCGGACTGCATGGTCTTTTGTTTGCACTGGACCCGATCGGTTTCTTGCGCCTCTTGTCTCTGCCCTCGGTCATGCTGTATTTTGTTGCTAAGAAAGTAATTTTCAGCGGTCTCAATAAAAAAGACTATTCTTGTTGGCAGGTGGGCGATCAGGCCAAAGGTGACTGCTCTGTGCCTAGTGCTGAGAGAGTGGAAGGAACCAGACGAGCAACCGAGGGTATGAATGAAATTGACAGCGGTGTATATATAACTCGAGGGTTAAGTGAACGCACACTCAAGCAGGACACATCTCGTCGTACCACGTTTTGGGCATCTATCCGGGCGGCCCGCAGCTGTGTCCTGTCGCTAGGCCGCGGTTGTAATTGGTCAAGTGATTACCAACGGCTGTACCAAAGAAGACTTTTTGTACTTTGCACTGTCCAGCAGCCTAGCTGCTGTAAGTTACCCCATTTTAATGTACTTGAATGATAGATTAGACATAAAAGAAGCGGTGCAAATGTACTCTAGACCTGTCAATGTGGCCAGTTGCGGATGAACATTTCTTCAGGACCCTACTTAATGGAAAATGCAAGGCGCATATCTTCATGCCCAGGCTGCCAGCCACACACACACCCACCCACACACACCTGAATTTTGCGGCCATCTGGACCCGGAGTGTGCTACATATGATAAAGCTGACACAGACAGGTACCCTACCCTCGGAAAAATGAGTCTCATCAGCCTCAAACTTTTAGGGGTCTAGCCAACGCCCCTTCACTGGTTTCCTAGCAGAATCTAGAAGGTTTCTAAAGGCGACTAGGCGATGTGACAGTTCTTCGGCTCGTTTCCTCTAACCATCACACAATCAGCATCCTTGAATATTTGTATATTGGCTTGATCAAAGCTGACATACGTCGAATACCTCCATCACAAGAGCTCGGGGCGCACATTTCGCAGCAGACTGACACGGCTGTGGACACGAGTCTTGAGACATCTCAGAGATCTGCGTTGTTTGTAATAACACCTTATACAGATCGCAAGCCTGGATGGGGAACATCTAGCTTCCTTCAAACAAGCCCTGACCAAGCTCTTTTCTACACCCACCGCCGAGTTTACCTACGCACAAATTGTTGACGGCATGCCGACCAGTGACACCTATTTGACCGACCACTGGTATTATGAAAAGCTTCCTGTACTGGATCATCAAGAATTATGCCCTGGCACTATGGACAAGACCCGGGCTTTCCGCTCGCAATTCAATATTCTTCCCCTCAAATTTGAGCCCAAGTTTATTACAAACTGGCGACATAGCACCAGCATTGTAAATAGCTACTAACCCTTACGTTATAGATCATACAGGCCTATCAAGACATGTCTCCGGGCTCTGTTGCTTTCAAACTTCGGCTCCTAGAGCTAGTTGTGATTGCCTGTCATGACATTGCTGTTTTTTCTACGAATTGGATGACGGTCCTCAAAAACACGCCGAATGGGAGACCTGGCTCACCGGAAAGCTTGCCTCGCTTCCGGAAAAGGAATCTCAGTGCACACGCTCTATGTACGGATCGCCTACGCCATTCTTCGTGGGAGGCTATGCGGCATCAGATAGGTATCCTAATGGCTGGGCAGACGTCGCTGGATACTGGGCGGAGCATCATATCTTCGGAGGTGTTGTCCTCTTTGACCGCGGAGAAAGTGAAGAGGAGGTGAGCGAAATGATTTCGAGGCAGGATCTCCTCATTAAACGGGTACCATGGTCTAATTTGTTTCACAGTGCAACGGCATATACATACACCGCCCGAAATCCACGGCTAATATCGCACCACCTACCGAAAAGCAGTTCAACAACCTTGTGGATTTCCTGCTGTCGCCAAACCCAGACACGGCCGCCAACCGCTGCCCTCTCCCGATCCGTATCACCGAGGAAAACAAATGGCGTTGGCATGCGTATGATGGAATGGTTGAGCACCACATCTTTATGTTTCGCCATGAGATTCCGCGGAGGCGGCCCCGTGAGCAATGCGTGATGACCACGACGGACTGGCCCGAGTGGCGTGACCAAGACACCATCGAAACGGAGCTGATCAAAGAGGTAGATGGGGAGGCCTATGATGAGGCTCTGGTAGCCGCCGCTCGAGAAAGGTTGAAGCGAACAGCTACCCCCACCTCCAGGTGCTATTGGTGGGACGGCGAGGAGCAGTCGAGGCTCCAGCCTGACCCGGAAAAGCAAGGGAGAACACCATACTTCTTCGACTCTTGACAAGAAGTATTTTCTTTTGAGGTCTTCAAGGGACTTAAATGCGCTTGTATCCAGATACGGTAACGTGATGAGACGCGAAGGTCCAATACGACATTGCATCCTGAAGCACAAATAGATGGCAATGGAATTCTGTGCAATAGCATGCATGACGAGCTCTTAATTTTATGACTCATGTCGCTTCTAAATATGTTCAACAGGTAAGCCAATGTACAACTGCCATCATCCAGCAGTACCCGCCTTCCATTCGATCCCTCAATGGAACCGATTCCAAAATTGCCAAAGAAACCCCCTCCATCAAGCCCTGTCACCACGTCGACTATCTGAGCTTTAAACATGCTTAGGGAGCCTCTGCAGCGTGATCGGCATCTGGGGCTAGCCTTTTGCTTTACAGCCTAGAGACTCGTGGTATGGCTTGAAGGTCTTGCAGTGCATCTGCAAGTGGTGTCATCCTTGCCACGTGTATAGGCGAACCCATGGCCATGTTTCCCGTGATCGGGCTATCACACTGTCGATTCTTGCGATATTCCGGGTACCTCATCAGGTTCCGATACGAGGATATCGAGCCGCTTGTGAGTTAGTTTGCCATGTTGATGTTCCTTGAGGTGACCTCCTTCGCCGTGACCCTGCTAAGGTAGGTTGCTTTTTTCCTTACCCAACATCTAGCCCTCCCACTTAGCCTTCGCAGAGCTCACCACCCCGTCTGCTACCGATTTCTCAACCTCGCCTGGCCAGGAGCGTGATTTCCGGAGAGTCCGTCTAGGACTTGATGATGTCGCGTTGGGCGTCGACGGTCCAGCATGGCCAGGCTGGGCAAGAAATTCCGGGCCGGGTCGCTCAGGGACGAAGCGGTCCTGGGGGCCCCTCAACTGCAGCATGAAAGCGATGAGCCGCTTGATGAGTATCTCCATGTGGATAGGATCTGTAGTGATGAAGGGTCCGAATTCGTGCATGATGAGGAAGTCGCCAGCGTGCGGAACCCATTCCTCGTCTGTGCGCGATGAATTCATCTCTGCAGGCGCTGCTTGCGTCGGTTGTGTCTGGCGACTCCTGGGTCCGGCTGCCACCCCTATCGACTTTCTCTCCACTCGTCCGATATACGAAGGGGAACCCGCAAGAAGGCTGGGATCGCGTCGAGTCGGTGTTGAGTCAATGCCCGCGGAGAGGCTGTCTTTTTGTGCATAATTTCCCGTGGTGGAGCTACCCGTTTGGTGAAGTTTTCGCTGAGATTTGATTGACTCTCGTACAGAAGAGCTTGATGGACGAATATACTCTTCGTACCCAGCTCCGTACTCAGCCACGATGAGGTAAATTTCATGGCGATCTTGGCTGATCATCAGACGTCTGGAATGAGAGGCTGGGGTCAGTTGAACTCCGTATCATGGTGTGATGTGAGAGGCTTACCGATTTCTCCCACTCGTGGATGATTGCAGAAGTCCTGTCTTCGAATTACCAGCTTGTGAAATCCAGCAAGCCATTTCCGCACCCTCTTGGCGCCTGATGGAGGCTAGAGCACTTAAGCGTGTGTGCGGTTTCGCCTCCAAGATGGCAAGTGGCTCGGTGTTGAGCCCCTTCTCGAAAGGGCTGGACCTTCGGCAAAGGTAACCATCCAAACGAGCTTCCATGAGCTCTCGCATCAGCACGTCAATCTCTCCCGTTTCGGGATTCTTCGTAGGAACCACCTCCCTCAGTTTCAGGGGCAGACGTTTTGCAAGCCAATCCAGGCTGCTGAAGTCAGTCCCGACGTCCAATTTGATACTGTGGAGGAGCTCTAGAAGTGCCGTGTTGACATAATACTCGTCAGTGGCTGGTTCGTTAAACTTCCCACCTCTAGCTGGGTGGTAAGAGGACGCTTGTGGTGTGTTTTGGAAACCAGGTGTGGGTGTGCCTTGTTCCGTTTGACCATGAAGTATAGTCTTGTGTGGCGTCACTAGTCGATTGAAAGCAGAGGGAGTGAGAAGTGCAGTCGGTTCATGATCGGGCTGGGGTCCAGGTTTGCTGATGGAAGATGTCCTCCGAAGTTCGTCGTCGGTTGGGGTCCTCTTGTCTGTTGCCAACGAAAGAAGCTGCCAATAAAGTACCAACAAGAAATTCCCACACTGTCTCGGCGGCGCCAAGGGCTGTGATGGTACTGCAAGGCCGTGTGAAACATCAGCAGCTTGTGTTCCGAAAGACTTCTCCATTTCAGCTTTTCGTATTCCGAGTTCCTTGAAATAGGACTGCCACAGGGATCTCTTGGCATTGAAGATCAGGCTTGCTGTGACATGGTTTTCAGCGGAAACGTATCCTGTGTACCCTGTTTTGGGATCGTCCCTCATCAGGTTTCTGAGATGCTCAATCCGCAAGTACCTGGACCAGATGACTCGCAGATGTAGGCTCTCTGTCGAGTTTAGCCCCGAGCCGGAGCTGAATGATGTACTGGACAACTTTAGCTGAGCTTGTGCACCATTCTTGAACTCCAGGGGGATATCTGGATCTTCGTCGACTTGCTCGAGCCATGACTCAAGGCTGATAGGCGGTGATGTTTTATCCGCCATCGTCATAAACGGACTGTAAAAGTAGTCGAGAGGATGATAGCTGTCGAAAACTCTTATCCCTATAGGAGGCTCTCGTATAGAAGGGAATCCCAGAGGATGCTATCCCATCCTAGGATGGATAGGACACGTATGGAAGATGAAGAAAAAGCTGTAAGAGGGAGAACAGCGAATCTTTTTGTCTTGTAGCATTATAGTTCATATTGATCTCCAGTCAATGTCGGTTGTGACTGTACAGGAGTCACCATTCACCTATAGATGAAGAGTGTGCTTGCCTATATGCTGACTTGGTTGACCTGTAATCGTCAACACGCCTCCTTTCACACCATAGATGTAAGCGGGCCAAAGATATTACCACGCTGGATACATAACAATTGATGGTGTCAAATGTATTTTGTACGTGACCCTTGGAATTAAGGACGCTGTGATCCTGGGCTTTATTGGGTGTATGTCTGCACCATCGCGCTCGAAGGCATTACCGTACAGCGTCACATGATGTGATATCGTCAGTCTGAATTGGTCAATGGGTGGGGCTGCTGTCCGTTAAGTATCCATTCCCTGAGGGCCATCACCCTAGGCATGGAAATAAGTAGGTACCTGGGAGCAGGTACCTACTTCATATTGATTGTTGTCAAGATTACGGTTTGGGTAACAAGCTAGGACCACCGTCCAATTACAGAGCAACGACACCTTAAAAAGCCTGCAGAATCGCCTCGAGTTCCTTCCGCTTTCGACACCAAGGAACACCAATCCACTCAGTCCGGCCATTTGGTATGTAAATGGGTCAAGTCAAGCTACCCATCCGTTGCGAAAGTCAAGAGACCTGCTAACGTCGGAAAGCTGTCAATCGAGCCCAGGTGCCGCCACTGTTAACATGGATGACACAAACAACATCCAACCTGACAAACAGGGAGGCTGGCCCGCCGACCGAGAACACCTCAGGAAACTGTGTGCCGTCGACGTTAAGGAGAAGCTCAAAGGCTCACGCTACTCTTATGTAGCGGAGGAGCTCCTCGAGTCACTTTGCTGCGTCCAGCTCGACAAAATTGATGTTGACATCGATCTCAGCGAGTGCACAACCGCTACGACATACTTCCAACCCTCACGACCCATTGACGAAGAGTTGAAGCAGCGCCTCTCCCGACACCAGTGGGACTTGGGTTACCCAGGACAAGCGCCGCGATTATACCCCGAATGCAAGGGAAACTGGTTCACGGGACCATGGGATGAGGCCAAGTTGCGAAAGAGAGGCGAGCTGGAGATTGACCGTTTCGGAGGAAGCGCGTGGCGATGCCTTGAGTAAGTCTCACCGCCACCGCTTCCCAGACGACCATAACAATCGAATCAAACCTGCTGACATCTTTTGCTTCAAGAGACCGGTGTTACGTCCGAGATGCCACCGGTCTGGTATTGCCCGCGGGATTCATCTGGCATACGCACGAGTACTCTTCTGACTACGCCTTCTTCCCCAAGGATGAGAAGAAGCCTCACCTTGCTTGCATCATCAGCGACACTTTGATTTCCCCGGACTCGATCCTCCGGAGCGAGATCCATGGAGCCTATTACCTTGTCACGTACCAGATGGTCATCAAGCGTTTCTGCAACCACCGTATCAAGCCTGTGAGTTCTGTCCGTGCTCACGCTCCCAAACCTACCCTTTCCTGCTCCTGCAACCCGAGCTGACGGCTTGCAGGTCATGTTGTACACTTTCCAGGGCGACGATTACGCCCGCATCACGCAGGCGTACTACGACCCCGACATGGGCAAGATCATCATTCGTCAATCCCGACAGCTCGATCTCCGTGGCCCCAAGCCGACTGAGGATGCCTGGCTGTTGATGCGGTGGATGCTCAACACGCCGGCCGGAGACACTCTCAAGTCGGAGGATGATGGTCTGCCTGTTCGTGTCAAGGAACCAGCTGCGAGCCCGCAAAATCCTACTACTGTTGCGACTGCATGAGGAGGCATTACTGGAAAGCTTGCGGCATGTCAACCAGCACAAGATCATCACGGGGTGTGGAAGGGCAGGGAAGGAAACGGTGGACATTGTTTTGGTGCCTCGAAGCCTGTCACTTCTGGCACAAGCATCTTGTGATGAGAGACACAGATGTTAATCTTTCCGGTGTGGCTGCGTTATTTTGAAATATCTTTTAGACCAGAAGCATGTGGCGCCATGCTTGCTGGGGGGATTTGTGCTGACGAATGAGCTCTGGAACTGGTGTACTGGGCTACCTCGGTCGTTGTCAATCTCTCAGTTAGGACTGACTTTCTGATGGATGAAACCATCGTCTAACGACCATAACAGACCTGATAGCCTCAGAATCGACCATTCTCATTGAAGTCGGAACTACGTCAACATCAGTGACTTGAAAGAAGACAAGTGCATGTCGTGCCAGAATGGATTTGCCAACGGAAGGGTGGTTCCGTCATGTCGCTGCCAGCAGGTGTTTTGCTGGGATCAGGGTTAGGGGTGCAGGCTCTGGCTCCCTGTTCCCCGAGAGACCAGCCACCGCTTTCTCTGGCTAGTGTCGTGCACGGACCACCACGTGACCTCGTGAAGCTCATTTCATAGCTGCTCCCCCGACTACAATCCCAACCTACCCGGGAACATCGTCATCCATCACCAGTACCCACCACCGCCACAGCACCCATCGCATGTTGCGAACGCTCCCCACGGAGCCACATTCATTTTCTAGAGGGTCAGTTCAAAGGTGCTCGCATCGGCGGGTAGCCGCGCACGCCTGCGGAACCAGCGCCGCCTCGAGGAGTTGTCCACCGCGCCCAAGACCTGGAAATGCCGACTTCTCGATCAACGACCCGCGGGCCGTGGAGAGGGGACCGGGGTCTTGGGAAGGGGCTGCCATGTCCCTCTTTATGAGGGTTTGGAGCTTCCTGCCAGCGACACGGCTCTTTTGTGGGCGGCGTGGTTTTGCCGGGCGTGCGGGGACGTCGTGCCATTCCACCAGTCTTCTGTCGTCGCGTCATTGTCGATCCTGCCGTCCGCGGCCGTATCTGAAGAGTCAAGGCTGCTCTGCCGTCCAGAAGCCTGGGAGGGAGGGAATCCTGCTCACCGCAGGGGTCACGCTTCGGTAAAGCTCTATGCGGCTGTTCTATGTACTGATCTGTCACAGGTTCAAGCGGTCCCACGGCCATGGCCGATGATGTGTCGACAGCCTCCGAACCAGACACGACCACCCCGAAGCAGGGCACAGCTTCCCCAGACGATATCAATGTCTCCGGCGCACAGGCTGCCGTGACGTGGAACGGCTGTGCCCAAGCTTTGAGCGATGTGACATGCGACATCCGCCGCTATGCTTCGTCCAACACAGCCTTCATCAAGCTGCGCGCCACTGTTGCACTCAAGGCGCCTGCCCCTGCGAAGACCAGCATGTTTCTATTCGTCCACCCCGAGCGCATACGAGCAGTAGTCCTAGACGAATCCCCCGAACCAACGTCACAGGAAATTTTGAAGAAAGTAGGCCAGCACACATATTGCCTGCGGTTCACGCTAGAAAGGCCAGCTGCCCTCATCGGCCCGGCCGGCTCCGAGCACATGGCTCCAAAGAACAGGAGCTCGGGCGAGACACTGAATCACCTGCGGTCGCTGGCGCGAGAAACCGCGTTCGCCGTATACTTGCCAGCCAAGGTGGTTACCAAGGCTCGGCTGCTGTCGCTCTGCGAAGCGGCTTCCGGCGATGGATTGAAGTCCGTCGCCTGGCAGGCTGACATGACCTGTCTCTATGGCGGCAAAGGTGGCCGGCTCATCAACGACGTGCCTGAGGATCCGTCCGCAAATCCGCCATCGTACAATGAGCTGGAGCCAGGGCCACCATTGCCGCCAACAGCGCATGGTAAGCTATGTGTATCGCCCCCTTGTACTTTGTAATATTCTTACGATGTCACAGACTCGGGTATGCAGGGTCCATCTAAGAAGCGGCGGCGCGAAAGTGGGAACTCAGATGCCCAAACCGCAGACCTCTCAGCTATGGAGGCCATGTGTAGGAAGATCATGGGTGAAATGAAAGCCGAGCTAAAGCAGGACATGAGCAATCAGCTGCAGCAGTTGGAGACAAGAGTCATGGAGCGTCTAGAGCAGCGCCTGGCCGAGGAGTCAGCACGCATCGAGGAAAATGTTGATCAGCAGCTTCTAGAGGTACGAGGTGAGACCACAGATGAAATTAGCGACAAGATAGAGGACGAGTACTATGGAGTTCGTCTCCGGCTGGAAGACTTCGTCAAGGATGAGGTGCAGGATGCCGAGGAGAGGATTATCCATCACATAGAAAGTAGCGCTACTATATCTTTACAATTCAACTCATAGAATCCACCCTGGGCCTCTCATCGCGATGCATACTGGCCGTCACCGGCCTTGCTTCGGATTCATTTCATGATGGACCCCGTCCTCTTCAAACAACTGCCAGCCTAGAATGTGCACACTTTGTCTCCCAGGCCGTTGCAGCAGCTAGTGAAACCACCGAAGTCGGTTGCGTCGCATTCCTAGAAATCAGACATTGGTCAAATCAGCACTTGCAAAGATCCTCGCCCACTCGAACGACCCTCCATCCATCCGACATACCCCATTGGTGATCGAGCCTCGACCGTTGCAGCAGGACGAGGTGTGGCCTGAGTTGTAGTTGACCTGCGCCTCGGCGTTTCCTGCGCAGCAATTGGCTGGTGTTCCCGCGAGAGCGCTGTGCTGGCTTTCAGTATTCATGTGTCAAGATTGACTTGGAGACTGTCGTACCCTGCCGTGAGGAACCCAAAGATGAGTGAAGCTAAATGCATTTTTGGCGTTGCAAAGGGGTTCAGCACAGCCTTACTGAGGTGGTGAGGAACGAGAAGTGCTGAAAGAGTTCTTTTTGGGACTGACTGGAGTACAAGTCAGAGATCGATGGACACAATTCTCGAGATGCTGACTTGAATACTTTGGAGACTCCTAGACTAATATAATCCACAAAATTGGATAGAAACTATATTACCGATCGTATCCACTTCACCAGTGATGACTCGCAACACAGTGGGCTCAGCCCGGTAGATCCGGACCAGTCATTTCCAATGGCTTCGATCACGGGTTCGCAATTTTGGACGTGTCAGAACATTCAATTTGAGTTCAGAAAATAAGCGAGGACACTGCAAATTTCTGTGGAACGGTCACTGATGGATGTCGAGTAAAAGCTGGCGTTGATAGATACATTGAGTGTCAGGGCTACCATTCAAGTTGGGAAAAACACGGTTACGAGCCCAGGGTCTCGGGAAGAGCTACAGTCATAGTGGAAGAGCCAGGACGCCTTTGTAAATGAGATACAGTACACACGCGGAAGCAACACGCCTGGTCGGGTGGGGGCGGGCTTAGAGTATTTTTTGAATGTGAAGTGCATGACCCGGGGGGGTGGGGCGGTTGTGGTGCCCGCGGATAACCTAAATCTCTTCTGCTCTCACATATACAGTGAGGCTCGGCTTGAGGATGTATCAGGCGTTCTGCCTTTCAGCACGCTCCAGCAAACTTCCACACGTCAAGACACTATTTGGAAAATGCTCATGTGTATGGAAATCGACCAGGGACCTAGGGAATTTGATGTGAGGCGCTCCAAGGTTATCAATTAGCCAGCTTAATTTAGCTCTAGAAGCACGGTATCAGAACATCTGCTCTAATCCATTGTTCAGCAACTGTCCCTAACAAGATTCCCATTTATGCCACATTTTCAACATCTGTAGTCTTCGACTTTGACTGCTTTCCGCCTGCGTCTGTAGCCACGGTCTCCTCACCATCCACCTTTGCTGCATCAATTGTAGGAATGGTAGCAATCGAACGCTTCGGTCTGAAGAAACATCACGTTAATGTCAATAGATTGGCCATGGGACCATAGAGTTGTCCACTTACAGCAGATATCTCAGATCTATGATCCTCAAAATAACGACCATCGTGGCCACAAGCACCCACAGTGCTACTGAAACCTGCCAAGCATATTTATCTGGCGATAAATGATCAGCTCATTATCACGGTGAAAATTAGTAAAACATAGACTTACAATGCGGTGCTTCACTGGCAGGCCAGACAAGTACTTGAGACCACGCAATGATGGAGTATACGCCCGCAATGGCATATCCAACGACTAAAGTCCTCGCCTCCGGATCTTGCGGCAGAAGATCAGCCAACCATGAGAAAATCAGCGGTGCCGTTCCCTGGCACATGTAGAGGATGAAATAGCTCGCGTAAGCGGCCGACAGCGGGGTAGTGTCTGGATGCTGTGTCCAGACACTCATAATGATCGAGACGATCAGGCCAATAAAAGCCTGGGCCACCAGCAACGTCCATCTGGTTTGAAAAACATCGGACATGATTGCCCAGATCCACACGAACGCCACATTTATTGCGCCACCGGCAATGGGTATCGTGTTTACCTGTGAGGTCGACCATGTGCGGGAGCCATCTGGGTTCCGCAGAGACTTCAAGAATAGGTTGAAGTAGTTCATTCCGTACTGTGCCAAAACGGTGCCAATGTACAGCACCGGGATAAAGTAGGCGAGCCACATGGTCGCTGTCCGCTTGGCCGCGCTCCAAGTAATCTTCTTGACTCCGGCCCGGCCGTGCCGCTCCAGCCGTTCCTGCGCCATTTGGCTGTGCTCTGCGGTGAACCAGACAGCACGGGGGTTTGGGCGAGAGGGGTAGTCGGGTAGCATGAAGAAGCCAGCAAGGCCAACGGCGACGGTCATGATGGCGTTTATGACAAAGAGCCAACGCCAGCCAGCAATTCCATGGTGTCCATCAAGTGTGTTAAGAACGGCCGTCTGCAGGGCGCCGCTCATCATCGACCCGATCGACTGGCAGGAGTGGTAGAAGCCCATACGCTTGGCCAGCTCGGTAGGCGTGTACCAATACACTGGTCTTTATCAGCACGTGTGTGTCCAAAAACGTGGGAAAGCCACCCACTAAACAGTGTCATCATTCCAGGCCAGGCACTGCTCTCAAACAGCCCCAGGAAGACGCGCAATACATAAACCTGCTTTGCGTTATGACATAGCGCGATCAGCCCTGTGACGATGCCCCATGCGATCTCCAAGCCCGGCAGCCACCAGCTTGGCCTGACCCAAGTCATGATGACCTGAGAAGGGATCAGCATAATACAATAGGAGACACTGAACCAGGTGGTGAAGTAGTTGAGCTCATTTCCATATAGACCGAGGTCTTCCTTCATCCCTGACACATAGGCGGAGCTGATATTTGTCTGATCAAGATACTTGATGACCTGAGAGACACAGCCAAAAGTCATCAGAAAGATGTCAAGCCGCCGGACAAGATCCCGCTCCAGAGGACTCCGCTCCTCATGATGGCGAAAGAACGCGGTGCGGCTGAGAAGGGCCTTGAAGCCCATGGCGCTGGATATCCTCAGGCTTGCCGGCTCTGCGATGTCTCCTGATTCTCGAGCGTTGTGTAGGAGGGGTCGGGTTTCTTGGGTGTCAATGTGATCACGGGGGCTGCTGGCACCGGCTCGGGGCCGTTCGTTATAAGACATTGTGACATCCCGCCTCACTGCAGTGTAACATCACTCGCAGCACCCCCAACAGGCTGTTGACGGCCAGGCGTCGGCTCGCGGCTACGTTGTACTTCACAGTTACAATAAGCCGAGGGGTCCAAGCGGATGACTCGCACGTGGATACGGGCACCTAATCGCTCTTGGCTTAGCGGCATGAGACACTGCCCGGGCAAGATAAATGATCGCCGGAGCAGAGACCCTCCGAGACTCGGAGTGCACATTGCATTGTTGTCTTTTCTTTTGCAGATGTAGACGATCTCACGATGCCTTTGAGCCTCGGGATGGCTCACCTGGATTGCTGGAGTCTCACGGGAAGGTGCGTGCGTGTGTGCGTGTGCAGGTGTGGTCTTACGGCTGATACTTATTTCAGGCATGTTTAGCACGTTTAGCACGATTCGCCCAGTGTCTTAATTACATTGTTCCACTTCCTTCACCATGTCTGCTGCGACGGCCAATCATAAACCACCAGCTACCATCGGCGGCGTCAATGGGCTCCCGGTCGAGAACCCATGTCTTTCTTTCTGGCAACAGACCACCCGATCATTCCCACATCTTCTGGCAAACTCTGAGGGCCCCCTCCCACAAACTACAAAATATCTAGTCATAGGCTCCGGGCTTTCTGGAGCTCTGACCGCCTTCGAACTTGTACACTCAGCTGGCGTGCCCGGGAGCGATGTCGCCATTCTGGAAGCGCGAGAAGCTGCCTCCGGAGCTAGCTCGCGCAACGCAGGGCACGTCCGACCCGATGCCTTTCGCGGGTTTCAAGTCTACCGGAGGGTACACGGCACAGAACAAGCGTTGAAGATAATCGCAAACGAGAAAGATGTTCTCGACAAGATCAATACGTTTGTGAACAAGCATGATGTCCCTTGCGACTTCAACCTCGCAACCACGCTCGACGTGTGTCTGACTCCCGAGTTTGCCGAGTTTAATGCTCGAAGCTTCAAAGAGTACCAGGAGGCTGGTGGTGATTTGAGCCATGTGAAGCTCTACGAGGGGGAGGATGCCAAAACAAGGACGGGCATAAAGGACACCGTGAGCGCGTACGAGTGGCCTGCTGGATCCAGTCATCCTGCAAAGCTAGCCCAGTGGCTGCTGGCCCAGAGCATTGCCAAGGGCGCAACGTTGTTCACGAAATGCCCGGCTCTGAAGATTTCCAAGAGCTCAGCTGTGGAGTCATGGTGGGATGTCGAGACTCCCAAGGGCATCATAACTGCGAAAACAGTAGTCCACTGCACCAACGGGTTCGCCGGCCACCTCATTGCTCAGCTGACGCCATACGTAACACCAACGAGGGCTCAGGCACTTTCATTCGTCCCGCCGATGGCTTTGGCTGGGAGGAGCATCTTAGCCAGCACGATGTCATTGCGATACAGCCTCCACAATTTCTACTCCGTAATGCAGCGCAAAGCCGATGGGATCATCATCCTGGGGGCCTCGAGGAAAAGCCCAAATCTCAGTCAGGTCACAATCGAAGGCATGGCGATACCGGATGACACCAGTTTCAACGATGAGATCAGGCAAGACATCGTTGTAAACTTCGAGAAATGTTTCCCCTCGTGCGAGAAGGGAAGATTGAACCATGGCGAAGGCGCTCAGCATACATGGACTGGGATTCTAGGCATGACGACGGACTCAGTGCCGTTTGTGGGCAGTCTGAATGGTCTTCCTGGACAATATGTGTGTGCGGGCTTTAATGGGCATGGTAAGATCCCTGTCCCCATCTTTGTCATTGCCAGTCACGCTAAGCCACAAAACTAGGAATGGCACGGATTTTCAACTGTGCCCCTGCTGTAGTCAAGATCATTCAAGGTGCGAAGTGGTCTGATACCGGGTTACCGGAGTGCTTTAATGTTACGGAAGAGCGGTTACAACGACTGTCACAAGGCTCGATCGAGTCCGTTTGGTGAATGGCGTCTAACTATCCACGATATCCGACCGAAAATTAAATCCAAAGTCTATAAACTATCAAAGCACCTGCATCATGAAGTGACACTCAATTTTTCTTGAATTGTTGTGTTCCCTTGTGCGCAATAGTCAACATCGGGATGCCGGCATGATATGTGCCGTCCTGCACCATATGCGTTGGCTTCCCCGACAATCCTCAGGGACATCTCGCAGAGACGGAAGAGAACAAAGAGTTTCCAATACCTCTGCACATCTGAGTTCCTTGATCCAACCTGCACTATTACCGACGTCTTTGTAGTATTTCGAGTTAAATCCAAGCACCGTCCACATTTCCTTGCAAAAGAGAATAGACTCGGTGTATCACCACCTCCCCGTTTCATCGAGTACCCGATAAAATATAAGTTGTAACGAAACACAAGATGCAGTTCAAGACAGTGCTGGCTATCCTGCCAATACTCCCCACCGTTTCCCTAGCCGGATGCTACTTAGGCAAACCGGCTTGGACCGATCTAGCGACCGAGGAACAAGTCTTCAAGGCCTTCCGCAGAAGCTGTGAAAGGATTCAGGGCAAACATTCACGCCGAGTCAGTACTTGCGATCCCGCGAACGGCGACAGCAATAGCGTCGAGGGCGGCAGTTATTTCTTGTCGATTGAGCCTTACGCCAAAGGCGAATACGATCTCTCCGTGGACACGTGCCTTCTCCTCGCAGGTGAAGTAAGTGAAACCATAAGTTCCCGTGGCTAAAAGAGCTACTAGCTCAGAATTCTTGTCCTCCCTCCTTCCTTGTTAGTCTCGGGGTTTTCATCATGCCTCGCTGAAGTGCAAAATGCTGATTTTCTGGTCATCAGCTTCATAGAATGTGTGATCACGGCGGCATCAAAAATATCACCGCTGGTTGGAATCCGCCGATAATGGCCAAGGTGGAGCTGGAACCTCAGTTAAGCTGTTGTGGTTGCTAAAACTTGCTTGCAGTATACGGTTCAACAATTAGAGGTAGCTATAAGATAGCCAAATTTCCTATAGCCTCGTCAGCAGTGGCCATCGGGACGACGGCTTAGACCAAGGCTGGGATTGTTCAAATGTTATTCACCGCTCTGAATAATACTATCCTTTAAACTTTATATCAGTTGTTTACACTAACTATTCTTGTCATCTGCTGTTTCCACTCCTACGTATGGTCAGCCTTAGGTAATATTATTAAACAGGAATTTCTCAGCACTGCTAGAGCAGCTCGCAAACCCACATTGAGAAATTCATCAGGGTAGCGATCGTGGCCCACGTCCCTCAGTCGGATATATCAAAGTAGACATAGACCGCGAGGCATGCCAAGCCTGCTAAGCCTGATCAGAACGTTAGACCCTGAAAAAAAAACTTTGAATTCTTCCAGGCATAACTGCCTAAAATTCGATACTGCGGAAAAGCAGACACATCATTAAACTCCACCTGTGAGTGCACCAAAAGGATCATATCCCTTGTTGCCAAGAACTGGCTGAAGGAGGGCCTCAAGCGCCAACCCCAATCACTAATTTCTCAAGCGAAAGCTGTGCTAGGATGGCAATGACAATTCTCAAAATGTAAGCGGCGGACTGCCGAGTCAGGAGGCGGACATGAGACCATCAGGCGATCCTAGAAGCGCTCAAAACGGGCAGGATCACACATAATAACACCTCAAACGGCTTGTGACTTTGAGGTGTGTGGAGAGAAATTCCTTCAGGGATGAAGAGTTTTCACTCCTAACGATCTAGACAATACCTGCATATACTCAGGATGCAGCCGCTGCAGAATCGAAGGATGAGTGTGTGACAGTGAACATTCATGCTGTTCTCATGTGTTCATTGGGCGCTTTTGAATTCAGAAAATAGACTACAAGAAAGGAACACCGTCGTCGTGACTCTCGGCCACTCTTCAGTCCTGGTCGCTATCCTAGACTTTGGTTCCCCAGCGGTCGAAGCAACGGAGCACACCGTTATCGTTTCCGATGAAGTCATCTGTCATGTCTGTCAGCTTCTCCCCAATCATCTCACAAACGGGGACGTACTGAGGTCGAGAACATTACTATATCCCAAAGGCCCGGGGTTCGGGGAACTGCCGTACAAGAAGCATTCCATGGTGGTTAGCCCGGCGAAGGTGATGGTACAGATACCGGCGGAGCTGCCAAAGCCACCATCCTGCTGCGCGTAGAGTATCTGGTCCCGGTTGATGATGCAATTGTTCAGGTCGAGGCGGGACTTCTGCCAACTGCCATCTGTCTTTTTGCAATCGGCACACAAAGAGACGGGAAATTGGAGACCACCGGTATTGTCGCCGGTGCCGCACAGGCGGTACTAAAATGATGTCAATAGAAGGTTGATGCGGGAATATTTTCATTTACTCAAGGGCCCTCCAGGAAACCCCTGACAGGAGTCCTTGAAGCCCGAGGCAGCCTCGGTGATGGTGAAGAGGGATGCCACGACGGCAAAGAGTATGGAAGACTTCATCTTGGCGCCTGCGATGTGACGGGAGTTGATAGGAGGGAATCTAGCGAGAAGCCTTCAACCTCTAGCAAGTTGAGAGGAATTTGGTCTGGTTTTATACTAGAGCACCAAGCTGACTGTCCCGGAAATCTTGCGGATAGCCGGTGCCTCACGCCTGTGTCCGACAAGGGACTTGAGATCCTGCGTGATCCACTGTCGGATGAGGTGAACGCTTCAGTGTAGCTCGGCGTATTTCGCGTGTTCCGGATCCAGACAAACGCATTGAACATGCTTAGCCTGGCGCCTGAAGCCTGGAGACTTGAGCTGGTGGCACGCAAGAGATGGATGCGACGAGTCAGGAGACATAGCCCTCGGTAGACCAGTCCCCTCAGTCCCTTGGGAATTTCGGCTGCTGAGGACACTCCTTCCCAAGTACACGACAAGATACGACGACCTAAGCGATGTCGGATGTGGTATAGCAGGTTATAGGTCCTCGCAGTACGGAAATGGTACGACTTGTGATCCTTTTGTGTGGAAGTGGATCCCAAACTCTGAATTGGGCAGTCGGCCAAGCCGAAAGGAATCGCTTGTCTTCGAGGGAAGAGTATGGCTCCATCTACGACTGCAATCCGGACCTAATGGGTTGTTTAATTAGGTGCATCCGGTTGTGCAACACCGAAAACCAACGCCGCCTGACCATATGCCAAGGACCAGCTTGGACTCGTCCCGAAGTCTCAAGACGCTGCCAAACCCTAGCAGAGGGTAAAGGTTAGTTCAGCCTGGGATTCCGTACCTATGAGGAGAGCAGCGTGTTAAAATTCGATGAGGAAGCCAACGATTATAAACCCACCTCCTTGCCCCCACTCTCTTACTTGACCTGTACCTGTAGATAACACTATTAGTTACTTAGCTCGCTTAGACCTTATCTTATGAGAACGGATATTCGCATCCACAGAAACGGATGGTACATCCATGCATGTAGCCTTAGGTGCGCGGTCTGCTGACTAAGCAGCTGCAGCTAATCAGAGCATACTGCCCATAGCCAATTCATAAGCTGTAGGCACAGCTACGGCGTTTATATGGCGGGCCACCGTAGTGGGTACCGTGACTCTCAAGCCCTGGCCGCTCCTTCGCTGCCACCCTGCGACGCCTCCGGCATGAGCTGAGCACCACCGCCCTCCCCAGACTGCCCGATCCCAACGACGGCCTGGGCGGATACGGCCTGCCCTCCACCATCCGGTCGATACAAAAGACGGGCTTCCGCAGGTGGGGCTTCCGCATCTACCGCTGCACATACGACGACGACGACGACGACGCCTGGGACCGCTACGTGGGCAACCTAGAGCACAGGCTCCAGAAGGGCCTCAAGGCGACGGGGTCCGACTACATGCTCGCGCCGTACCACGAGTGGACCATCGTGGAGGACCGCGAGGCCCTGGACGGGGCGGCGAAGGGGGAGGTGCGCTCGCGATTTCGGCGGTGGAGAGAGGCTCGCTCGGTGCAGCGGGACGGGCCTGGGGCGGACCACGAGTTGATCGGGTTGATCGGGCTGGTGGCGCGGTTCGAGGCGTGCATCATGGTTGATGAGGAGTGCCTGGACTCGATGGAGAAGAATAAGGGCAAGGCCAATCGGTTTGAGCCGTATTTTGTGGTGATCGGGCACCAAGGCCTCCCACTGAGGAGGAGTTGGAGGAGCTCAGAGAAACTGGGGATGAGGGTTTGCTTGAGGAGGATGATGATGACGATGAGACTTGGGTGCTGGCCTCGTGTCAGTCGTATGTGGTGTTGTACGATGAGCTCTGTGGGATGGGGCCTTGGTGGAGGCGGAGGCAGGACCCTCCCGACATCTATCCCTACATTTGAGCGTTGCAGTGGCTGTCAGTCGTGGTACTTTGATTCCTGGTGTGTAGGCCTGAAAGTCGACCAATTTGGCAGCTTCGACCTCGTACGGAGGGCTGCTCCAGGCATTGGCTACTTTTGACCGCCAGACATGATAAATCTGTGTGTATTTTGCCGATTAGGTTTGACTTCAGAATAAGACGACGGCTGCCAAGTGAAATAAGCTCAGCGGATTTGATCACATTTTGATAATTCAAATACAATCCTCTTGGCCCCATAGAATGTTAGTTAGATGGCACAATTACTTCCAATAGTAGGCTGGGTGTGCCGGCACAGTTCTCAGACAAAAGATTTTCCTTCTTCAGTGACGTGCCCATACGAAGAACAAGATTTTGTGGGCCCGTTCTTAGCTATTCAACCTCTCCTACCGAGCGGCGAGGGGAATATCGTGATGTGGCGCGGGAGGTCACGACGCCGGACGACGATCTGTGTTTCGTGCTTACACGGCACGATGTTTAGACAGACCCACAAATTGCCATCTAGCCAATTGACACGTTTAATATACACGAGACCAGCTCTCCATGTCAGTGCGCAAGGGCAGCTCTCCTGTGTGGCAACGGTGAGGAAGTGTCATTGGACCAGGCGTCCAAAAGCGGTAAGCTTGGAGAGAAGTGTGTGCATCCTGGAGAAAGGTTATCTGATGTTGAGGCATCCCGGGATCGAGTCGTGGAGAATGCTCGGATGATGGGGGGCCCGAGTACTCTCGCGAGGGCAGGATTCTAGAACAGCCGTGCGTCGCTAAGAGATGCGAAGCACGAATTGGTTGACGACGTGATGCAAAATACCGATGCGGAGACCCGACGACAAGTATTATCCATCCTTGCCAGCTGAGTCCGGGCCCGATGTCCCTGTTTCAGCGTCCCGTACGACTGGCAATTGTCGAATGCTTAAAGCTACTGGAGCGGGCTGTTAGCTCGGCAAGAATGCGCTAAAGCTCGGCCTGGCGTTACCACCCAATTAGGCTTAAACTAGTTGGGAGGTTTTTTACAGGTATAACTAAATATATATTTTATTAAATACCCTTACGCAGCTTTTATATAATTAATAGAAACCCCTTATTAAGTTGATAAGGTTGGGAATATAAAATATATATTATGCATACCTTTAACTTATATAGCAAAGTTACTTGTATTTTACTTACTCCCCCCTTAAATTACCCTTAATATATTATTATATAATTACTTACCTATTATGCTAATTAGCTATTAATATATTTAAATTAAGCTTAAATTAAAGTTAAAATATTTTACTTAATAAATTGCAATTTAATAACTTTTAAATTGTATTTATATTATATTTATAATGTATTTAAAATATAATTATATTATACTTATATTACCTTTAAAAAGTAATTAAAAAATAGCTTGCTTATTATATTAATTAGCTATTATTATATATTTAACTACTTAAACTTATAACTTTTTTATATAATAATTATTAAATAAGTACCCTTTTAAGGCTCTTTATTTAACCCCTTAAGTATAATTTAAGTAGCATTTAAGTATATATTTATAATTATTATAATAATGGCTAGAATTATCTTTAATATAAGTTTTAAGTAATAATTAAGAGGAGCCTAAAGGGCGTTTATTAACAATTTATATAAATAGCTATAGGTTGCTTAATACCTAGCCTTTAAGGAGAAATTATATGGCTTAAACATTATTTTACCTATTATTAAACTTAGTAGATAAGAGATTATTTATATTATTAAAAGTATAGTTTTTTACCCTTTTAAGAAATGTATAATTAAGGTATGGGTTTTTAAGAGGTTTTTAAGGAGTGATTAATTAATATTTAATAAATTAAGTTTAAGCAAACTACTTAGCTTTTATTAATATATTAAGAAAGCTTATAAAATTATTAATAATAATAATAATGGTAATAGCCCTTCCTTTACTAAGAAAAAGTTTAACTTTATTAATAAGTATTTAAGGGCATTTTAAAGGAGTAATAAGGGCTAATTAAGGGCAATGCAATAGCCTTTTATAAGTAAGCTATTAAGGCTTATTTTATTATTATAAAGATTATTAAAAATAAGCTTATAAGTAAAAAGGTTATTTTAATTTATATACCTAAGTTCTTTATTATTCCTTGCAAATTACCTATTAAGGTTAATAGCATTATAATTATTTTAAAGCTAAGTAAGTAATTAAATAAAAAGGATTTAAGAAAAGGCTAAGGGTTAATTAAGAAATATTTAATAAACCTTTATAAGCTTTTTTTTAGCAAGGTTATAATATAAAAAATAATTAATATTAATAATAAATAGGACTTTATTTTAAATGAAAAGGGTTAGCGCTATGCTTTTAATTAAAAGCACTTTAGCCCTTATATAATTAAATACTTAATTTAAATTAAGAACTACTTAAGCTATAAGGAGTAAAATAAGTATATTATTAAATATATTAAAGAACTCCTTTATAAGGTTATTAATATAATTATAACATATAATAAGTTTTATTAAGTTAGCTATATTAAAAAGGCCTTAATTTATTATAAAAAGTATTTTAATAATATATTTAGGGTATTTAAGGGGTATTTAAGGGTAAATTTATTAATACTTATATATTAGCTAAGAGCTGCAATAATATTAACATTTTATATAAGTTTTATAAAGCTTATAATAATGCAAATATTATTATTAATGCTTTATATATTATTTCTTAAGGATAGGTAGCTAAGAATAAGAAGTAAAATTTTAAAATTAACCCCTATTTAAAGGTTATAGTTAATAAGTAGCATAATATTTTAAAGGCTATTAATAAAAACCTTAATCCCTTTATTAATAATATTAAGAAGAAGTTTAAGAAGAAGTTTAAAAATAGCGATAAGGATAAGGATAAGTAGTTTTAGGACTTTTATAAAGAGTTTAAGGGGCGTTTAAGGGTCTTTTTAAGAGTAAATTAATAATATATTTGCTATAAAATTTTAATAAGTTAATATTTAAATTAATTAAACTTTTTTAATATTATTAAGGGTATAAGAAGAGTATAATAAATATATAATAAGTAATATATTAAAGAATTCTTTTAATAATTTATTTATTATTATTAAAAATTAAATAATATAATTAAAATATTTATTAATTTATATTAATTATTTTATATATAATATAAAATATAATATAAAATATAATATAAAATATAATATAAAATATAAATTAATAAATATTTTAATTATATTATTTATAATATATATATATAATTTATTTATTTTTTATTTTTTATTTAATATATAAAATTTATAAAATTTTAAAAATTAATAAATTAATTTTATTTATAATAATTATTATTTAATATTAATTAAGTTAAATATAAATAAATAATAATAATAATTAATTAATAATAAATAAATAAATATAAATTAATTTTTTAATTTTTTAATAATATTTATATTTAATTTATAAAATTAATTTATATATTTAAAATATTTAATTTATATAATTATTAATAATAATATATATATATATATAAAAATTATATTTAAATAATAAATATTATATATTTAATATAAATATATTATAATTATATTTTATTATTTTATTTATATAAAAAAAATTAATATTTTATTTTTATTTTAATTATTTTATATTTATTATATATTATTTTATTTATTTTATAATAATAAAATATATTATTTATTTAATTAAAATTATTATATTATTTTAAAATATTTATTTTTTTAAATTATATTTTAAAAAATAATTAAAAAAATTTAAATAAAAATATTTTAATATTATTATTATTAATTTATATAAATATAAATTTATTAAAGTTAATAAATTTTATATTAATTTATTTAATATTAAAATAAAATTTTTTATAAAGAAAAATATTATTAAAATATAAAAATATAATTATAATTAATTTATAATAAAATATAATAAAATTTTATAATTATATTAAAAATAAAATTTTATATTATTTATTTTAAATATTTTTTAAATTATTTTAATAAAAATAATATATAAATAATTTTAAATATTAAATAATTAAAATAATAATTTTAAAAATTATAATATTATTTTAAAATTATATAAAATATTATTTTAAATTATATTTAATTTTTATAAATTTTTATTTTTTTAATTATTAAAAATAATTTTAATAAATTTATAAAATTAAATATTTATATTAAATAAAATTTTATATATTTAAAAAATATAAAAAAATTTAAGTTTTTTTAATTAAAATTATTCTTTAATAATAATTATAATTTTTTATTATTTTTATTAATTAATATATATAAATAATAAATAAATATTTTAATTTTATTATTATTATTATTATATTATAAAAAATAATAATTAATTATATAATAAATAATAAAAATTTTATATAAATTATAAAATATTTAAAAGTTTTATAAAAATATAATTAAATAATAATTTATTTTTAATAATTATTTATATAATTAAATTATTTTTATTAATATTTATATTATATTTATAAAGAATTATAATTTTTAAATAATTATATTTTAAATATTAAAAAAGAATTTAATTTAATTTTTTTTTATATTTTTAAATAATTAAAAATAAATTTTAAAATTAAATAAATTTAATAAATTTTTTTTTTATAATATAAATTATATTAAAAATTATATTTTAAATATTAAAATTATTATTTTTATTAATATTATTATTTATAAAATTAATAATATTTTAAATATTATTATAAAAATTATTATAAATTTTAATTTTATATTTAATTTATAATTATAAAAATAATTTAATATTTTATTTAATATATAAAAATTTTTATTAAAAAATAAAATATAATTAAAAATAATTTAAATTTTATTTTTTATTATTTTTTTTAATATAAATATTTTATAAATATTAATAATATTAATATTATTTTAAAATATTTATTATATATTTAATAATTTATAATTTTATAATATTTAATTAATTTATAATTATATAATTTAATTTTTAAATTTATTATTATTTAAATAAA